TAGAAAACATTTCTGACCTTTGACCCAAGGGCATCACCATCCTCTGAAGCTTTTCAGCCTTGACACCTTGACGCCAACTGCACCCCAACTGAGTTGCATAGGGGAGAGCCCAGATACAGTTGCCCACAATCCCTAGGGCCCTAGCCCCACTACCAAATACTGCTGTCTGTTTAGCCCCATCCTGCCTTCCAAGAGTTATCTCTGGCAAAGCCCTGGGTCATGAGACTTAGAGCCTTTAAAGTGGTGAGCCACTGCCCCTGAAACTATCACTTGCCTGGTAACAGTTCTGCTGCCAGAACTTAATGCAAGGTTCGTGTCACTCTCCTCTGAAATCTGTAAACCTAAATTCAATCATTAAACTGCCTTTTTAAAAAAGCAGTTAGTCTCCGAAGTATGTTTGAACTGGGGAGCAGAAGCTAGCACTGGTGAATGAGATATGTGCCCTTGAAAATTGGATGCTTTTTTTGAAAACTGCTGACATCGGCTAAATGGCAGAGAGCTAAACCCAACTGCTTCTACCTGCTGACAGATTCAGCTTTAGGAAGGGGCTGAAATTAGCTCTCACTACATGGCAGAGATACAGCTTCCTCTTTTTTTTTTTCTCCTTTCCTTCTTTCATAAAAATAATACAGCTTTCTAGTCCAGATAGCCAATAAACAGCAGGCCCGTGCCCCAATTCCACACCTCCCGCTCAAAAGGCATGATGCAAGTCACTAGAAAATCAGGTAACACGTAGTCTCCCTGTGAGTACTGGCTTTAAAGCCCTGTAATAATTCATGTTCTTTGGGGGCAAGCTAATGAACAAAACCAGTGAAGCTCAAGAAATGTAATTAAGGAAATTCAGAGTGGACCAACCTTATGTCCAAACAACCCAGACCACATAACCTGATTTTTCTGTGCATTTTTATGGCTGTACCCTGTGTGTGAGCAAGGAGGTTTTGAAGCATTCTGTCTTGGGGAGATGATGTTGTGTGGTACAATTCTGTTGTTCAGTGCTATAATCTGTTGGAAAAGAAAGATTCTCTGTCCATTTTGTAAGCACACGGCAGGCAGGAGCTATTGCACTGCCATTTCTATGAATCAGTCCCGCCTTGGCAACAGGCAGATAGGGGCCCCCCAAGAAACACACTTCGGCCAAATATTTGTGGTGAGTTACAAAATAAGAGATCCAGGCCTGTGCACACGATTGCACTTCCTATCCCATAGAACCAGCATTGTTAACTATGCCACATCTCTAATCTAAATTTAGGCATCCTTTTTTCCCTCCCAGGCAGAGATTACTCTGCAAACATTTAAGAGAAAAACTTTGCCCAAAGTAATATTTTCCCCCAACTTCTATTTGGTTCCCTGTAATGTTTAGATGACTCATTCTCTTCCAAGAAATGTTAAAGAAAAGAGATGTAGCTGTATATTCGTGCACAAAGGCCTCTCTGTAAATCCTTTTTGCTTCCCTGCCTAGGAACCTCTTGCTTTTTTAGAGGAACGGAAAGGCCCCACAGTCTTCCTAGTCACGTCCTGGGCTGCAGCAGGTTTGGTTGTTCCTGGGAACAAATGTGCCTCTTGTTTTTGGGTGGGGCTGCCTTGTAGCTTCCCAGTCCTGTCAGTCCTTCCGTGGTAGCCAGCAGGAAGTCTGTGCAGAGGCTGAGCTCTCCCCCAAAGGCACACAATTAAATTCTGAAATAGTGGCTTTGTTTAGTATCTGTGGAAGTAGAGACACTGGCAGAAGTTTCTGCCCCTGTCCCTGTGTTAGAATCGCTGGGGGTTTTCTCATGCATTTTATCTGTCCTAGCTGCACTTGTATTCCCCAGCCAGCCCAGCCCAACTCTTAGCCACAGCTGGTGAGGCCCCAGCCAGTCAGATCCCTCTAGCAGCCTGTTCAAATAAACAGGGGTCATAGTGGAGTGGTCCTCCCAACTAATCAGTACAAAAGGAAACATCTGCCTTAGCTTAATTGCTATTTTATTGGTTGCATTTTTCCTCCCTCTGCGTTTTCCCCTCACACTCTGGAGCTAAGTTGTTTAAGTCATGGGTAAGCAACAGGACAGAAGAACTGCCTTCTCCTTTAACCTCTGCTATTTAAACCTAAGGAGGTGCTGAGAGGGGTGGGAGGCCGGAGGGCAGGGCTGTGGGAAGTGATACTCGCGGTCACTTCCTCACCCTGTTGCTGACTCTGGGGCTGCTGGTGAGTCATTTTGCCTCACTTCACCTCGTTGGGTCTCTGTTACTTCAGTGGAATTCAGCTTTCCTCACAGTGGGAAGGGGTGGCTGGTATGTGAGATTGCAGATGAGCGGCCTTCCCTCTTGTGGCTTTTTCCTGCGGTTGAAGCCGTTGGATGAGAGACACTTAGAATGTGAAATTGGAGACTGCGAAGGTGTCCTAAAGCCGTCCGTCTTGTAGCACATCTGGGTCCCTGAGCAGAACTTACTCATTTCCTTCAGCTCTGTGGTGCACAGCTGAAAGGGTGGTGTTGGAATCTAACCTGGGCTCAAGCAGCCAGGTCAAAGAGCCCATAGAAAGGCCAGGAAAGACTTGAGTGTTTTAGCTGAAGGCTTTCAGTGTATGGAAGAGAAAACAGAAACCCAAAGAGATTTACCATATTTGTGCAGTTATCTCTTTGATGGTGGAGGAACTGGGAATAGAGGGAGAATTTTGAGATTGCTGATTTAGGGGCTCTTTCCACACTCTCTCCCCACCACCTACCAGATGTAAACATTCCAACCCACTGAGGAAAGAAGTCACACATATATTATATTCTATAATGAACACTTAATAGAAAAATGACAAACCACAAGAGAAAGATGAAATTGACTCTTAAGCATTTTAGAAAGTATTTATTTATATATTTGAAAGACAGAATTACAGAGAGAAAGAAAGAGAGACATACCTTCCAAATGGCCACAGCAGCCTGGGGCAGCTAAGCCAGGAGCATGGAACTCTACCCAGGTCTCTCATGAGATTGACAAGAGCCCAAGCACTTGGGCAATCTGCTGCTGCTTTACTGGGTCATTAGCAGGAAGCTGAATCAGGCGGAGGGCAACTGGGGCTTGAACTTGCAGCCTTAGACTTGTGTGGCAAGGGTTAGCTTCACCCACTGTACCACAATTGCTACACTGCTAATCATGCTTTTAAATATGTTTAGGTACACTAGAAATCAAAGACCTGAAAACTTATAGCAATAAAATACACATCAAATTGTCAAAACCAAGAGAGAATAAAATAAGCATTCTTGCATGCTGCTGGTGGTGTTTTTAATTAGCACTGCATTTCTCAAGGGCATTTGAATAGTGTAAATGAGAAGTCTTTGCTCCAACAATATCACCTACAGGAGTAGTGGATGAAAGGTGTGAGCCTAGATTATGTTTAACGTAATTGGATGTAGTGCTTTTTACTTATAAAAAGTGTGAAAATAGTAAATGTCCAGGTCCAGTATGGTGGCCTATTGGCTAAAATCCTCACCTTGAAAGTGCCGGGATCCCAAATGGGCACCGGTTCTAATCCCAGCAGCCCCACTTCCCATCCAGCTCCCTGCTTGTGGCCTGGGAAAGCAGTGAGGACAGCCCAAAGCCTTGGGACCCTGTACCAGCAAGAAAGACCTGGAGGAAGTTCCTGGCTCCTGGTTTTGGATCAACTCAGCACCGGCCATTGTGGTCACTTGGAGAGTGAATCATTGGCAGACGGAAGATGTTCCTCTCTGTCTCTCCTCCTCTCTATACATCTGACTTTGCAATAAAAATAAAATAAATCTTAGAAAAAATAAAAATAAGAAAAAAAAAGTAAATGTCTACAAATAGGCACTATAGCATTATAATCCGTTATATCATTATAGGGTAATACCATGCAAGAAATGGTTACAACATGTATTTCAATGAGTAACACAAAACAATAATGAAATCTCAATTTCATAAAAATAATAATTAAAACATATTAACAAAATGTATGACAGAATCTACTGGGGTGATTTCTCAGTGGCAGGAATTAAGGGTTATTTTTGTCCTCCTTTTTGGTATTTTCTGTAGTTTCCTTCTTTCATGTAATAAATATGTATTACTTTTATAATATTTTGAAGGCCGAGCATATGCCTTTTTAAAACGTGAAGGTCTGAAATGATTATTTCTGTCGTGAAAGCCTTCTCCTTTTGTCCCTTTCTTTGCCTGGGAGCTGGTCTCTGCATTGTTGGTATCTGAATTTTCAGTAGTGAAGAACCGGAAAGAGCTGGCAAAAGATAAAAGAACATCCCCTCTCAGCAACCCAGTGATGCCAGTCTGTTTTATCCCTTCCTCTCTTGGGCTTGGCATGTAGGATTCAGTGTGCAAGATGTGATTACTTCCTTCCTGCTTCCTCCTCTGTATCTACGGTTCTGTGGATTAGATGCCAGCCTGGGGAAGCAGCAGCAAAGGTCCTGAGAACCACCACTGGCACTTGACCAGTTAAGAGACCCCTTACCATGTTTTATCTGATCAAGTAGCATTGACTAATCTCAGAAGCAGTCATTATTCAGATACCACAGCCAGGAGAATCTACTTCCTTCTTGCTTGGAGTCTCCTGTTTAGTTAGGGATTTTGAAGTTCTTGGATGCTTATAAACTTTTTCTTATTATACACCATTACACCTCTTACTTTCCTTGGCAATCCTCTGGAATGTTTGACTGCAAATATCTGAGAAAGCCTGTTCCTCCTAACAACTGTTGCTAGGTAGGATGTGGTATTCAGGCCTGCTCTTTGGGGACCAATTGAAAAAAAATCAAAGACTACAACCCATTTTCCCTCCACACGATTGCCTTTCCTAGGCTATAGAAAAGGGCACATTTCATTTTATTAAAACTCTTTGAGTAATCTGACTATAATTGGGTCTGATCGCAGTGGTTATCTGATTTGCTGGGTTAAATAATGGGCCTTAATTGAGTCTGTGTTATTTGTAGAGGCTGGGTTGCTCTTGCTTTTGTTGCCCTCTCCTCCCTCCTTCTGTTTCCCAATTAACCTTCATTTCTCTTTCCTTGCAGAGTAAAGAAGTTGGCCAGCAACTCCAAGATGATTTGATGAAGGTCCTGAACGAGCTCTACTCGGTAAATCATATGGGATGCTTGGCTCCTGAACAAGCAGAGGGAAGCAGCATTTGGCAACTTACAGCCATGGTCACGTCAGCAATAGAATGAACTGAACTAGGGTTGAAGACAGTGCATGGTCCCCACTGGGGGTGACCTCACCCATCTCTTTTTTAAAAACATATTTTCAAAACTGAATGAGAAAAAAAAAATCTCAAAATCATTCCTCAGCTAGGCAAGTTTACATTGACTTCATTTGGGGCATGATTGCTAAAGATCAGCCAAAGTCTAAGTCATCAGTGTAACTGATCCCTTTAGCAACAAGGGACCCCAATCTAATGGCAAGCAATATGAACTGCCTTACACTATTGTTGTGTACCTCCTGGAAAGGATTTATTGTTCAAGATTTTGCTTGCAATCTTAGGTTGAATTACTGGTTTGACCAGACGAGTCAAGTAGAGCCATAAGTGCCCCTAAGGTGAGGGACCATTTCAGGCCCAGAGGAGCTGTACACCAACTTCCTGGGGTTCTATAATGGCCAAACCTCAGTGAAAAGGCAGGCTTGGAGAAGAAAATAGTCAATTCTGAGTGAACTGGTACTTCATCAGTCTTGACTGATGTGTGTTTCTCCATATACTAAGCAATATTATGAGTGGTTTTCCCGGTACCATGTTTTGTAAATTATAATTACAATCAGCATGCACTCATACATGCACACTAATGAAATTCCTGCTGCCCTACAGTATATACTTCAAATGTGCAGTGAATGCCTTTTAGGGATTTGGTCTCCTGGTCATACCAGCCCTCACTGTCATTTTTTCTAGGTTTTCCCATCTTGTTTGGAGGTGAAATTGATTTCCTGTGTTTACCTGTTTATTCCTTTCCTCTCTCCCGTCTTTACTTCCTCCCTTCTTCTTCCTCCTCCTCCCTTTCCTTCCCTTCTCTTCCTGCTTTGTTTTCTTTGTTTCATTTTAATCACAGGAAGTACAGGCCATGGTGACATGCCTCACAGGCATCTGGGGTCAGAGAATTCCAGGGTTTTGATCCAGAAGCCTAGGCGTAGTTGGTGTGTCTTGGCAACTGTTAGACAAGTAAATAGGGCTGAGTATTCATCTGATCTCCAATGATGCTCGTTTGTTTTGAATTTCTACTCTGTGACTCTTCTGCTCTGTGCTCTTCTACTCTGACATCAAGTTGATAAATGGCACCCTTTGGTTCAGCTCCCAAATTTTCATTTCTCTCAAATGAAGTTAAGGCTTTTTAAAAATAGAAGCGTGTCAATGTGAACCATTTCAGACTGGATAGTATTTTGAACCTTGTCTTTTTAATGTTTTACTTCTCTTTATTTTTAGAGCATCTGCTAGGCACCAAGAAGAGCTCTATTCCTTTCTCCTGGCAGGGAACTGACTAAGATAGAATATGACACATGTCATTATACAAATCCTTTTATTTCCCCGTAAGCACATTGGGCCTCTGCTATTTGCGGCTGTTTCTGGGGAGGAGTAGGTCGGAGAGTCAGCAAACCTCAGACCTAATCAAGTCCAGCATGCCACTTCTGCGATGGGTCTCAAGGCAGAAAGGAAAAAATCGTGCCTGGAATCTGTTACCCGGAGTTCTTGATGTTTTTACCCGGAGTTCTTGATGTTTTCATATACTCTCACTTTAAAAATAAGTGAAATGGTATAAGTTGTGTTGGAGTGAGGAAGAAAACCCTGGAACTTGCTATTCTGATCTGAGAGGGCCGGGCCAGTACCAATGACTGCAGTCTTCAGGCAGTTCAGTATTGGCCAGCTGCTTTCCCAGCACCAGGAGGCCACAGTCAGTGCAAAGCATGATGTCTTCCCATGCTTGTACAATCCAATAATTGATTGAGTATGATGTCCTCTGCCATAAGGCATATTGGTACACACTTATGATCTGGCCAGGGTCAAAATAAAAAGTTGATAAATTTCATCCAGAGAATCAAGGGAAAAGAAGGAAGTAAATTAGAAAGGAGGGAACTCCAGAAAGTTCCAAAGACAGCAGAATGATCTGCTGTAGTGGTTCTCAAGCCAGGTGGTGGTTTGTTCTCCAAGACACTGCTCAGCTTCTGCAGATGCTTTTGGTTGTTAACAAATGGAGGAGTGAGTGGGCTCCCCTGACAACTGGAGTCAAAGGCAGGATGCTGCTAAAACTATGCTGAGTGCAGGACCACCCCTCACTACCAGGTATGATCTGGCTCAGAATGTTGGCAATGCCAAGACTAAGAAACCCTGATCCAGACCAGAATCTCCTGAATTGGGCAAGCTAGATTCTAACTTATCTTTACCACCAGCAATATCAGCGTAGAGATACCCCGAACCTCTGTGACCCTGATGTCTCCATACTTTTATATACTCCCATTTTCATATCCTAGGGGTAGGTGACTGGGGAGTCATACCCCGAAATAGTTAAGAGTGGAATGAGTTTGTAGATTCTGTAGGCCATTACAAAGTTCAGAGAATAGATTTGTGAGTTCATTTTACCCTCCAGTGAACTCAGGACTGGTCTAAATAAGCTACAGTAGGATTGGAATGACTAACTGCCTTAAGTTTGCCTAGGACTAAAGAATGTCCTGGGACACAAGACTTGTGGCAACAAAACCAGAAACGTGCTGGGCAACAGCGTGATCACCCTGTAGAGAACACTGGTTTCATCAAGTCAGTAGTTGGGACTACTGTATGCCAGCTTCAGAAAGCTACTAACTACACACGGCCTCTCGGCAAGGTTAAAGAGAGAACAAGGGAGAGCTTCTTGTAGGTAGCTATGCCCAATTTTCTCTTCAGAAAGGAGGGAAGGGATCCTTCTTTCAGTGACCTTATAGGCAACAGAAATGATTTCTCAGTGCCGGAAAAAAGAAGCGAAGGACTTCAGAAACGCACCATATTTCTCAGCATCTTTCTTACCTTCCATCTTTCCCCTAATGTCTGAATCTTTTTTGGAGGACCAAAATTTCCCCAAGAGTTGGTAATTTAAGAACTTTGAACCATGATGAGCTAAGGGTACAGAGCCCAGGTAGTCCTAAACAAAAATACCTTTGGAAAGAAGTCCAGACTCTGGCCAGAAGTGGCCAGCTGCCTCTCTGCCTTGTCTTCTTTGATTTCGCTGACTTGGCATTCTGTGCCAGGGGTTGCTGCCCACAGCTGCTATTCAGAGAGCAGGCCCAGGGAGCATTCTTTTCCCCGTGTTTGTCCTCGTAACGAGGTGACTAGCTTGTAAGCCATGGTATAAGTCATTGTCATTTTCTGACTGATGCTCCAGGAATGTTTTTGAAGTCAGAACACACTGCTTCCAAACAAACTCTGGGATTCTCTGCCTCAGTGGTATTTAGAAGCTATGTTTGGAAAAGGACAGCAAATCCCATAGAAAAGGATGCATGTGAAAGCATGGAAACCACATGGGTTGGAGGAATATGAAGTCCAGGAAGGTGCTGGGATGCACTAGGGCTGTCATTACCCGAGAGGTTTCAATGCTTCTGTCCCAAACCCTGCAAAGAGTCCAAGAAGTATGTGTATTATTTTCTTAAAATGCATGTACTTCAGATTTTTTGACATCAAAATATTTTCCACAAGCTTTTTGAAGTGCTCTCATAGGCTCTCTGTTTTGTAAAATTTATTTGTTTATTTATTTGTTTATAAGAGTTACAGAGAGGACAGGGAAAGGGAGAGAGAATGGGAAAGGCAGAACCCAAGAAAGATCTTGCACTTGCTGGTTCACTACCCATATGGTTGCAACAGCCAGAGCTAGCCAATCTGAAGCAAGGAGCCAGGAGCCTCAAGCCTCTTCTGGGTCTCCCACACTGGTGCAGGGGCCCAAGCACTTGGGCCATCCTCTGAGCTTTCCCAGGGAGCTGGATCAGAAGTGAAGCAGTTGGGGCTGAACTGGCTTTTACAAGCAATGTCAGCAACACAAGCAGCGTCTTTACACACTACACCACTGCACCAGCTTCTGGTATGTTCTCTTGACTTGAGGCAGCAATTGCTTGTTTGAAGAGCTACTTCAGACTGCTATTTGGCATGCGTTCTGAAGCATTGGCAGTAGTCCCCCAACTCTTGTTTGACTGTAGCACTAGCATTAGGGATACAAATAAGAGATGTCTGGGCCTGGCATGGTAGCCCTAGTGGCTAAAGTCCTCACCTTGCACACACTGGAATCCCATCTGGGAGCTGGTTCTAATCCTAGTTGCTCCACTCCCCATCCAGCTCCCTGATTGTGGCTTGGTAAAGCAGTTGAGGACGGCCCAAAGCCTTGGGACCCTGCACCTGCATGGGAAACCCAGAAGAAGCTCCTGACTCCTGGCTTCAGATCACATCAGCTCCGGCTGTTGCAACCACTTGTGGAGTGATCTAGCACCTACATGGGATCCTGGAGCGTGCAAGGCTAGGACTTTAGCCAATACGCTACTGCACCGGGCCCTGTCTGCTCATATTCTACTGAGGGGCATTAAAATGTTCCATTCCAACTGTAGCTTTTGCTGGAGGGAGAACTGACTATGCTGAATCCTTGGGGAAACCCTGACATCAGTCTTTCTAGCTTTGATCTTGAATGGTCTGATTGCCAAAAAGGATCTTTTGATTTCCCATTTGTGTCTGGAAAGTGAGCTGTGAAGAGTCCTCTCAACATTCTACATTGAATTTTCAGTTGACCCTCCTGTTTTGAGTTCAGTATCCCTATCTTCAGCTGAACCTGGTATCATCCAGTCCACAAACCCTTTATGAGGACAATTAACCTTCGAGTCTTGAAGGTGAGGTCTGAAAGTCTTGTTTTTGACTGTCAATAGTTGGTCTTGTTTTTTCAACTCTGCCTTTATTCCTGCGTCACCAGTTTCTCTGAGGTCATTGGGTCTCTGTGATGGAAATCTGCTTGCTTCTTGGTTCTCCCTATTTGTGCTTTAGATTTCAGTATCCACATAGAAGTAGAGGTTTGCTGTGAGAAAAAGAGCACTCCAGCAGGGAAGAGCAGGCATCATGTGAATAGAGGCTTGGAACAAGCTTCAGATCCAGGCCTCCTGGCCTCCTCATTAAGAAACAAGATTGGATTCCTAGACAGTTGCTTCAATGGAAAATTTGAAAAGTGCAACCCTCTTTTTTTGTATTACTTCCTTCCTGTGTCAAATCTAGTTACACTTGGTACAGATTTATCCCTTCTCATGCTCTTAACCTAAATTGTTGTGTAGATTTTTATTATCTAGATCATAGATTTGCCATGGATGAAATAAGAAAATGTATATATACATAGTACCTGGCACAAAGCCTGGCATATACAAAGTGCTCAGTAAACAAGAGCCACCATTATTGCTGCTGTTGCTGGGAGAGAGGTTATCTGATCTGGAAAGATCTTTTGGAGCCTTTTCCTCTGCGTATTTTGTATTCGAAAGGTACAAAGTATAGATTCCTCTGTTGGCTTTGTTTTTGTCTTTAGCGTTCCTAACCAACCAAGCAAGGGTTTACCTTAGAGTCTGAAAGCAGCATTGTTTCCTCTCTGCTTGATATTGTGGGACCAGCCAAGCAGCAGAAATCATCTCATGATGATAAACTAAATAATACAGAGTGGACAGACAGGAAGTCGTTTCACTGCAAAGACAATGGTTCAACTGAAATACTGTTTTCCTGTACCTTGGAGTGGTCTTTTGCTTATGTTATTTGCTGAACCAAAATACTGTGGATTTGTGCCTTAGGAGTGTGAGGGCATTGCTTCATGCAAGTGGGGTCCAGCTGAGTCTGTTGGTCTACAAAGCCAAGCACTGACTCCCATTGGCTTGACTTCCGGGGTGGGGGTGTCTTACAGGTCATGAAGACATATCACATGTACAATGCTGACAGCATTAGTGCTCAGAGCAAACTGAAGGAGGCGGAGAAGCAGGAGGAGAAGCAAATTGGTAAATCGGTGAAGCAAGAGGACCGGCAGACTCCGCGCTCGCCTGACTCCACTGCCAATGTCCGCATTGAAGAGAAACATGTCCGGAGGAGCTCAGTGAAGAAGATAGAGAAGATGAAAGAGAAGGTATGCATGCTAGGGCAACGTCAGGGACCTAGAAAAGACATTCTGCCAGGCAGGACTGGCAGGACTCCCCAACAGGTGCCATGAAGAGCAGAACAAAGCTTCGGGTTCATTTAGTAGCCAGTGATGGAAAGTGGGTCCCTTACTGTCTGCCCTGGCAAGAATGCCAGAACAGGGGCACATGGACTATGACTTTTTTACCTCAAGCAGATCACAGGGAACAGTCACATTTTTCAAAGAGTAAATATCCTATTGTTCCAGGGAGTAGGGAAAACTGTAGACCGATGATTTGGTTTCAGAAATCAAGTGTTCCTGGGCATGGGTATAGTGCCACTTCCTTCAGGATGGTGGTGCACGGATGGAGAATGATATCTGAAGATAGACTCAAAGTGGGGCACACATCTGAAGTAGGGAGCCCCATTAACCTTTCCTGAGTTGATCTACATTATGCCCTTGAATCTCATTAAACAGAATTAGAACCCAATTTAAGGCAGACGCGCATAGGGAGTAGCAGCACAATTGTGGTTCTTGAATGTACTGTACTTTCATCTTTGAGAGAACAATCTCCCTTTAAAAAAAATGAAGTAAAAGTGCACTTTGTTACATTTTCAGCGCCAAGCAAAGTACACGGAGAATAAACTGAAGGCCATTAAAGCCCGGAATGAGTACTTACTGGCTTTGGAAGCCACCAATGCCTCAGTCTTCAAGTACTACATCCACGACCTGTCCGACCTTATTGATGTAAGTGCTTAAAGTTGGGGATCTAAGGGTGCCTTGTCCACAATATCAGAACCCCAGTCAGATGTTGCCCCATTGGGTTATTCACACTGCTGGCGAATTTCAAGAATAATTATAAATAGTCGCTATGGCCCATCAGGCTTGCCACATGCTAAGCAAAGCATTTTATACTTGATTATACTTGATCTCATTCAGTCTTTAGCACAGTCCTGGAGGGAAGGCATTATTCTCTGTACAGGTCAACATTCAGAGAAATTAGATGACTTATTCAGCATCAGCTGGTTAATGACAGAGGCAGAATTTACTCCTAGGTGTGGTTGCTAAACTTGCACTGGTAGCCACTGTGACATTTTCTGCCTGGAAATTCTCTCTCTTTCTCTCTCCCTCTTTCACTGTCTCTCTTTTGGCTTAAAGATTCTTTTATTTTTCTTTTTATTATTATTATTTTGGGATATAGTCCCATTGGCAAGATACTCTTCAGTCTGTACCTAGACGTGAGTGGCAGGAGCTGAAAAGTTAGAATGCCATGCTTCACATGTATACAGCGTTTAATGTTTCTCAGCAGTTTCTCATTGGATTATCACATCACCCTTATAAATAAGCACTCCTTTTTCGAATTTATAAATAAGCAAATTAGTGATCCAGAGCATTAAGAAGCTCCCCTGCCCAAGGTTATACTGCACATTAGGATCCTACCAGGAAGGTTCACAAATGTCCCTGGTACCTGGCCCGTCCCTGGTTATGGTGTGGCACAAAGATGACTGGGAGAAGCAGGTTAACAGGGCACGTGTGTTTTATGTGGGGCAGACACAAGAGATAAGCTTTGGCTTTGGCTTTCAGGGTCTGTCTCGGCTTTTTCCTGCCACTCCCTCTCAAACTTCAGAGTGGAGTCTTGCAATTCCTCTGACAGTTTCTGGACCTTTCGTCATTGAAGTTAGGAACCTGGAGGCAAAGGATTTAGCGTTGACACCCCAGCCTTCAGGGCTTCAGGTATATCCTAGCCAGTGTCCCTTCAGAACTGATTTTACCTCAGGATTTCAGTAACAGCAGCTGAGCTTTGCACTGTGGGCCAGGCTGCGCGTCCTTAGCTCCGTGGGCTTCTCCACAGGCAAGCCTGCCGTTCTTCGCCACGTGTGTGGGGTTCTGGTCTAAGATTCCCCACTGTTGAACCAGCTGGCTCGTCTGCGCTTACCATCAAGCTGCTCAGGAGTTCTGCTCTATCTCGCATCCCTCCCTCCCCAAACTCCCAAACCCAGCACACTAAAAAACTTGAACTAAATCACTGCTCCTTAGTTTTGACCTGCCATCAGCGTTTCTTGGTCCCTTCAGCTGGGGGCTTTTGGTTCAGAAGGCTCCAGCCTCTTCATGCCCCGAGTGGCATTGTCTCCCTGGGTAAGTGGAGCCCTGATCTCAGATATCTCTTTGTTCTCTCTGCTTGTTGATGCCAATCTGAACACTGTCCTGCAACGGAGGTCAAGGCCCTACACAAGATCCTTTCTCCTCCTCAAAGAAAACAGTTCCTCACTGTGGGGAGAGCTCTGTTCTCAGCATGATGAGGAGAATCGCTTCTTGCTTAGGCTCAGTTTCTGCTCTTTCTTCCATTTGATACAACAAAAAGAAATCTTTCTATGCAGTGTGCCACACCTCTTCTACTGATGTGTCCCCTCAGCCCCTGCCACCCCCATGTGGGCAACTTTCTCACTAATATACTGATCTCAGGGGAAGAGGACTACTGTTGTATCAGACACAACCTTTACAATCCATAGACCTTCCATCTGTCAGCTGTGAGCAAGTGTTTTTTGTTTTGTTTTGTTTTAAAGATTTATTTTATTTTCATTGGGAAGTTAGATATACAGAAATGAGGAAGACAGAGAGGAAGATGTTCCGTCTGATGATTCACTCGCTAAGCGACCACAATGGCCAGTGCTACACTGCTCCGAAGCCAGGAGACAAGAGCCTCGTACAGGTCTCCCACGTGGATACAGGGTCCTAAGGCTTTGGGCTGTCCTCGACTGCTCTCCCAAGCCACAAGCAGGGAGCTGGATGGGCACTGGGGCCACTGGGATTAGAACTGTCACCCATATGGGATCCCAGCATGTTCAAAGCTAGGAATTTAGCCACTAGGCTACCGCACCAGGCCCAAGCAGGTGTTTTATAATCAGTCCAGAAGGCAAGCTATTGTGCACCTTATTTTTATCGTGGTTTTTGTTTTTTGTTTTTAGGAAATCTGTTAAGAGCCTAACTTCACAGGATATAGTGTGAAGTGCCATTAAGGAAGGAGCCAGCAGCCTCTTTAGCGCCCTCAGCATGGACTGGGTCTAGATTACTCTGAGCCAGTGCAGTACTCACGGGTAGTAGAGCTGTTCTTGCCGCTCTGCTGCTCTGCTTGGGTTATATTTTGTGTTTGTTGTTTGTTTTGGTTTTGTGCTTCCTAGGATGAGGACAGATTAATTACTCTTTTTATTTAAAACAGCTGAGAATGCTATCCTGCTCTGTTAGTGTCAGTAAATATCCAGGCTGTAGCTATATGTTATGCATTGAGGATACAGACTGGAAATAGTGGTTTTTGCCCAAGAGGGATTCACAGACTATAGGGTAGTGTTTTCAAACCATGAGTCGCCGGACAATAAGGGAGCCATGAAATCACTTTAATGGGTCTGACCTGCTTTTTTTTTTTAATAAATAGATTAGTCTCTGATAAGAAAGCAAATCTAAGGGTACATAACATAAGTAAGGTTAAATTTTATTTTGTGAAACTTTTATGCTAGATGTGTGTGTGTGTGTGTGTGTGTGTATGTATACTTGTCTGCCCATAGGCATGTGTATGTGTGTGTGTGCATATGAGAGACTTGTTCCTTAATGTAAGTTGAGAGTCAAAAAAGTTTAAGAGCTGCCATAGTGCTTGAAGAGGAAAATCTCTAGTCTCCTCTAAACTCCAGATCAGAATCCAAAACTTACTTTCCTTTAGTAGCCTCCAGTGCTTAATATAAAACCAGACTGAGTACTTCGTATGTTCACTGAAGTAAAAAAGAAAGAGGCAGAGTTCCCCAAGCCATAGTTTGTGTTTTTCTTTTTGTGCCTTTTGATATTGTTTTGGTGTATAATAACTGAAGTTAAGTGTTACAATTTCAAGAGTTTTGACACATTTTTACTACGTGTAATTTACATCTCTATCAAGATATAGATGAAAGATGCAAATGTTTTCCCAGCACTTTAGAAGAATCCTCTTACCTCTCTACGCAGTAGATCCCCCACCCCAAAACACCCTGTTTAGTTTTGCCTGTTGTAGATCCTTGCAAAGATGGGCTTTTATAATGTATGCTTTTTTGTGTCTGGCTTCTTTTGTTCATCTGTGTCATCAGAAGGCCCAAAAGTGCACTTTAGTGATGAAACCACAGTAAGATCAGGCAGGAGCTTAGGTTTGGGTGTGCAGGCTTCCTGGCCTTGATGGGATCCAGCACTTGCTTTAAGACACAAAATGAACCTTGTGCCAGCGGATTGCTATCTGTGTTACAGACGCCATTCTGCCTTCTTCCCATGTTGAAGCTCAAGGTGTGTCACACTGAGGATAAGGGGAAAGAAGGTATGTTGTCAGTGCCATCACATTGGCACTGACTAGCCCCGCCCCTGACTCCTTTTTTAGTGATAGTGTAAGATTTGAAGTCAGACGGTAGGAATCCACATGAGGCATCTGACACACTCCAGGAAAAAGGCCAAAAGGACATTCTAAGCTTACTTGATAATGTCTAAAAATGTAGACTTGCAGGGCTATAATTTCCCCTCCCACCCCCCCCCCCATATCACTGTGGCTTTCTCGCTAGAAGTAGATGGATGCATGAAGAACATTCCTTGTCCTCATGCCTATATGGAATGTTGTGCATACATGCATAGAGACTGTGACACCATGGGCACCCAAGTTGGCCCCTGAGGGAACTCAGCTTTCCCAATAGGAGCTTTTGTTAAGGGCAGTTATTCTTCCATGTGTGAACTTCAAGTGGGTATTGGGAAACACCCATCTAGGCTTTTTCTAGAGTCTAAGTAAATATATCAGCTGATAAAGGGTTAATAAACTCTCAGTTCCAGTCATCGCACATCTGAATGGGCTGTCATTAACTTCTTATAAAAATTTGATTTCCCTTGGGGTGATTTTCATCAAACATTTATATAACCCAGAAATGGTCAGGGGAGCCCGGGATGGCCACAGAACTCATCTGAAGCCATGGAAAGCATTTGCTTTGTCCCCATCATGAGCAAAATGATGTGCAGCGTGTGCTCACTGGGATTATCCTGGGAATAAGATGAAACAGTCGAATTTCATTCACCTAACCTTGCCAGATATAGTACCTGGTTTTTAAATCTTCAGTGCCTGACTGTTGCCCCTTCAACTATGTCAATAGCCAAACCCCTGCAAAAACCATCCTGAAAATCCTTGGTTGGCTGAAAGTATGGAGAAGACAGAGGGGTGCACTGTGAGCCAGGCACTGTGAGCTAGCTCATTGGCACGGAGAGGGTACAAAGTGATTGTGTAAATCGAGGCTCCAGCCCAGGAAAGCTCCCTACTTTCCTTAGGCCATACAGAGTCAGCAAAACAAGAGGCTTTGGTGATGGCATCTGCCATCTTGTTGAGGTCAGTGTTAAGCTGAAGTAAATAAAGTATTTCCTGAGAAGCTGGGATCTATACTTGTGACTTCAGTAAACCAGCTGAGGCATATTAAATATGTGCCATGAGCAAGGCCTGATGGTGAGGAATATAAAGAAAGATAAGAAGGGAGGCATGGTAGTACAGTGAGTTAAGCTGCCACTTGGGACACAAGCGTTCCATATTGGAGTGCCAGTTTGAGTCCTGGCTACTTATTCCACTTCTAGTCTACTCATGTGCCTAGGAAGCAGTGTATGATGGCCCATGCACTTGGGTTCCTGCTGCCCATGTGGGAGACCTAAACAGGGTGCTTGGCTCCTTGTTTCATCCTGATCCAGCTCACTCTGTCTTTCAAATACGTGAATAAATCTTTAAAAAGAAGAAAGATAAGACACTGGTCAAACTCTCAAGAAGCTTTCCCTCTGATTGGGGGGCGAGATGAAATGGCTGGTTACGGATAGCAGATGTGTTTTCTGTGTCACATAAAGGCTGCAGATTAATGTGCTTCTGAGTGAAGGCCAGGGTCCATGTTGGCCAGGGATGTGAAACAGCTGGCTTCCCAAACGCTGGAAATTTGATTTGGATCTTGATGATTTGTCCAATCCCAATAGGTGAAGAGTGGTAAGTGTTTCAGAAAGAAAAAATGCTGAGAATTGAAGGGAAGAGATGAGTGGATTTGGGGGTATTGATTGAGATTTGTTTAGCCTGTCTTCACGTTGCCAGTATATGTAAATATATTGCCTGCTCTCAGCCTCATGACAATCTGTGAGACTACTTTTATCCACATTTGAGACCTGCAGAGATTAAGTAGCTTGCTTATGGTCATATAGTTGATTTGAGGCCAATGCTTTTCCAACACTCCCCTCCATTGGATTACAGCAGAAGGATCTGAAGAAAGAAGCAGAGGGAAGTGATGTTGGATAGGCAATTTGAAGGCAGATTATAGTTTGATCTGCTCAAGTTATTTAATTCATTGAGCCTAGTCTGGGAAATTAAGATAATACACTGCCTCATTTGGGATCATTATGAAGATTAAAATGTGGACTTTATATAAAGGACTTAATACACTTTCTGGCACATAGTAAGTACATTTAGTGAATCAAAGCTTTTTTTTAGTAAGTGCATTACATAATAAGCATCACATTTTAGTGCAATAAAGCAGACAGTACTGGTGTAAGATGATAAAGGTATGAACTAGGATAGAGGTCATGAAAAGAGAATTAACCAAGATATGAAAAAGTTTCAATGAATACCCTGATCCCCCTGAATCCCCCACCTCACTCCCCTACATATACTGAGCAGCATTACTTCTGTTCATAGATTAAAAGGAATAGAATTCATCATCAGAATCTACAGAGCTATTCAGGAAGGTCTCCAGGTTCTAGGGCCATCTGGCCAGACCAGCCGCATCTCCCAATAGAGGAAGGGTCTTGCATGTGCAGCTGCTCAGTCAGCACTTTCATCTAGCTTCCATTTGTTCTTCCCCTCTCAACTGAATTTACTGTCTTTGCATCCTTTCCCACTAGTTCAGCTGTAACTGCTGTTATTCTGCTGCAGCCAAGCACCTGCCAGAGCCTATTGGCACTAAACTCACAGTACAGCCCAGTGGATGCTTGTCACTGAGCTTTTGTCAGATGCTAGGAACAGGGAGGCATATCAGATACATGCCTTTTCCTCCCCAGTAGTGGCTGTTCCCGATGTGATCGTGATGAGATTGGGAAAGGCTGGGAGGAACATTAATGTGATGCTTGAGTATGTGGTGAAATGACACACAAATGCCTTTATCTGTCTAAGGCTTCTTTGATTTGTCTTCTCAAGTGTTGTATCTCAGCACTGCTTAAGTGAAAGGGAATAACTAATAGACAGGAATTTAGGTTTCTGGGTCCTTTTGCAATATTCCCCAGGGTGGGGAATATTGTTATAGGGTTATAGAATATCATTGTTGATTTAGCGTAGGAGTTCTCGGACTTTTTCCAGCTTAGAAATCTTCAAGCCAGGCTTATCTAGAATCTGCATATATTAAAATAGGAAAACAGCAGAGCTGACTTGATAAAAGGAGTAGAATGCAAGTCCTTTTATGCACTCTTTAAGGGCAACTTGAGCATTGGCACAGAACCCATGAGCTCTGGATTATGGTTTGAAGAACACTTGGCTTAGTCAAATTTGTTCATCTTGTCATCTAATAAACCAGTTCAGGGTTTGGGGGTGGAGTGGGGGATGGGGAGCAGTTTTCTAAGGTTTCTTGACTTTCTGCCTCCAGGATTGTTGCCTCTTTCACATAATTTTCTTTTTTGCTTTAGAAAATCAGAATCCTGGGGTGGGAATTTGACCTGGCAAATAAGATACCAGTTGAGATATCTGTGCTCAACATCTTAGTACTTGAGTTTGATGCTCAACTCCAGCTCCTGACTTTACCTTCCTGCCACCTACATGGGAGACCTAGATTGAGTTTCTGACTCCCAGTTTAGAACTGGCCCAGTCCCAGTCATTGTGGGCATTTGGGAAGTGAGCCAGTGAATGGGAGTTCTGTTGTCTTCCCTTCTACATCAAACATCACTTAAATAAATACACTTTTTATTTTCAAGAAAGGGAATCATAGTTCATTACATAATGCAAACATTCCCAATAACACATGTAAGAATTTTTTAGTCTATAGATGCTATTCCTGGGCTGCAGCAGCCTTTGTATAGAAACCTTGGTCTGTAGCTGAGGCCTGTCCTAGAGAATTGGAAGTTGTTGGGGGGTAAGGAGCTATAGAATCAACTCCCCATTCTCTTCTCCCACCTAGAGTCAACTCCTGTTGCGACATTCCTGACTTCTGAACCTGGATGAAGTAGTTTGGCTTGGGTGGTGGGTAGTGACTTAACCACCAACCCCAGAGGAATGGCAGGCTATATTTTTATTGTTGAATTTTATTATAACAGAATCTCCAGGCAAATCTAAAACATAGGAGTGATCTCTCCACAATCCCTCTTGTGTTTTGGAAAAATACTGTATAGTGCTTGATTGAATGATACCTCTTTATAAAGTCCTCTTCCATCTACCACGTCTCAGTCCTCAACAGTATGTTGAATCACTCAGTCAATAACAGAGAAGCTTCACCCAGATGTCAGCCTTCCATATTGTCAATCTTACATATAGTTAGCCCTGCTCTGGGGTCCACTCTCCTTTCTGCCAGGTCTTGGGACTGTTCCTGGTGTGCTCATGTGTCTTCTCCTTCCCACAGCAGTGTTGTGATTTAGGCTACCATGCTAGCCTGAACAGGGCTCTGCGCACCTTCCTTTCTGCTGAATTAAATCTGGAGCAGTCGAAGCACGAGGGTCTGGATGCCATCGAGAATGCAGTTGAAAATCTGGATGCCACAAGTGACAAGCAGCGTCTCATGGAGATGTACAACAATGTCTTCTGTCCCCCTATGAAGTTTGAGTTCCAGCCCCACATGGGGGACATGGTAAGTACTTCTCCCATCATCACACCTCCCAACAGGCTTGAAGCATACTTGTATCTAGTCAGTGACACAGAGACCATGTTGCTCTGGAGCTAGAGAGGCCTGAGACTGGCTTCTTGTCAAAGGCATGAGACATACTCTATTCATTTGGCAAACAGTTACTGTCTGCTGTCGGCTGTATTTGGCTATAAGATGTTGAGGGGTTAGAACCCTCAGAAAGCTAGGGTCTCTTGAATGAGATAACTGAGTTGGGCTACACTTAGAAATGTACAATAGGAAATACCTCCAGCGGGGCCCAGGATCGAAGAAGGTTAAAACACAATGCAAGTATGTTTTGAGAACTACCAATAGTTTAGTACAGTGAAAGGCAAATGACAAAGGAAAGTTCCCAGTGGTGAGGCTGAAAGAGATGAGAGGAGGTGAGAGCTGAGGTAGGGCCAAACCCTAGAGACTGAATGGGAAGGTAGGGCTGAGCAGGAGGATGGATTGTGACAAAGGATATGGTTTTGCTTGTACATTAACCAAAAAAAGGGGCAGGGTGGGGGAGGGAAGGGTACCTCCAGAAAGGAAAAGACCTGGTTCTGGTTTGTCAGGCAGGAGAGCATGAACATAGGGGCCATGCCTTGGCCTCTTAACCTCCAGTGACTAGAGTAAGGAAAGCCTAAATAAACTAATGTGGGAGGAAAACGAAGCCTCTGAGGAACCTCATCTTCTGTGAGTAGGAGCCACCATTTCACCTGTAGCTTATATCACAAGGAGAATATATAGGCTTATGTGTTAGCAAACATAAAGATGGACCTTCAAGACTAATTGGATTTAGGAGCAGGAAATTTTACCAAAGCTCTACTTTTGTCCCAGTGCTCCACTTTCTGCTTCTCAGGTCCATTTCATATAGGTCCTTATCCAATGGCAAGGTGACTGCATTTTCAGCCTTAACTTCTTGTAGGGTAAAATCCAATGGAAAGTTTATCTGCCTTCCTCTCCAAGGCTCCCCAAAATTCTCATTGTATCTGGGCAAAATGCTCATTCCTGGGCCCATCACTGGGAGCAGGTATCTGACACTGAGTGACTGGCATAAGACTGGGTCACATGCTCCAAATAGGACAAGTGGCCTGAGCTGTGGAGTGGGAAGTTTCCCCAGAGGACAGTTATTCCAGATTACTAAAAGGCATCCATATTAGGAGACCAGAAACCAGAATGACACTCCATGAAGGTCAGCTGACTCTTTAGAAAATCCTGTTCCAGAATGGCACTGTACCAATGTAACAGAATTTTCTGCCATGAATAGGCCACTATGGAGACTGGGATATTTCTATCCTAAAGACCAAAATGTGGAGCTGATTTCTTTCCTCTCCTTGGAGAAAACCAAGCCATTTACAGTTTGCTTCCCTTGCTGTGGCTTAGGAAATGTCAGTGTCTGAACAGATGGGCAAGTGAGATGGCAGCATGTACAATTAGAATTGGGAGGCGAGGTGTCACCAAGCCCCAGGCAGCCCCATTCTTCACCTGCCCTGGCTTCTGGTCAGATCTGCCTTCCAAGCCCCTCTCCAGCTGCCACCGAGACTCCTTCCCAACAATCAGTGCAACTTGGAGGCTGAGTGGAGTGATACATTTTCTGGTGTTGACTGAGTTGTGCTATGAGCCAAACAGCTTGTCTCCATAAAGGGTGAATCCAGATGCTGGGTACTCAGGCCCCCTCCTAACACTGTCAAAGTTTTATTTCCATACTCCAGAGCACAGCTGGAATGCATTACCTTGCACCCTGGTAGAGAACCACTGCCAAAGTATGCATCAGTGGCGCTGCTGCTTCTTAAAGGAACAGGCTTGACAGTGGTTTTTCCTTGTTGATTCCTCCCTGCTGGGTCTGGGTTATTTTGAAACTGATATTTCAGTTTTCTCCCTTTGTGTCATAAAGCTGATCGGTGAACCCAGGAAAGGCCAGGGTCAAACCTAGAACTTGCAAAGGTCCCACATTCCAGCCTAGCCTGAAGAAGATAAAAAATGGTAAGAGAGCCAGTCCTACTCCTAGGCCAATCTGTCCCCATCACTGTGTGTCAGCCGTGGACATCTGAGGCAACTAGAGGGAGCTGCCTGGAAATCTTAGAAGTAGGGCCAGAATTCGGATGGCGTTTTGACCGGAAGCTTTGGAACTGGCCAAGACCTTGTACTGAGTGGTATCCAGGGGTACTCAGCAATGAATCAGTGCCAAGCACTCTCAGATATAGTAGGAGTCCTTGGCTCCACCCTTATTGTTCCCAGAGGATCATGGGGCTCTGAATGCCTAACTGATGATATCAGGCAACCAGAAAGTTTCACTTTTGGCACTTACTCATTCTGGCCACTGAGCTTTCTCCATTGTGTCTGCTTATCCAAGAGCTAGAGTAAAGTCAGCCCACTAGATCTGAAAGCTGGCTTGGGCCAGTCTTTCCACTGGAGGGGGAGGTGAGTTGGGAGCTTAAAAGCCAATGGAAGAAAAGGTCAAGTTCTAGCCGTCTCCATTGAAGAGAGTTTTTGTCTTGGAAGCAAGAGAATGATCTATGGGCATGTGAATGTGCCCACTTGTTGCTGGTAAGGAAGAAGGCCAGCTCTATCCAGATGTCTTTCTACAAACAAGAGGCCAGAACACATTACGGCAAGGTGACAGAAACTGCCTCCCAATTCTCACTGGTTTCTACTCCTCCACACTGGGGACTGGATGACCTGGCGCCTTAGCCATGCTCCCATCAGGAGGCAGCAAATCAGTCATCCCTTCACACAAAGGAGAGCTGATGAGCAGGAATCATTGGGGGAAATACAGACTTCTTTTCTTACACAGGTCTGGTGAAGACCTGGAGTAAAAATGATAACATTTTGGAGAATGCCAACCTCCACCAGTTCCATGTGCTGTGGTGCTCCTAGCACAGTACATAAATTTGTTCTCCCTTCACACTGCTTCATTGAGTCAGAGCTCTCATGCATGGCCTGGATTTATAAACACACACTAGCTGCCAACAGTGGCAATTTAGCCTCCTGACCCACTTTTCTCCTGCTTTCACTCTGGTGTGTGAAGTAGGGCAAGGGAAGGCCCAGAGAGGTGACCACTTGAACCTGTAGCAGGAAGTCCTCTCTGCCAAAGCATTGTGTATGTGGAACTGGGGCTGCCAAGGCAATTTTTCCCAGCCTTCTGAGTCTTCTGTGGGGCTGCAGACTGTGTAGAGATGCCAGTTGTGCCAATTGTCAGCCTGGAGATGGGCCCCAAGGAGAGAGATCTCATCTCTAACTAAATGCCACTCCTCATTCGTTTCATGTCCAGTTTGAGCCTGGAAGAGGTCCATGCGTGTTGGCCTTGGCTTTTATTTCAACATAGAAACTGTGAGCCTTACGACTTGCATATGAGTTGTTTTATTAGCAATAATGGGAACTCTGGAACCGCCAAAAGAACTATGTCCTCTTCCTGACCTGGTGTTGCTTTCTTCCGGCAGGCTTCCCAGCTCTGTGCCCAGCAGCCTGTCCAGAGTGAGCTGGTGCAGAGGTGCCAACAGCTACAGTCTCGTTTATCAACTCTGAAGATTGAGAACGAAGAGGTGAGTGTCCTGCACAGGGGGCTCAGAGCCTGCCCTCTCTGAGTTTTCTCCTCTTGAGCTGCTTGCCGCCGCCCATCTGGGAGCAGGTGGAAGGAGCATGCAGGGAATGTCCGGGCTGCTGCTCACATTTCCTAGCCAAATGTAGGGCTGGACTTTCCCCCTCTGCTACATCCTGCCCTTGAACTCCAGGAAGTTGCTCTTGCGTTGCCAAAGGTTGTGCTCTATTTTGAGCTTTTACAAAATGCTTTTCCCCCTTTACAGTTTAATCAAAATGGCACTTGGCAGCTGTATGAACGATATTGTGTCTCTGAAACCACCCCCTCATGCCTGGCTTTTTCCAGCATTTTCAAACAGAAGCCTTTGACTTTGACACTTCAAACATCTCCATACCCTTAGGAAAGGGTGACTGTTTTCTGGCCTCCATGCATGTGCTTTTAATAACTAGTTCAAAAGGGCAGTTGATAATGATCCAGCTTTCTTGTTTTGTTTTGTTTTTAAGATTTTTTTTTTTTTGCAAAGTCAGATTTACAGAGAGAAGGAGAGACAGAGAGGAAGATCTTGCATACGCTGGTTCACTCCCCAAGTGGTTGCAGTAGCCAGAGCTGAGTGGATCCAAAGCCAGAGCTTCTTCCAGGTCTCCCACACAGTGCAGGGTCCTAAGGTTTTGGGTCATCCTCGACTGCTTTCCCAGGCCACAAGCAGGGAGCTGGATGGGAACTGGAGCAGCTGGGATTAGAACCAGCACCCATATGGGATCCCAGCACGAGCAAGGCAATGATTTTAGTCACTAGGCTACCACACAAGACACGTGATCTAGCTTTGTACTCAGTTCAAGTTGCTTCTTACCTTGTATCTCAGCAAGGCTTACTCAGAAAGGACCAAGATCACTCCATATGCAAATAGGGAAACTAGTTCATTGGTTATTTCAAAGTTAAGAAACACAACCTGTGGAATTGTAGATCTAGCCATCACGTTTTTAATTAGCCCTTTGTACAAAAGGGCTGCTTTGTAGTTACTCTATTCTCTTTTTTGATGCTGTAGTGATATTGAAGAGTTAATATGAAACCTAAAATTTAACATTCAGTTTAAGAGTGGGTCAAGCACATACCACAAGGGGAGTAGCTGTTTTAGAGTTCTCATCAGACAGAGTAGAACATTGTGGCAGAGTGCAAATGATATTGCTGATGGGAAACAGAGCTGCACCCTCTGACAGCAATCCTCCATCCTTTGCAGCCCCGTCCTTTCCCACTTCTCCAAGCCTCTCCACTACCTGCTGTTTCCCAACCTGCCCTACACATTATGCTTGCAGGTAAAGAAGACAATGGAGGCCACCCTGCAAACCATCCAGGACATTGTGACTGTCGAGGATTTTGATGTGTCTGACTGCTTCCAGTACAGCAACTCCATGGAGTCGGTTAAGTCCACCGTTTCAGAAACCTTTATGAGCAAACCCAGCATTGCTAAGAGGAGAGCCAACCAGCAAGAGACAGAGCAGTTTTATTTCACGGTAAGGGAGCTCGAAGGCCTTTAAAGACTATCAGTGCACACCCAGCACATACAGGAGAGTTCGAACCAAGACCTTGGCCAGTGTCTGAATACTAGGCTTTGAATGTGTTGTGTTTAAATCTGAGCATGCTTGAAAATGACCCATATATTTAAAGGCAGCGCACACCTGCAAGTTGTATGCCTGGAAGGAACCCCCAAGAGAAAGGATGCTTCCACATTTACTCCAAGATTTCCCTGTTAAAGATTGCCTATCCAGCTAGTGAACTTTTCTTTCAAAGCTTCCCTCTCAGCCTACGTGGAACCTTGAAAGGGGGGGCTTGATCTCTTGATTCTTGGGAACGACCTCTAATTATCATGGCTAATACATACCTTGTTTTTAAATGTTTAAAAGCTCTAGGTGATATGATAATAGTATTTTAGAGCTTTACTTGTTAGAGAATTATTTTTTATAAATACGGCTAAAACTCAAAGGGAATCACAGTGTGCAACAAGGTTGTTTTGCAGAGCCTTCCAAAACAGTGTCTTTTGTTATTTGTGTATCTGCAATCTTATTTTAGACAGATGGACTCTTTTTATTTTTTATTTATTTATTTGTTGTAGTGTTAACAACCCTTTGGAAGGTTGCTAGCTGGTCTTTGGTGCAGCTTTTTAGTAATTAAGCTATTTTGAGCTTGCCAAGTGGAATTTATTGCCTGAACTAAAATTTTTTTTTCCTAAACTTCTGACGACCAAGAGAAGAAAAATTAATTTTGCAGATGTGAGATGAAATATAGCCAGTGAATATGCATACTGATTCTGAATGAAAGAAATTAACTTGTTTTTCAGTCAGGAAGCACAATCTGCATGCTGTAAATTGAAATTTTTTTTTCTCCAACTGGAAAAATTTGTTTGATTCATATTTACACACTATCGTTTCTTCATTAAGAACACCAATGATTTGCTAATATTTTTAAGATTTATTTGTTTGTTTGAAAGTCAGGATTACAGAAAGGGAGAGATCTTTCTTGCACTGGTTCACTCCCGACTGATCGAAACAAATAGAACTTGGCCAAGACAAAGCCGAGAACTCCATCTGAGTCTCCCGTGTGGGTGCAGAGCCTAAGCATCTGGACTGTATTTGATGTCTTTCCCAGGTGCATTAGCAGAATGCTGGATCAGAAATGGAACAGCTGGGACTGCAACCAGTACCCATATGAGATGCCAGTGTCATAGGCTGTGGCTTAACCTGGTGTTCCACAATGCCAGCCCGAAAATAATTTTTAGAAAATTATATACAAAACAAAACATGCTCGTAACATAAAACTTAGAAGCACAATGGGTCTGGCGCAATAACATAGCGGCTAAAGTACTCACCTTGAACACGCCTGGATCTTATATGGCCACCAGTTCTAATTCCAGCAGCCCCACTTCCCATCCAGCTCCCTGCTTGTGGTCTGGGAAAGCAGTCAAGGACAGCCCAGAGCCTTAGGATCCTGCACCCACATGGGAGACCCAGAAGAAATTCCTGGCTCCTGGCTTCGGATTGGCTCAACTCCAGCCATTGGAGCTGCTTGCGGAGTAAACCGTCGGATGGAAGATCTTTCTCCTTCTCTCTATAAAAATCTGCCTTTCCAATAAAAGGAAATGAATCTTTAAAAGAAAAAACCTAGCACAAAGAAGAAAAGTCACCCATAATCCTACAACCTTAGGATATAATTCTTCCAGTCTTTTTTTTTTTTAAGTTTTATTTTACAGGTAGAGTATCAGAGACAGAGAGAGGTCTTTTATCATTGATTCACTTCCAAAGTACCTGCAGTAATGAGGGCTGGGCCAGGCCAGGCCAGCAGCTGGGAGCTTCACCTAGGTCTCCCAAGTGGAAGACAGGAACCCATGTACTTGGGCCATTATCTGCCAGTTCCAGGAACCGGATGGATTTCCTGTTAATGGGACTCAAACTGGCTCTCCAGTGTGGGATGCCAATGTGGCACATTATGCTGTAGCTTAACTTGCTATTCCACAAGTTCTGTTCTTTTCAGTGTTTTTTTTCTATGCAGGCATAGATACATTTTAATATGTATTTAGAATTTTATTAGGAAAAAATGGAATACAGATAGACTTACTATTTTATAAGCCAAATCATTTAGTTATAATACTTTTAAGAATATTTATGAGTAAAATATCAAAATCTATACAAGGAAATAATGGAATGATATTTTGCCTCTTCTTCCCATTGATTTAAGAGTTTTTTTTATTTGGAAGGCAAAGTGACAGAGAGGGAGAGAGAAAGAGAAACAGAGATCTTTCATCTGTTGATTCCACCCCCCCCAATGGCTGCAACATTTAGGGCTGAGTTAGGCCAAAGCAAGGAGCCAGAAATTCCATCCAGCCCCCCCACATGGGGTCAGAGGCGCGGCCATTTTGGATCATTATAAGGGTCATGATCACTGGCTTCCCAGGGGCGTTGGCAGGAAGCTTGATTAGAAGCGGAGCAGCCAGTACTCGAACCAGCACTCTGTTTGGGGATGCCAGAGTTGCAAGTTGACTTAAAACACTGTGCCATAATGTTAGCTCTATATTCATTTTTGTAAAATAGTTAATGCATTGTTTGTCATTAGTGCTGATCTGGAAACTAAATATTATTTTCACTTTCATTATTTATTTATTTATTCATTAATCATTATTAGGATAGCCATTACTCATTTATTGTGAATTTACTATACGTTAGCCATTGAGTTATAACATGGGAATGCTTGGATTTATAAAATGAGAGGGAGTGATGGACTCTGGCATGTAAAGGAAGAATTCTTTCTTTATTTTTTTTTTTTATTGCATGTGCACATATTTCTAAGTTACAATAGATTGATTTTTATAATTAAAAAATAAATGTAAAATTCTTAAATGCCCACATTCACATGTACTTAATGGACTTCAGATGCATCATATACAAAGGGACTTTTTGTATGTGATTTTTTTTGTTGTTAAAAAAAAAAAAACCTGACTTATTTATTTGAAAGGCAGAACAGAGAGGGGGGGAAAAAAAGACCAGAGAGATTTTCCATCCGCTGGTTCACTCCCCAAATGGTTACAACAACCAGGTCTGTGCCAGGCCAAAGCCAGAGACCAGAAACTCCATCCTGGTCTTCTACAAGTGCTTGGAGCATCCTGCACTAACGCCCTAGGTATATTAGTAGGAAGCTAGGTTGGGAGTGGATCAGCCAAGCCTCAAAACAGCACTCTAGTATGGGATGCAAGTGTCATAGGCAATGGCTTAGCCAGCCACACCACAAAGCCAGCTGTTTGTGCTTAAACTTGAAAGATAAGTGAACTCAGGAGTGGACTAAAAAGGAAAACGGCATTCCTTGAGGAAAATATAGCATTTACCAGTCATAAAGATATACAGAAACCTGGTTTAAATGTTTCAAGAACTTAACTATAGTGAGTCTGTTTTACTGCTTCAAGCTTTAATAGCAAAGAAGCCTACTGAACACTCTCTAGAGACTTTTAATTATAGGATTGTTTGGTCTATTTGGACTGCTTAAGATATAACTTAAATGATCCAATCTCATTGTATTGCATATTTCCATTTTTCAAGTTAAGTAAGAAATATTGAGCATTGGACAGTCTTTGTCGGAACACTTTTAGTTGCTAAGTGAATCTGCAATGTTGACAGTCAAAGCTGGCCTCTGGTGAAAGCAGGAGTGACCAATTTTCAAGCTGGTAACCAAGTCCTGCCTGCCCTTACCTTCCACCTAAAGGCACTGATGTCTCTGGTCCATTTCCTGACTTGTGTTTGGAGAGCTGCTCTGCAAAATTGTGTGTAGACTGCCTTGGCTCCCAGGAATGGTTTTTGTCCAGGTTTGTCCGGTAGTGTATTTTACAAGATGGTTCATTTGGGTGACTGATGCCTGATTTGTATTAGACAATTCGTTTTTGGATAAGAGGGCTGTTTTGGAGGCAGTGGCAATACAAGAGAAATGTGCCCAAGTTAAATAAAGTGGGTGCCAGTGTTTGGCAGATCATAGTGTCTTCAGTTGTCTCTGCCAAAGTTACCCAGGTGTGTCTCTGTGCCCTTCATGAATGTCATAGCAACACATCCCAGCAGTTCCCTTCTTAGAAAGTTAAGAAGTCCCTTGGTGTGGCTGAATCCTACGGAGTGCACCTAGTGACCAACAAGGCTGTTAAGAAAGTTCTCTGGTTACTCAGCACATGTCATCAGATTGGTCTCCCTGGATGAATTCACTGGAAATGTCAATTTTATCCTATAAAACTCATTTACTTGAAGGTGTCTCAGGAAAGTACTCATGGAATTTTAAAGCTTGAGATGATTTTTAAAAAGTCATCTAGCCAGTGTTCCCATTTGAAAATTTAATAAAACCAAACAGGAAACAAAATCAGAGAGGATAGTTGGTTTGTTTAAAGTCCTGAATAATAACTGGACCCAGAACACTGGTCGCCTGTCCTCTGGCCACAGGCTTCTCTCCATCTGTTGAGGAAGCCAAATGAAGGAAAAGGTACAGTAACAGTTCCACAGGTTTCTCCTATATCCCCTAACTGAGGGAGATGTTTCCTGATCTTGACTTTGCATCTTTGGCTGGAATGGAAAGAGGTTAAGGGTTATGGCTGAGCTGCTAAAATAGTGAAGGCAAACTAACTGAATTTTTAGGGATAGATTGGTGGGAGTGGAGGAGGTTTCTTGGTCACTAGGGCAGTGTCCTAGACCACTAGGATTGAAGCTTACCATAACTTTTTTTTTTTATCTTGGAATTCTGCTGATCCTTGGTAAACATGTACTAAGCTGCTACAAATGAGGCAGTGCCCTTGCTTTGCCAATTACAGCCAGGAGGTGTGCTCCATGGAAGGTTTACTCTATTATTTATTCTGCCTGACAGCTGTTTCTTGCTTTAAAAATTGATGGGGAGGAAGCGGAATGTCAGAGTGCCTGTATGGCGGGAAGGAGCAACAATAAGGACATCTGTGTATCTCTGCACACGGAGCTAGCTAGGCAGAGCTGTCCCCTCTTACTCACCACCTCCTGATGCAATCCAAGGCGTAAACAAGGTTCCATGAGTTTGTTCACCCCCATGTTAAGAATGTACTTAAAGGAGGAAGAGTTTTCAAAATTAAATTTGAGGAACCTTCTTATACCTAAAACTGTTGGTTTTGGGTTTGGGTTTGTTTTTTTTTCTTTTCTTTTTAAGACCTGGACCTTTTATTTTGATTTAGCTTTTTCTGTATTAGCACAAAGCAAAGAAGTTTAAGGAAGGAAGATATGTTTTAGGTCCAGATGATTCAGATATAAAGAGCAGGTTCTTTTTTGAGATATAAAATTTATCATTGATGGTGTTTACATAGTTGAGACAGGTGTATGCCCTTGCCACTGATTAGGGTGGGAAGGGTCGAGGAATGGGAGAAACTGGATGAGACAATTGCTTCTAACTGTTTTTGTTCTTTTTTTCTTCCTGTACTTGGGGAGATTGAGGAGAGGAGAGAAGGCTGTTTCAGTACCCAGGGATGGGGTCAGCCACTTGATACCATCCTAAGACCCCCAAAAGGAGCACTTTTTGATTACTTACATTATGTTGGGCCTGTACTAATCATAGTTTATGCTTAGTATCCTAACTAAAATTCAGTGTAGTAGAAAATATATTATTCCCGTTTTTCAAATGGAAAAATAAAGACTCAAAAGGGGTTAAGTGACTTGCCCAAGGTTAAAAGCATCAATACGTGATAGGATTATAATATTCCAACTCAGACCTTTTCATTTTACTGCAATAAAAATGTGTGTCAGTGGGTCTCAGAAGGGAAAATTATTCTATTAGTATTCTGTTCAATAAGTAAACCTCACTGCTGATGGTTAATCCAATTAAAAATTGTGTGGAAATAATGTAGTCACAAAAACAGAATTTGAATTTCACAATAGCAGCAACAACCCAAATTCTTTTCACTCCTACTTTTTGTAGAAGTTTTCAATTTTGATAGTATTGACTGTGTTTCAGGGACTTTATCCTAGCGAAATGAAATTCCCAGGTGAAATAAAAATACCGTGTCATTACTTGTAGGTTTGGGTGAGGGCAGGTGTAAGAAGTGGAATGACAGATAATTAGTCAGGCAGCTGACCCTCATTGCGCTAGGAAGAGATTTTGAGATTACATAGGAAGAGCTCTTTTCCCAGTCTCCTGGTCTCCAAAAATCATCACAAAGCCACCTTTTCCTCTCTTGTCCCTCAGCTGTCTCAACCCCCTTCTCTGTGTGTCTGTCTGGCAGCAACCCTGAAACTCAACTCTGCTGATAAAGAAAAGGTGATTTATATCCCCAGCTTCGCTCTCACACAGTTGAGTGCTGCCTACAGGGCAGGAGAGGGAAATGATAAATAACCTGTCTGTATACTCCAGGAGGCCTTTACCATCCCGTACCTGCCCCGCTGGGTGGAACCCTCCCAGTTATTGTTTCCACACGGCATTAGGGATGCAAGTCATGCCTCGACACAGTTTGGACCTCTAGGATTGAATGGAACCCATAAAGGGAATCCATCTTACCTCTTTATCACATTTTTATTTATTTTTTTATTTCCCCTCTCCCCCATTCTATTTATTTTAATCGTTCACTGAGTGACAGGCAGAGTTAAGTATGAACAAAAAAGAAAAAATTGTTTTTGGAATCACAAGCAGAAACAAGAGAGGGAGGAATTCACTTCCATCTCCTTACAGAATTGTAACTGTTTCTTAAGCAGTTTGGTCTGGTATTTGAGGGTTACAGCTTCTTGGAGAATTTTCCTCATTAGGAAATCTCTGAAGTCTCCTGGGATAACCTTCCAAAGAGAGGCCTTTGAGATTTATGTTATTAGCAGTAGATGTTTCCTGAAGGTTTTTCACCCCTGAGCCCTAAAGTACTGTTCCAAGCCCACAATTAGGCCTTAGTTTGGGGATTAAAATATCTCTCAGAGAAGATTGACAGCAGGTGAGCTGCAGCTGGAGCAGATGGAAAGGGGAAGGTGACAGCGGAGCCTGTTTTCATGGTGAAGGGCACATTTCCTGTGTAATAGGGAGGGTCAGGGCACTCTCTAATGTTATTTGCATGACTTACAATTGCTGAGGAAATTTCATCCAGAGAAGAATGAGACTGACACATTGATTTATTGGTCTTTATACATTTCTTGAGCTTTTGCTATCTGCTAGGCATGGGACTAAGCTCAGAGATGCAAAGGATCATGAGTGACACAATCCCAGGCCATTCAGAGGAGACATCCTTGAGAGAGACGTGTGAGCAACAAACCCTTCCTAATGGAGCTGTGTAAGAAGCGCTGTCCTGGAGAGTCTCATGGGACACAATAGAACCATTGGATGAGTGTGGGAAGGCTAGAAACTGCATCTCAAAGAAAGCAGGATTTTTCTTAGTTTTTAAATGAGAACCAGAGAGTTGTATATAGCTTCGTAAAAGTTCACACTGTAGGGGCAAACTTGGGCAGAACAGTAAAGATGCCTCTTGGGACACCTGCATCCTACATCAGAGTACCCAGGTTGGAGTCCTGACTGTTTCCTAATCCAGCTTCTTGCTAATGCTCATGCTGCCACCCCCATAGGAGATCCAGCAGATGTAACTTTTGTCTCCTGACTTCAACCTGATTCAACCCTGGATGTTTTTATTTAATACACACTAAAAGGTGGACAGAACTATTGCTTAAATATTTTATCCATTTGCTGTCTCAGCGACCTCATGTCTACCTTTGCTTATGAGTCACACTCTGGGAAACCTTGCTGTTGGTTTCTGAGTTTATAACCTCTGATTGCACAAATGAAGCCTTACATCTTAAGACAACCAAGGGAAACCCACATCTCTAAGAGTGGCTGTGGAGAAAATGGGAAAAACACCATCTTAAGAGTTTAAAGGGGGCCCTGGGCCCTGATGCACAGGTCTAGTGGTTAAATCCTCACCTTGCATCTGCCAGGATCCCATTAGGGGTACTAGTTTGAGGCCTAGGAAAGCAGTAGAGGATGGCCCAAATGTTGGGACCCTGCACCCGCATGGGAGGTCTAGATAAAGCTCCTGGTTCTTGGCTTCCGATCAGCTCGGCTCTAACTGTTCCACCCACTTGGGGAGTGAACTAGTGAATGGAAGATCTTTTCTCTGTATCACCCTCTCTCTGTATATATGCCTTTCCAATAACAAAAATAATAATAACATAAATCTTTATAAAGAAAAAATAGAGTTCAAAAGGGCCCAGTACAATGGCTCAGTTGGCTAATCCTCTCCCCTGCAAGCATTAGGATCATGTATGTGTCCTGACTGCTTTATTTCCCATCCAGCTCCCTGCTTATGGCCTGGGAATGCATTGGAGGATGGCCCAAAAGCCTTGGGACCCTGCACCCATGTGGGAGACCCTACAGGAACTCCTGGCTTCAGATAAGCTCAGCTCCAGCTGTTGCAGCCACTTGGGCGGTAAACCAGCAGATAGAAGATCTCTCTCTTTCTCTCCTTTTCTGTGTAAATCTGTCTTCCTAATGAAAATAAATCAATCTTAAAGAAAAAGTTCAAAGGCTGGTGGTCTAGGCCTGGTACTGCCACCGATTTTGAAGGACCAGCAACTTGTTTGACACTTCCTTCATCTTCTCATCCGTAATCAGAAAATAATATCTTCCTTATGTGTTGTATTTTCTCATTGTGTTTTACAGTTACTGTGAGAGTCAAATGAGAGCATATGTACTAAAGCACTGTAAAGACTCTCAGCATTGCTACGCATACAAACAATCAGAACTATGATGTTGACTTCTGCTGCCTTCCCTCTCCTGCTCTATACCATAGTAGTGGAGCTTTGTATCTTAAAGGTTAAGCGTACACATCATGCTTGCAAAGTGCATTATGTAGTTGCTGACTACTCTTTGCTAAGTGCTTGGTCTTGAACAAACTAATTAATCTCTACAAACTTCAGTACCCTCGTTCATGAAATAATAACAGTACATGGGGCTGCTTTGAGGGTTTGGTGGGTTGTCAAGGAAACCTGGTCTCTCATTGGGCACACGAGTGTTGAAAGAGACCCAGTCTAAAAGCACATTCCTGCCATCATATTTAGACAGAGTAGATGAGATTGCATTCCCAAAACTCCATCTTGTGTTTAGAACTGTTCACATGTGTGCAGGTGAGGACGGCAGCCCCTCCTTCTGAATACTTTCTGTGATAATTCCATGTGGAAGAGATGAGGCTGATCAGGGCACGGTGCAGCTGAGGCAGGGGCTGGAGCCTGCTCTGGGCACTGCTCCTGGTGTGATGGAATGCATCAAACGGATGTTGGCTGAGGTAGCACACAGCAGGTGTGTCTCCTCCTGCAGTTCTTTAGGGGAACTGAAGAGGACAGATGAGGGTCTCCGGCAGTCCGTTTTTTTTTTTTGCATTGGCCCAATGTGTAACTCCCAAGATAATGTGGAGCAGGGCGTTATTCCACCATGAAATCAGCAACCAGCTATAGATGCAGCACCTTCAAGAAATCAGAGTGGATCTGGTGGAAACTGGGTCAGAAACCAAATGATTGACAAAGGAGCTGTCCTGTGGAGCATTGGTGCCTTTTTTCCCTTTGTGATTCTGATCACTCTCCTCTTTCTTGACAGAAAATGAAGGAGTACCTAGAGGGCAGGAACCTCATCACCAAGTTACAAGCCAAGCATGACCTTCTGCAGAAAACCCTGGGAGAAAGTGAGTGTGGGAACCCTCGGCAGCAGACTTGGCATGGGGAGGGCCCCACTGAGCTTTCCTGCTGAGCACTCACTTCCATCCGCAGCCAAGTGGATCTGATCTGGTTATAGGAATGCATTTCTTTTCCTGGCCTGTTTGATGTGAAAGCCCACACCCCCCAGTGACTGCTTGAGTAATGGGGAAAGACCAATGCTTAATGAAGCACTAATGTGCATCATCTATTTGTTTAAGTGGAGCGTGCCTGCTCTCCACCCATTCCCCCTCCTTTGCCACCTCTGCCACGACTGGGGTAAAAGGCCTAAGCTATTATTTCTTTTCCAGATACTTAAGTTAGGTAGGGAGCCAGGAGATGAAATGACCAGCTGCTTGAGGGAGGGCTGAGGACCCTCCAATGCAGGTGTGATCGACAGACTGCTACTTGCTGCAGCTTCCAGGCAGAGCATCAGTTTGCTCTGCTTCCAAGGGTCCTGACCCGGCGTAGGTGGCAGCTCTCTCACCACAGGGCCGTGCCAAAGCCCTGGTGTTGAGTGGACTGTCTCATCTCCCAGGATGATTTTAACCAGATCCTGGAAAGTAGCAAGGCAGAGAACAGGACTGGCACTCTGGACTTTGTCTCTTTGGCTGTCAAACAGAAGGCTAAAGTTGAAAGAGAAGCTTCCCCGGGGCTTTCTGGCACCCATCCCAGGTCTCCTGCCTGACTCTCAGCATCCTGTGATTAATGGAATTCCCAGGTTGGGGATGCCTCGCTGTGCCCAGCCCCTTCTCCCTGCCCTACTAATCCCCTTACTTAAGGATGAGAGAGAGGGAAGGAGAGTCTGCAGGGAATGTGTGGTGACATCAGTGACAGACAAGCTATGCTTATGCAGAAGTCTAATGTTTTAAGTAAATTCTTGAGCAATCTTTGGGTCACCTGGACAGTATAGGATGGTTTGCAATACTCACAGGCTTATTGGCACTGGGAATTAAAACCCCACTTTTTGTAACAGAGCCTTCTACACACCTTTTTTGCCCTGTCCTTTTCCTACCCTGAACAATTCCCCAATATGATTAACTCGTTTTGGCTCTAGCAGCTCTGATCTTGTGATACAGTTAGGCATTTTATTTCATGTGAGGAAAGCCTGTTAGATAACTTGTGTTCTCGCTCCTCTGCACACCACCCAAGGGAACCGACTAAACAGGTTCAGGCATTGCGAGTCAAACTTAACTTGTAGAAAATCATTCCTCTTGGGTTATCAGATTGTTCTGCTAGGAAATGGAGGAAAAACAGCCCATAACTCTCTGAAGCAAGTTGTAGCTGTGATTTCTTTTTTTCAAGACCATCTAGGCACAATCCTTAAGAGCAAAGCTCTGGGACACACGCATGTGTATGGTCTTGCTCACACATATACATGCATCAAATGTGCTATTGTGGGGGGAGAAAGATGCGCCACTCATTAGTGCTGTAAATTATCTAATCTAAAGGTGACAAGTTCTAGCAATCAAGGGGAGTGGTGGTGGGGGGCGGTTACTGAATCCTCCTGTGTGCAAGTCATCATGTCCCTGCCTAATGTATGTATTTGTTACTATAATACAAGAGCCCCCTTGTTCTTGCCACACAGGGATAATTGATGTATATGAATATTCCAGAATGGAAATGGGACAGATGTTGAAAATAATAGCTCTGAATAATATTTGTGCAGATGAAAGCTGAGCCTTTGGTAACGAGACTGTTAAGAGCTGGAATATGGTGTTGCTCGAGATGAGCTGAGCTGTAATCAACAATTAGCAACCTCTAAAGGCAGGAAAAAACTGCCTGCCCTCCCCCACCTCTGGAGTTGCCTTTCCAGGAACTTGGCTGAGGAGCATGGGAGCTAATCTCTCTTTCTCTGGCTCAACACCTGCTGGGGTCTGCCCCTAGTTTATCTAATATGGGTCTAATACAGATCCAGCTTTATTAACAGTGAACCAAAGAACACAACATGTATGTTTTATGGCCCATGTAAACATGCATGTATTTTTTAAATACATAAGAATATTTGTTACGAACTTTAAGATTTTAAATTTCTTCCTCTCATTCAATTATTTCTTTATTTAAAAGAAAGTTACAGAGAGAAATAGAAGTAGAACTCTTAAATCTGTTGATTCATTCCCCAGATGAGCACAATGGATAAGGCTGAACTATGTGGAAACCAGGAAGATCATCTGGGTCTCCCACATGGGCACAGGGCTCCAAGACAAGGGACCAGTCCTCCGTTGCTTTCCCAGACACATCAGCAGGAGTTGGTTCCAAATGGGGTGCTGGCATCACAGGCAGCAGTTCAACATGCTATGCCACAATGCCAGCCCCTCAATTTCATTTTTTAAAGCTGGCTATGACCCATAATACTAGGGTCTATTATTGAACTGAGAAATGTAAATTGTTAGCAGAAGCAGCAGTAAAGCACATTTATCTCTTACCACCTCAGTCCCACCAAAGAGGAAAATAATAGTTTGAGTCTAAAAGTAAAGCAACCGTATCTTCTCCTTCTTCTTCCAAACAGGTCTTTTTCCTTCTTCCCCTCTCAACCTGAAGTGTGTGTGTATTGTATGTATTATGTATGTTCATATACTCAGGAACAAGCAAATTTGATCCCCCCATACATGTAAGAACAGCTAAATTTCATCTCTCTGAATCACTGAAATGTTCTGTAATGTTTGCTCTCCCTTGTTGCTGTTCCCCACAGCCACCCCAATTTTCCCTTTGAGACACAGAGTTGATAGACCTCAGGTGATGCTGGCAACCCTGACCTGGCACGTGGCATCAGAAACAACTCCTGCCTCTAAGGGGCTAGGGGTGCTCTGGGAAGATGGGCAGGGCATGGGCACTGTTCACCACTCCTGCTGCAACATAAGCTTTTTGCATTTGTCTTTCCAACAGGTCAGCGAACAGACTGCAGTCTGGCCAGGTAGGTGTGATCCAGTACACTCCTGGGAAGGGAGGAAGAAGGCTGGGATCTTGGGATCCCAAGATCCCAGCCTGAGAAAGAAACAAAGAGCTGAAATTGCTGCTTCCCTTTGCCTTCCTGACCCCATCTGATCTCAAATGGAAGTGGATTCACTGCAACTTACGCAAGTAGCTCAACAGACCTGAATGAAGGAAGTTATCATTGCTGAAACTTCCCAGAAACTCCCAAATACCATTGCCTTGCAAGGATGTTAAACAGTTGATTCTAGAGGATCCTGGTAACCCAAACGTAACAGCCAGACTTCAACAAGTGAGCTTTGGAAAGGCCTTGATAAGATCAGGAGACCATTTGATCTGATTTGCTGTGCGCAGAAAAGATGACAGCTCCTGACTAGTGACTATTGCTAGATAATGAAAAATGATATTGTATTTTTTTGGCTTGCCAGATAGCAAGAGTAAAGATCCCTTGCCTGTTGTACAAGTATGCAATCCTCCCAGTAATCCTCCACCTTCCCTTCCCTCTCACATCACAGCCAAATATTTTCCCTCCCAGTCATAGTGCTGCTATGAGAAAACTCGTGAGCTGGCAGAAAGCGAAGTGTTCATTCCGCCAACAATCCTCAGATGCCTAAAAATGTGCTGATTTTGACTGGAGAAAGAGCTCTAATGGGCCACTTGCCTTAGAGACCCTGGGTTAGCCCATTATAGTCACCACCTGTGTGTGCCAACACGCACAATGGTCATGAGGCCATTTACAATTATGGCTCATTATTTAGAGATAGCCTCATTTGGCTTTCATCGTTTTGCCATTGTGGATTACAATAAAGATTCTGTTAATAGCACAGTCTTGGCGATTGGAGAGAACCAGGATAATGGAATCCTGTGGGATATTATCTTCTTTTTTTTTTTTAATGTGAGCCAAATTTCTATTTGTTCATTTCTTGCATTTGTAGTATTCTTCGATGCCATTAAAAGATTCTTCATCCTAGTCCTTTTTTTTTTTAAGATTTATTTTATTTTTATTGGAAAGTCAGATATACAAAGAGGAGGAGAGACAGAGAGGAAGATCTTCCATCCGATGACCGCAACGGCCGATGCTATGCACCCGAAGCCAGGAGCTCTTCAGGGTCTCTCACACGGGTGCAGGGTCCCAAAGCTTTGGGCCATCCTCGACTGCTTTCCCGGGCCACAAGTACGGAGCTGGATGGGAAGCGGGGCCGCCAGGATTGGAACCGGCGCCCATATGGGATCCTGGGCATTCAAGGCGCGGACCTTAACCACTGCGCCACTGCGCCACTGTGCCACTGTGCCACTGCGCCACTGCACCGGGCCCCATCCTAGTCCTTTTAACCACTACATGACTGCAGCCAGCCACTTTATGTAGTTTCCCCTCTTGGTCAGTTTTACAGAGGCCTACCCATTCCCCACATTATTGTTGTCATCAACCTTAATGAGGTTGATTTGGTGTTCAGCACAACTGGCCTCCACCAAACTTGACATAGATAAACTCATCATATGCAAGCACACAAAGGTGGGCTTGGCACTTGTTTGAGGCTTTGGCAGCTTCACCAATTCCTACGTTAGGCCATTGTGAACAAGGGTAGGCCTTCTTGTAAAGCGGGATTAACATGCACTACATCTCCAGCATATGCCTTCCTCAGCCGTAACGATGGGGGGGTTACAGGTGAAATAAATCTTGAACACACTCAAGCCTCTGCCTCCACACAAAGTCGGTGGCAGCTGGGGAAGCAGCAGAGGTATCTTGATGGTAGTCTTGATTCAAGGGTGAGCACCTGCGCTCCTGTAGCTGCAGAAAGCTCTGTGGGATTGAGAAGAGCAGGTGACTCTATTGTGTCACCTTGGGCTGCTCTTTTCTCGTCTCCGAACTCTGACTTCCTCTCCTATAAAAAAAAAAAAAGAATATTACACATTATCAGAAGAATTCCAGAATTTTCTCAGGCCTGGCCTGATAGAGGTAGCAAAGCAAGGCCCAGTAGCCAGGCTCTGGTCCCTTCCTTGCTCCCAGCAGGGCAATGCTAGCATATTTGTTTGAGGCAGTGTGCCTCTGAGTCTGACTCCCTTGAAGAAATATCCTCTGAGGCCACAGTCAACTGAAAAACACGGATCCAGAGAAGCCCCAGGATGGATGTCCCACCCACCACGTCCAGAAAAATTGCTCTCTGTGTTTTTCCTAAGGATTTCCAAGAGAAACAAAATTTTTACAGCATTTGGTGTTTACAGATCATCTTCTTGTTGATGTCTAACCAAGATAGCTTTGGCTGCAAATTGAGCCAGTTTTCTCCTGTTCAGATTTTGAATGGTGATAGATCTTTGACTCGGTCTTTATTTATTTTTTTTAAATCCAAGATATGATTTCTCTGAAAGTCAGAATTAGGGAGATCTTCCATCCACTGGGGTTCTCTCCCCAAGCAGCTGCAGCAGCCAGGACTCTGCAGGGGCTCAAGCACTTGGGCCATTTTCTGCTGCTTTCCCAGACACATTAGCAGGGAGCTGGATTGGAAATAGAGCAGCTGAATCCCAAACCAGTGCCCATAAAGGTTGCGGGTGCTGCAGGCACTGCCAGCCCCAGAATGATGGTAAATCTTAAATCATCTCTATGCTGTTGTAAAGAAAAGCACTTCATTGGGCTTTATCTAGAATGTAACTGATCAAGTGACTAGGCCTGAGATGGATAATGTGACTTTTTTTTTCAGCTGCCACACAGCTTAGTTAGTTATTTAAAATTTTTGCTTCTGGGTTTAAAATGCTTGGTTGTCTCACTGTGTCTCAATTCTCTTTTTCCTGCCTGTTGCTGTATGGGTCCTGTCGGACTTGTGGGATCAACAACAGGCGTAGCTCAACCGTGAGGAAACAGGTAAGAGTCCCGCAAGGGCCAGGCTGATCAGGCCTGAAGAGTGGGTATTGCTAATCCACTAGATGGGGCAATCTTTCTCTAAACTTAAAGATTGTTTTTATTTTCTGTAATGTCATTCTAGATATATTTGTATATTAACAATGCGAAGGGTAAGCCTGGTCTTGAGAAGAGAGCCAAGAGCTGCTCCACTGCACAACTTCTGCACATGATTTTCAGTGTTGTTCTCAAATCTGTTACTGGGCAGCCAGCCCTCATCATCTGTGTAAGGAGGGGTCTTAGAGAATGCTGATGTGGATAATCTGCATCAATAGCTACTTCACATGGTTCTTGTGCTTATTTAAGATAATAATTGAAGCATTTTGTGCGTGACAAATTTGGCTTCCTAATTATACCTGAGAGCAAATATTGAAGTGATTTTGTGTCCCTGCATCTCATGTCAGCCGTGCAGTAAGCAGTTAACAAGGGGTAGACAGAGCTTTATCGCCACTCAGAAGAAAGCTTACCCAGGATTTAAAAAAATTTTTTTTGGGTGATTCACAGTGGTGTTACCATAGGAAGACAATCGAATGTGGAGGACACCTGGTTTCTGTGGTGTTGGCACCCCCACAGGCCCTTTGGCTGCTCTGACAGCTAGGAGTGGGTAGACAGTCCTGCTGGGGAGCTCACGTGACGTGAGCGGCACTTAACTCTGCTGCTGCTTGTCTACTTTGGATCTTATTTTGGTAAGAACACCTTCAGATGCACTTCCATAGACCTTTAAATTAGGAAAATTCCATTGCAACCCTCTTTCCTCTTTGTTCTTGAACTTCCTTATTCTTACCCCTTCTCCCATAATTTCATTTTTTCTGTGAACATTTTTTAATGTTCATGTTTACCTACTTGAAAAGCAGAGACAGATCTTCCATCTGATGGTTCACTTCCCAAATGCCCACGGCAGCCAGAGCACAGCCAGGTGTGAATCCAGAGTGGCAGGGGCAAGCACTTGAACCATCATTTATTTCCTCCCAGGATGGATTAGCAAAAGTGAAGTAAAAAGTAACGTTAAAAAAAAAAAAGTAGGCTAACCCACTGCTTCAAAGTGTCCACCCCTCATAATTTTATTTAAAACTGGAGGGAACAGATGTCTTTGAGAGGTAATATATTACATTTAAAATGAACAGGTTGTTGTCTCATTTTTAAAATTAATTAATTTTATTTATTTGAAAAGCAGAGAGAGTTCCCATCCATTGGTTCTCTGTTGGTTCACTCCCCAAATACCTGCAACAGCCTGGTCTGGGTCATCCAGAAACCAAGACTAGAAAGACCATTCGGGTCTCCCATGCAGGCCAGAGACCCTAGTAACCCAGCTACCACCTGCTGTCTCAAGGAGTGTGCTAGCAGGAGGCGATCTGATGCATCCTTTTAACTGGCATACCAAATGCCTATCTCTGCAAATTTGTGCTTTAAACAGGGAATAAGCCATTTTCCCTTTAGCACTAAAAATAAAATGAAGCTCGAAAGTCAGTTCCTTTCAGTTCCTGAACTAAAACCGAAATCTCTTGCTTGTAGATGGAACATGTGTGTGAGAGCGGAAGCCCTCAGTTGGGCAAATGGTGTGAGCTCTTGATTGGGACCCATGCTGAGGGGACTGGCACCCATGTGGTTTGCAGGCCACTGCTCCTAAACAGATGCAGGCAAAGCATATGCCTGGTTCTGCATTTGCCTGAGCACTCCAGAATACACCAAAAAGCCCACTCAAATAGACTTTACTTTCAGTCTGCTGTTCTGGTTTATTTCTATCAGTCGGAATCCAATGTTGGATCAGCAAGAAGTTTTTCTAAAATAATAAATAACTTGAAAGATGCATAATCTTGTATAAGTAGTTAGGAAATAAATGCGCATTTGCTTGCATGCTTGTTCATGGCAAGTAAGCCAAACAAGAAGAAGAATCTGGTAGCTTTTGTTTTGGAGGATCCCTAATGGGTTCCAGTCATTTTTGCCTCTGGCACAGACTAGATACAAGCTGTGCTGGACCTTTCTTTAAAAGGAGGTGCTTCAACTGCTCCTTCAAGGCCCTTGTCTCTTCCCTCTCCTGGCTGATGCTTCTGTACTTCCTTTGCTAACTTTTCTGCCTCCCCACATTCTTCTAAACTGAATCATTTCTCCAAGCTTGGCCCTCTTCATTTCTCTCCCTTGTCATTCTTGTTCCCTCTCTCTCCTTCCCCAGGCTTTCCTTGTTCACTCTGTGATGCTGTCTCTGAGCCCCCAGTGACTGGTGGGACCTGTACCCTCAGCAGTCTTTATCCCCACATCATATTTTCATTTCCTTGGCTCCTCCCCTGTTGTGTTTATTTCTGTTGAAGGGGCCTGCCCGTTTTTCACAGTCTCTAAGGCCCCAGACATTATCTTTGACACCATTTTTGTCCCCTCATGACACACATCTAATCAGTTGTTGAAATTTGTATTTTTTCTCCATTGGTGAGAAAACAGACACTTAACAAATGTAGAGAGGGCCAGTGCCTGACAAAAGCCTTAACCTTCTTACACATAAAAGTTATGCCAAGAGCCGGTGCTTGGCACAGCAGTTAAGGTTCCATTTGTGTGACTGCATCCCAAGTTGGAGTGCTTGGGTTCAGGTTCCAGCTCCATTTCTGACTCCATTGTCCTGTTTTACTGTCCCTCTGGGAACAGCAAGTGGTGGCTCAGTACTTGAGTTCCCACCACCCATATGGAAGACTAGATTGTGTTTCTGGCTCCCAGCTTTAGGCTGGCCCAAACCCAGCTGTTATGGGCATTTGGGGAGTGAACCAGAAAATGGATGATCTCTCTCTTATCTCTGCTTTTCAAATAAAAGATAAATAAATTCTTAAAATATGCTATTTTTTTAAATGCTATTTTTTTAAAGTATGCTGTTTATAGCTGTCTTACTGATTGCTTTCTCCTGCAAATTGCTTCGTCAGCACCTTACTGTCTTTCCTAGTTATGCCTGCCACCATCCTTCCTCCACTTTTGGTTTAAAGTTTCCTTAATTTGCTTGGATGGGAAACTACCTCTATTGTTCTCCTAACCCTGAGATTCTACTCATATAACCAAAAATATTGTGAATAGTACAATTAAGCTGCATCAGTTTTAAACTGAGGGAGGGATGGAAAGAGAAAGAAAGAAAAGGGAAAGTTAGTGAATAAAAGTACACATAGCAACTGGCGAGGTCAGCAACTGGCTAAGACAGCGGTGGAGTGCCAGGCTTTGGGGTACCACAGGAGTCACAGGCACATCGCTAGGGAATGAAATTCTCTCCTGGGTCAGAAACATTTCACTACAGCCTTTGTGACTTTGTCCCTTAGTTATTCCCATGAGACTCTATCTCAGCTCCACCAGAGCAGAAGGATCTAAGGAAATAGTCCTCTGCAGGGGGACAAGCAGTCTGTGGCCACCCTTGTCTGCCATAGCTGTCTTTTCTGGGCTGCCTCTGATGTCCTATTGACACTCATGCACATGCAGGTTAATGTCTTTGATGTCCTACTTCATTCTTACCTTTAACAACCTGGAGTATTCCATTTCCTTCACATCAGCTTAGAATGTTGCACTCATGTGACTTGTTGGAGCCGCGCGTTATAAAACCCTTCTAGTCTTTATTGATAGTTGGTGAGCATCCCTGGCATTGTTTGCTGAGCTCCTAGGGTTCAGTAGGTGTAGTGGTAACCTACAGTATTCTGTCTGAGAGGGAGACTGCCTGAATTTGTGTCCTCACCATGCCATTTACCAGCTACGTGATAATATGCAGTTGTTTCACCTCAGTAAGCCTTCATTTCTGCATTCTTCAGATGAGTGTAATATGTACTCCCTGGGATTTTTCCCAGGACCAATCCACCTAAAGGACCTAATACCTGACCCAGTGCCTCCATAATTGCTGTGTAAACAGTAGTCACTTACATTCATATGCCAATAGGGAATATGACTGCCCACTATCAACTCCCTCCCAGTTTACAGATGGCAGATTGAGGCCAAAAGAAATTAAATAACATAAACAGGATTTTATAGCAAAGGGTAGAACATTGGTGTCTGGGAAAGCTACTTTGTTTAGTACTAAGTAATGGTCACTATTTCCAGGTGTTGGTTTTTCATCTTTTATGCCATCAAACCCTCTTGCAAAGCTCCCTTGGCTCATTCTGCTACTTTTAATTGATACTAATTGAACAGGGCATGTCAGCAGCAGGAAGAGTTCGTGCAAAGCTGCAAAGCGAAGGAGGACTTAGCCGAGGACAGAAGTGTCTCAGGTTGTGGGTGTAGCAAAGACAAGGAGGAAAGATAGATGGTGGAAGCGGAGGCAGACAGGATCCAGGCCATGCATGGCTCTGCAAAGAATAAGGAGATGTGTTTGAAAGAGTTTCATTGATGAGATGTGCATTTTCAAAGGTCACTCACCACTCTGTGAAGGAAAAGAAAGAGAAATATGAGCTAGAGAATGGCAAGGATGAAAAATGAGTTACTGATGAATTGAGCTCAGTTGGTGGTGGCAGTGTTAGGAGCAGAGGGATTTGAGAGCTATTGAGAAGGCAGGTGTATTGATTAATTGGATGGTTGGGGGCGGTGAGAGAGTTGGTTTGCCATTAAAGATGATCCACTGCATTTTGGACATGCTGGATTCAATGCATTCTGTGGAATTCCAAGTAGGTGCTTGTGTTTTTATGCCTTGGAGCTTATAGAATAGTACAGGTGTTCTTTGTGAACCAGCCATGAATGTGGTTCCTACGAGGTTTTTTATTTCTTTTGTTGTTTTTTAAAGATTTTTTTTTATTAGAAAGGCATGTACAGAGAGAAGGAGATACAGAGAGAAAGATCTCCTATCAACTGGTTCACCCCCTAAGTGGCCTCGACAGCTGAAGCTGAACTGATTCAAATCCAGGAGCCAGGAGCTTCCTTCGGGTCTTGCACATGGGTGCAGGGGCCCAAAGCCTTGGGCCATCCTCTATTGCTTTCAAACAGGGAGGCCACAAACAGGGAGCTGGATGAGAAGTAGAGCAGCCAGGACATGAAGTGGCACCCATAAGGGATCCCAATGGATGCAAGGCAAGGATTTAGCCACTAGGCTGTTGCGCCGATCGTTGCACAGATTGTCCATTTTTTTCTCTAACCCTGAGCTAGTGCTATCTGAAGATCCTAATGTTGTTTCTCTTTGGCATTTCAGGACTCAGGCCAAGCAATTCCTCTGGTAGTAGAAAGCTGTATCCGGTTTATCAGCAGGCATGGTAAGCAGGATTATCACTTCACCCATATTTGTACAACGATTGGGAAGCACTTCCAGGAATTCTTTATAGAATAAGAATAGAGACTGACTTCCCATCCTGACATTCTCAGAAAAGGAATACAGTCTTACTTGTTCACATGTTTGCTACGCCAGAATGGCCACACCTAGAGAAAGACATCATGTGTTATGACCCAGAATACCTCAGTCTTTACCACATACCCTTTTCTAGTCCGAGAATGGGTTTTAAATTACAGCTGTGATGTGAGTGAGTACAGCTGGCATTACGTGGTGGTGGGGTTTTTCACCATTACTCATGGTCTTAGCATGAGAAGGTATCTCCCTTGGCACAGCCTGACCACTTTCTGTCATATTGGCGTTCTGTACCAGACTGATTTGGAAAAAGCCTTTTTGCTAATGCTGTGCTCATTCCTAGCAACACTCAGTTGTGCTTTTTGTTCTGTTTTCTGGTTTGGCCTCCACCAAATGCAAGGTCCCCAGGACTCTGGTTGTATCTAACATCTGAGAGACTGCAGGTGCTGGCTCCTTCTCAACCGAAGTCAGATCACGCTCTCTGCTGCTTGGACAAAGCTGCATTCCTCACCAGCTACTGATCTGCTCGGCCAGAACTTAGGGATGGAGAACATTGCCAGAGAATTCATTTTCCAAATGTCAGAGTGTCTAGAAAGTACATTTACCTGAACTAGTGCCACAAAGATTTCTAATAACTGGGCATCAGAAACTGCTTCTAGATGCTATTCAGTCTGGACAGGAAGACACAATGACCTTCTTGGAGCTAAAGAGATACACATGTGATCACTTGTCTGAATTCGAAGTCAGCCATTTTCTCCCTCTGCTCTCACTGTCCATTCTCCCTATAAACTGAAACTTCTCCTTTGTTCATTTTTAGAGCAGTAATTATTTCAACATGTTTACAACTTATCCCATTCTAATCAGCTATACTTTTTATAATCTTATCTATTACTTTGAAGTTAAAAACATTGTACTTCACTATTGAGTAATCAACAATATTTATCAAGCCCCTAATCAGTGCTGGGCACCAGGTGTTGCCAAGTAGAAAAACAAAAACAGAAATGAAATACTATCCCTGCCTGTAAGTGATTTTATGATGCAGTTGAGAGAAAACAAGTAAGCAAGTGGTATGTTAAATGCAAAGATATAAGCTGTGGTAATTCAGAAGAGCACTATAATACATTTCACATGTTGGTATTGATTGATGGCCAAGCCAACTGAGTTCAGAGGAGGAATTATTTATGCCCAAGTGACAAAAGGAAAAAGGTCTGAACTCTTCGTTCATCATTGCAATTCATTCAACAAATACACACTGATTGCTTATTATGTGTCAGTAAGGTGTCCCTTCCTTCATTAACTTTGCATTCCTCGAAAGGACAGATAAACAGAGGACCAGTTGGCCAGTCAATACATAGACAAATTCCTATAAAATGCAAGTATATTGGGTATTGGTGAGTGTTACGAAGAAAAGGGGAGCCAAGGTGAAGGCATGGAGAATGAACAACATTCTGGATGTGCTCTGGGAGGTCTCCCCTAATAAGGTGACAGTAGAGCATTGTCATGGGGGAATGAGCCACATGGGTATGTATGGAGAAATATCTTGAGAGCTACTTTGACCTAAGTCAGGAGATGAAGCCAGAAGCAAGACTCTTGGGGCCCATCAGCTAAAGTAGGTGTTTTGGATTTTAGTCTGAGCGATATGGGATGCCACTACAGAGTTTTGAACAAGGAGGCTTCCCTTTAAAAAATTCCTGGGCTGCTGTATTGATATTATGATGAAGCAGGAAGCTGCTGTTATGGGAAGATGCAAAATTGCGTAGTCCAAGATGTTAGATGTGATATTAGCTGAGAAGTAGATACGTTCTGGCTATTAGGGCTTGATGCTCCTGTCTCTGCTTCTGTGCGGTCACAGTTTGCAAGGAGACTGAAATGTGGCAAATTGCTGCAATGAAGCCATTGGGACCAAACATGCATATATATTGTGGAGAATGCAAACCCACATCACCCTTTTAAAAAATTTATTTACTTATTTGAGTATCAAACGGAAGGAAAGAGGCACAGAAAGATCTTCCATCCACTGGTTTTCTCCCCAGATAGCTGCAATGGCCAAGGCTGGGCCAGACTGAAGCCAAGAACCTGGAGCTTCTTTCAGATCTCCTACATGGGTAGTAGAGGACCACACAATTGGGCCATGCTCTACTGGTTTTTCCACACTTTCAGCAGGAAAATGGATCAAAAGTAGAGCAGCCAGGACACAAACTGGTGCCTCTGTGGGATGCCAGCACTGCAGGTGGCAACTTTACATGCTACGCCACAGCACTGGCACAAGTACTATCCTTTTAAAAGAAAATTTAGCTGTATCTAGCAAAATCTAGATAACAATCTTATCTTCTAATCGGGCAATCTTTATAGGAATTTACCACAAAGGTATAACTCCAACATATGCACAAGGTTGTGTTGTGTTTTGTTTGTTTGTTTTTGGAGAGTGTGTATGTGTGGCGTTTTTTGTAACCAAAAACGTTTGGAAACAACCCAAATGCTCATCCATACAAGAGTGGTTGAAAAACCTGTGATACTTCCATTCAGTGAAGTACTGTGCCACTGTGACAAAAGGATGAGGATCGTTCCCATGGACTAAAATAAACGTTTCTCCAGGATATACTGTTAAGTGATAAAAGCAAAATTCTAAACATATCTTTAGGGTGAGGAACTGGCATGATAGCTCAACTGGCTAATCCTCCACCTGCTCATGCCTACATTCTATATGGGCACCAGTTCCAGTTCTAGCTACTCTGCTTCCCATTCAGGTCCCTGCCTGTGACCTAGGAAAGCAACAGAGATTGGCCCAAGTCCTTGGGGTCCCGCGCCCTCATGGGAGAACTTAAAGAAACTTCTGGCTCCTGACTTCTGATTGACTCATCTCTAGCTATCGTAGCCCTTTGAGGAGGATCTTTCTGTCTCTATTTCTCTCTGTAATTCTTTCTTTCCAATAAAAATAAATGAATCTTTTTAAAAAAAAAAAGTAATATGCTACAAAAGAAGAGGATATAAGGATATACATTACCTCCTGTTTCTTCTAAAAGGAATGTAGGAAGAATGATTCAGGAAGCTAATAGTTATGTACAGGAGAGGATGAGAAGGAGACAAAAACAGCATTTTCCCAAACTGAAGAGTTAATAAACAGATAAATAAAGTCAAGATGTGGATTAAACACAAATGAAATTTTAAAAAGTAACAAATAAACGCAACTGCAATATAAAAGAATAAATGGAGAATAGGGCAGGAGTAGGGAAGCTTTTCTCTGCCAGGGCCATTTGAATGTTTATAACAACATTTGCAGGCACTTGAAATGATCAACTTAAAAATTATGCTGCTATAGATTTATTGAATTTCCAGTTCTGCCTGTGGCCACTTTGACAGAGCCAGACCAGAGGATTTCACAGGCCTTATATGGCCCACTGGGCAGCATTCCTCACCCCTGCTATAGGGAAATGAGAAAGAAAATAACCAACTTAAGAACCTCGGGAGGACAATATTTTAAGTAAATATTGGAAATCTAAAGATATGAGGAATTACAAACAAAATCTGCAAAGATTATGTCATAGTAATTTTTAAATTATTTTATTTTGGAAAGACACAGAAGGAGCCTCTGTTTGTTTGGTGATACAGGCTCTGAATGCCTGCAGCAGCTTGAGGGCCCAGGCTGGGGGCTGGGAACTCAATTCAGATCTCCTGTAAGTGGCAGGAACCCAGTTCCTTGAGTTCAGTGCCTCCCAGGGTCTGTTAGCAGTAAGCTGGAATTGGGAACTAGATCTTGGAACCAAATCCTGATATTCCCAGGTAAGATGCAGGCATTGTATCCTGCATCAGTGATACCTGTGTCAGTATTGGTTTAAAAAAAAAAAAAAAACACTTTAGGACATAATAACTGCTCAGAAGACTGTTTTTCCACATAGAGGTGCCCAGGAGTCATGAAATCCCACAAAAGCAAGTTACAACTTTGGGGACACAGTTAATGGGGATAGGATTTATAATTTTGGTTGGTTTCAAAAGGGTCAATGGCCACCATATGCTGGGAATTTTCACATCCTTACTATCTTCATATCCCTCCCCTCCGCTCTACCCCTGGAAGATCCTTTGTAAACACTGAGTCAGCATTTGGTTTGTTTCCAATATTTTTTCTGTTCCAAATAATGCCACTACAGAAGGAGAAGGAATGTGAGGATACTGAAACTGAGTCATGAATCATGATCTGGGGGAAAAGCATACACCATTTTCTTAAGGAAGGCAAGAAAGTATTGTGGATGTGATGGGGTAGTTGTAGGAATAGCTAGAGGAGCTCTTAGCAACAGCTGGATCCAGTACAAAACAAAATTTTCTACCATTTCCAAATATATTATCCAAGTCTGGTGGCCTTTAGACTCTAATGTTAATGTGTACTAATAAAAAGTTTAAAAAAGTATAGATTTTTCAGTTTGATTATACGGTGATTTATCTATATCATCATAGAAAGCCAGCTAGTTTTCCCATTTACTTTCTAGAAATGAACCAGTTATTAATGCTGTCACTCTCAGAATCATCAGAGTAGACGCTCTAAAGATTATTAAACAAAACACACAGTGCTCGTTGAAAGCCGCGGTTCTGAGGGGAAAGAGAAACCAGGCAGAAGAGCTCACCGGCCTGCTGCCCAATTTCCTGTAAACTTGCCTCTAATCTCTTCTTGTCCATGGCCAAGGCTGCTTTGCCATCAAGGTCTAACCTACCAAAAGTCCTGAGATGCTCCTCCCCCAGGATGCTGTGAGGTGACCACCAATTAGAACCCTCCAAAGAGCCTGTTCTCTAAGGTGACACTTCCTTATATGCATTTTTCACAAATGGCTGGGTACGTGGCTGTTTCCATCAGGATCCTTGCTGTTTAAACAGCATTCCCTTGGTGGCTAATACAATGTTACTACACTGGTATAGGTGGGATTTTAATGTTGCTTGTTACTCTGAGTGGAACAGAGAGCATCACTTTTTGCAGATTTTTTTTTAAGATTTATTTTTTTTTTTCTATTGGAAAGTCAGATATACAGAAAGAGAGACAGAGAGGAAAATCTTTCATCCGATGATTCATTCCCCAAGTGGCCACAATGGGCAGAGCTGAGCTGATCCAAAGCCAGGAGCCAGGAGCTTCTGCTGGGTCTCCCACATGGGTGCAGGGTCCCAAAGCTCTGGGACGTTCTTGACTGCTTTCCCAGACCACAGGCAGGGAACTGAGCGGGAAGTGGGGCTGCTGGATATGAAGCGGCACCCTCATAGGATCCTGGTGCTTGCAAGATGAGAAATCTAGCCGCTAAACTACCATGCCAGGCCCTTGCAAAAGTTTTGTAGCTACATGTGTGGCGCTTTTAGCCATGTCTGCACTCAGACTGCATCTCAATGAGAACTAAGCACACAACCACAGCCACAGACGAAGGTTTAAATCCCAGTGCTGGTTCCTATCACCTGTGTAACTTCCAGCTGCTCATCACTTCTCAGCCCTCCCATCAGAACTGGGATTGCTGCTAACCTGTGCTCAGCACAGCGTCCTCACTTCTTGTGAAAACTAAGTGATTTATTTACATGAAACCATTTGTTAGCTGCCGCCACTCTATAAGCATTATTTTTCCATGGTTATTTCCAGTCTGACAAAATCCAAAACCAAAATTTTTGTGTGTCATTGCAGTGAGATTCCCGTTTGTCTTGAGTAAAGCGCCAGTCAGGAAGCAGCGCCTGCTTACAGTGCCCAGCAGTGCTGTGAGGTGATGACTTCTATTTCCATGTCCTTCCCTTTTAGTTCTTCAAAGTGTTGACCCCAAGAACAGCTGAACCAGTAATTATAATCTCAGATGCCAAGAAACATGCCAGTTAGGACCTAATGTCTTGCCTGCCATCACCCATTTCTTGTCTTGATCGTGGGTAATGAGAAAACACCAATGGGTGCTTCTCCACTTCTCCACTTGTTAATAGGGGACAGAGAAGGCAAAGGCGGGGAAGAGCTCGCCTCCTCCGTAGCCTTTGGAGTCAGAAGTGAAACACTGCCACAGTCTTCCCCACCGTAAGATGCTGACGCAGTGCAGGTTAATGCCCCATGAGCATTACTGTGACTTGTCCGTGTCTTTCTCCTTTAGCCTGAAGAGCACACCGGCTGGGGGAGATAAACATTCAGCTAAACTTGGCAGTGGGCTTGTGGATTGGCTTTTTCTTCTCGTTGATCACTTTTCCCCATGTGTGTCTAGGATTACAGCATGAAGGAATTTTCCGGGTGTCAGGATCCCAGGTGGAAGTGAATGACATCAAAAATGCTTTTGAGAGAGGTAAGGAAACAGCCTTGAAGATGAGGCCAAATGTTTACCAGCCCCCTGGAGTATTACGCTACCTCTTTTGCTTTGAGAGGTCCTCAGAGCTTAACAGACAAGCTGGGCTTGCTCTGCAGCTGGGCAACTGGTCTCCCATGCCCCACCCCCCCCACCCTCATCCTCGCCTTGGATATACAAGGATGGCCAGGCACATTCCAGCTCCCTCCTTTCCTTTCAGCCCCATCCTTTCTGCTTCCCTCATTCGTGTGATCTGCCAAAACCCAAAAGTTAACTATGATATCTGGGCGGTTTACAGCTTCATCCGGAACTCTTGGTGGCAGTTAATATCAAAGCTAATGCGCCTGTTCATTGTAGCCCATTTATTATCTTGTGGGCTATTAAAGTAATGGGCAAGCTTTGGCAATTTCCGTCACTGTAATGGATATATATAGTTTCAATTTGAGGTTGGGCCTATCATTAAATCTAATTACATCTGATATGAAATTTTCCATGGGGAGACCCGGCATGATTGTTCTCCTGTAAGTAGGTGTCCTTTGTTGCAGCCCAGGAGGAGGGAGAGTCCACCAGAAGAGCTGGCCTCCTTGGCCTCATTTTTCTCCCCCCACAGGCTCAGTCCAGCCTGGTTTCATGGTATTGTGAGAGAGGCAGTTGCTATGTCCCAACTCCAACCCATGGGAATGGTGGCCTGAGCAGTTTGATTTATGCATTCCCTGGTGTAGCTAATTCATGGCCATGATGCTGGGCAGAAGGCTGATGAGCTGGCATGAGGTCATAAATAAGTCCAGGCCACCTCTGTGCGCATGTTTTGCCTCTCACTCTCTTCCCCTTTGCGGGGTATTGCTTATTCCCAGGAGAAGACCCCCTGGCTGGTGACCAGAATGACCATGACATGGACTCCATCGCAGGTGTCCTGAAGCTTTACTTCCGGGGGCTGGAACACCCTCTCTTCCCTAAGGACATCTTCCATGACCTGACAGCCTGCGTCAGTGAGTTCCACCCTTGCCCACAGTACCCTGGGCAGCAAGGGATGACCAGCTTCCAGGGCTCTATGTTTTCTTACAAGCTCTGATTCCCCACTGATACTTCTCCCCTCCATCCTCAACTCCTTTGTCCTCTGCAAGGAAAGAAGGAAGAATGACTTTTTTGTGGGTCCCTAAGTAGTGACCTAGTGACCCTTGGGTCTTTCCTTTCTTTCTCTATTCCTTTCTCTATTTCTTTCTCTCTCTCAATAGTTAATTATTAATTTATTTAAAAAGCAGGGAGACGGAGGATACAGACAGATAGACAAACAGACACAGAGGGATTTCCCATCTGCTGATTCACTCCCCAATGCCCGCAATTATCCAAGGTTGTGCCAGGCCAAAACTAGGAGCCCAGAACTCAGTTCAGGTTTCCCCACATGGTTGGCAGAGACCCAACTACTTGAACCATCATGGCCTGCCTCCCAGTGCATTCACACACAGCCAGAATCAGAAGTGGAAGAACCTGGACTTAAAACAGGCACTCCAAATGTCCATCTGGACATTTTCTTTCTGATTTACATTTGCCTATAAAACCCAATCTCGTTGAGTTACTTGAAGTGTATATGTTAGTGTTTGTGCTTTCTTGATACGAGGAAAAAGGAATAAGTATTGCAAATATTTCTTGCTTTTGCTTTAAACATGACATTGAGACATGTGTTGGGCCTAAAGTGAAACCTCCCACATCTCATATTGGAATGCCTGGAGTTGGTACTCGCCTCTGGCTCCTGACTCTAGCTTGCTGCTAATTTGAACTCTGAGGCAGCTGTGATGGCTCAAGAAATTGGGTTCCTGCCACAGGTATGGGAAACCTGGATTAAGGTCTGGGCCCCTGACTTTAGCCTCTGCCTAGCACCAGCTATCACAGACATTTGGGAAATGAACGAACAGATAGGCTCTCTGTGTGCGTGTGTCTCTCTTAGTTTTTCTCTGTATCACTCTGTCTTTGCTTCTTTCTCTGTCCCAATGCCTCTCAAATAAATATTTTTTTAATCAAAAGAGCATGACACGGTTTACAGGATAGATGCAGATGTAATAGTATGTGTTCTTGTAGGAATAAAATCCTTACACTATTTTCCCAGAAAGAGAAAGATGCTCTCTATTGTATCCATTTTAGGGGTTCTCTGCCTCTTTCCCTAAAATTTCAAGCTTGAAGTACAGTTCCTAGACATTTAATTTAGCTTGTAAAACTGGAACATCCTCTTATTAGTTTTCCCTGGAAACCAATCTATATGGTTGGACTGATAGCAAGTCATCCTGGAAGCATACCCCATCTGAACGATGGCCCCGGAGGTTGGAGGGGAGCCATGCCTTCGACATGGAGAAAAGGTGCTTTCCCCTGGTCACCCGGAGCCATCATGTCCCTGAGCACCTGATACTTTCTCAGTTATTCTGAGAAACACCCAGAGCATTCAGGAAGCTTGCTCTCGGGTTTGTGCTCTTCTCGTTGTAGGAATCTAGTAGAAATGAGTTATTTGAGTGATTAAGTATGAAAGGACTTCAGAAAGTTCATGGAAAATTAAATGAGAAGACATTTATTTTGATACAAAAAAAATTGAAATCCACACATAGTTTTTTTCATAGTACACATGTCCATAAACTTTTTGGAAGCCCCTCGTATATGCAGCTCAAAGACAGTTCAAATCCCTTGACTGCCCAGTGAGAGAGATACTGCTAATCTGGTGCTTTCCATTTCGTTTTCATGTATGAACGTCCATAGAAAATTACAATATTGATATCACACACTGTGGAAGTGGGAGGCTGCCCATGAGAGAGGCCAAAGGCTTAGGGCCTCACTTGTAACAAACCTTTCCACACAGCACAGGACTCAGGAAGTCTCTTGGTTTTCCTGGATATCCCTACAATCCCAGGGTGTACCTCATCCTGCCAACTGGTTGTGTTCTACTCATCCTTGTTGCAGATAAGGGAGGGATAAGCTAAAGCAGACTTGCCCAGAGAATGAATGAGGTGACAACTGCATGGAGTGGGGAGGATAGGAACTGCATGATCTCTCTGTCTTCGGGTCCTGGGCCTCCAAGGCTGGATGCTGAGCAGTCTGAACAGATTTGTGGCCAGCACCTTCTCTGTTATTGTTTGAAGTGGTAGATGCTATGGGGAATGTAGCCAATTTTATCTGTGCCTAGGGAGTCTAGATCAGTCAGTATCTGGAGCCCAGCAGGTGCTTCTTCCAGCAGCCCACTCAAAGGAGCAACAGGGTTCAAATTTGTATCCCTGCATAGCGGTACTGTGTGTTGTCTCCACCTGGCACATTCCATGTCATGTTTGCTGACCATGGCTCCCTGAATTCTCAGTCACTGCGGATACTAACACCTGATCGTCTTCTTTCAGCTATGGAAAACCTGCAGGAGAGAGCACTGCACATCCGCAAAGTCCTCCTGGTCTTACCCAAAACCACTCTGATCATCATGAGATACCTCTTTGCCTTCCTCAATCAGTGAGTAACCTTCCCAGCAGACAACAGCCTCAGGCCAGGGCTTGGGCTGCTGACTGGGCGTTTCCACACAGGTCTATGCCTGTTCTTCTGGCCTCACACATACTTACTGAGACCCATTATGTGCTGGCCATGGGGCTGAGCTGGAAGAGGATATTGTTTCAAAGGGGACAAAATTTTTTATACCATTTAGCTCATGTTCCTAGAGACAAATAACAATAGATGTATTGGTAGATTGAGTAAACAGGGGGACAGATGGAAAGATCCGAAGATGAAGGGAGGGGGAGCACTTTGCAAGGCGTAGTCATCTGAGGCCTCTCTGAGAAGCAACAGCCTAAGGGAATGAAAAAAAGAGCCACGGGGACTCTCAGAACCCAAGAGTCACAGTAAGAATGGGTTTGTATTTGAAAAATGATGGGAAGATTTTTAAGGAGAAAATGGCTATGATCTGAACAATGTGTATTTTTTAAAACCTACCAACTAATTTGTGGACCTTGGTGAGTGGTGAAGAGAAGCACCCATGGTCTAATGAGAGGTGTTGGTGTTCTGAGGGTGGGGAGGATGGCTGAGGCTGGGCTATATTTTGAGCAAAATATTGATGGAATGTTGATAGATTGGGTGTAGAGTGTGGGACAAAAAGAGAAATGCTAACTTTTGGACATGAGCAACAGTAAAGTTTGATGCCATTTATGCATTACAGAGGACAAGGTGTCTAAATGGATAGTTATCTGAAGCACCTGGAGTGGAGCTACTAGAGCTGAAGCCACACACGTATTGGCATTTAACAGATGACCTAGGGAATGAATGTGACCAGCAAGAAAAGCCTTAGGACCACAGGGGCCCAGCCTTTGGTGGGACACTTCTTATCCAAGCAGTGTGTCCTTGTCCAGGATAAACACTGGTGTTCCCACAGACAGTAAAGGCAACAAGCAGGGCCCTGTGCCACTTCCTGCTTAGTCACCTTTGTTTTCACTTTGCTGTCACTCAGCTTCTCCCTCAACACTCTAGACCGAAAGTGATAATAATAAGTGGTCAGCCAAGAGCCAGACATGACCACAGGTGTGTTTCCTTCCGGTCCACTGTGTCTTTAAAACATTGAAACAATACTGAAATATTTTTACGGATCTAGAATTCTAGCTTTTTTTCCTTTGTTTGAAAGATTATTAAATCTGACAACTACTAGTCTGCCATTGTTTTTTTGAAAGTAGAGTTGCAGGCAGAAATGGAGAGGCAGACAGAAATCTTCCATCTACTGGTTCACTCCACAGCAGCCTAAACGTTAGCACTGGGCTAGGCCAAAGCCAGGAACTAGGAGCTTTTTCCAGATATCTCGCATGGATACAGGGACCCAAACACTTAGGCTGTCTTCTGCTGCTTTTTCCAGGCCATTAGCAGGGAACCAGATCAGAAATGAAACAGCCAGGACACAAACTGGTGCCTTTATGGGATGTCATTGTTACAAGTGGCAACTTTACCTGCTGTCCTACCTCTCGATAGCCATTCTTAGGTGAAAGCAATTCCCTGTGGAGAAAGGGCTGCTGTCAAAATGAAGTAGCTACTTTCCATTTCCCTGACCCTCCCCATGACTCCCCACCCCTAAGTCCAAATTCGCCTTGCTTCATGGCTTTCGTAAAGTGGGAAAATGTTTCTCTGGATCTATGAATCTATCAAAAGGTGAAAGCAAAAGATATGCCAGGGAACCAGCGTATTCTAGTTTCTTTATATTTTAGCATATTCATGTTTCTTTATGAAAAAGAAGAGGGGCCAAAATTGTGGTGTAGCAAGTGAGGCAGCCACCTGCAATATTGGCATCCCATATAGGCACCAATTCTGATCCAGCTTCTTGCTAATGTACCTGAAAAGGCCATGGAAAATGGCTCAAGTGCTCGGGCCTGTGTACCCTTGTGAGAGACCTGGAGGAGGAAGCTCCTGGCTCCTGGCTTACATCTGACCCAGCCCTAGTCGTTGTTGCCTTTTGGAAAGTGAACCAGCAAATAGAAGATATGTGTCTCTCCCTTTCTGTAGCTGTGACTTTCAAATAAATTAAGGGAAGGAGGAATTTTCCTATATGGGTGGTCTCTGCTTAAAATGAATACAGCTTTAGAGGCCAATTCACAAGCCCCAGCTTGCTTGCAAATTCATGGTCAGCCTGACCCTATCAGCATGTGTGCTAGTGGCCTTATCCTAGAGCTTGCTCAGGCAACCACTGTTGCTCATCCTGCAGAGCTGTCAGGGTCCTGGTTCCACTGTGTCTGTTCCACTGCTTGGCTAGGCCCTGACTCAGCACCACAACTGCCTTTGGGTTACAAACCCCTAATGAGTCACAACAGGGCATTCACACACTCAGTCTGGAAATTGCTAAGGACTGTCAAGTCAGTCATTGTCTCCCCTCGTTGACCAACACCTGCCTTTAAGTTTAACCTAGTCTGCCTTTCCAAAGCAAGGAGGATGAAAGTTATGGGTGAGGCCAAGGAGAGCCCAAGTGACTGTGTGGGGTGACTACTAAAAAGAGAGGGGTCTTGTAGCAAGGGGCAAGTATCACGCAGAGCTAGTGCTCATGGCCACTGTTAAGGAAAATGGGAATGAGGTTTTAACTGGGGTTTTCCCCAATTGAAAAAAAAATGGATTTGTTCATCAGAAAGTGTTACATTGAAAATGTATAGCATCAAAAAATCAGTTTCCTAAAATAATTAATAGAACAAAAGACACAGGTGGTAAAACCCATCTCTATGGGATAATGGCAGGTGTAGCAGTGGTTGGACCATCACACCTGAGAGAGATTCCATTTGAAACTTTCTCTGTAATGTGTGTGTATTTTATTCCTGACTGTGGCTTTTTCTTGAGTCACACATAGCCTCAAAGTTGAAGGAACTGCAAAAAAGAAAACCTGGAATCTCATTCTTTCAGTGGGTTGGGAATCCAGGAGTACTGAGCAGGAGGCCTGTGGCCCAGGGTCATGCAGTTGCAGTGTAAGTGCTAAAGCCCAGGTTGTGGTCATCTGAAGACTCAACTTGAGAAACATCCAAGCCCACACAATGCAGTCACTCCATATGGTGGGATATGTATTTGATTGTATAAGTGTTTGAAAGGTACAGACAAAAATAAATCTTTTACCTGCTAGTTCACTTATCAGACACTCTCCAGCTGGGGCTGGACCAGACCAACTGGGAACCCAGAACTCAATCCACATCTCATATGCAGGTAGCGGAGACCCAACTACTTGAACCATCACTACTGCCTCCCGAGATGCACATTAGCAGGAAGTTGGAGTTGGAAGCAGACCTGGGACTCAAATCCAAACAGGATTTGAGCATCTCAAGCAACATCTTAACCACGGTGCCAAATGCCTGCTTCATTACGGTGGAGTATGAACTGACACTCCACAGGGATGAACCTTGAAATCATTATGCTGAGTGGTAGAGCCCAAACATAAAAGGCTGCACATTAATGAAATGCCCAGAATAGGCAAATCCATAGAGAGAAAGTAAATTCATGGTAGCCAGAGGTTGACAAGAGGAATATAAAACTTCTTTAGAGGGTGACAAAATGTTCTGGAGTAGAATGGACATGGTAGCATAACAGGTTAAAACACTGTTTTGAACATCCACATGCCATGTTTGAGTTTATGGTTTCAAGTTCTGTCTGTGCTCCCAATCCAGCATTCTTGCTCATGTGCACCCTGGGAGCAGCAGATAATGTCTTGAATATTTGGGTTCCTGCTCTTCACACGGAAATGGGATGGAGTTCGCAGCTCCTGGCTTTGGATTGGCTGTTGTAGGCATCTGGAGAGTGAAACAATAGATGAAAAATTTCTCTCACACTGCCTCTCAAGTAGATTAAAATGAGCAAATAATTTAAAAAATAAAACACCTAACATGTAATATCTTACACAAAGTCTATTTATTGTTGCCAGGTCAAATCCCTTGAGCCCTAGGAAGTTTAAGGCTTTTAAGAGAAGTGTCATGTGTGTCAGTTGACCCAAAGCTTAGTGCTGTCTCTGAGGAGTTCAGGTTTAAGTTTTGGGATCTAGAGCCCTCAGCTCATTAGATAAAGCTTGAGGAGGAAGGAGCAAGTTGATTCTCATACATTGGTGACTGCCAGAAGTCAGCAGCCCTGCCTCACACTCGCTGACAGAACAAGCTTCTAGATCAAGGAGCAGTCAGGATATTATCCCTCCAGGAAATATTAATTTAATGCCATTATGTGCCAGGCACAGCACTAAATGCTATGAATACATCATCTCATTTAGTCTTCTGGCAGCTGCATGAAAGAGCTGCAAACCTTTCCCCTCCCCGATCTTAAAATGAAGAAACCAGGAGCTGGGACTAAGCTAAGGGGCTAGTAAGCAGCGAAGCCAGGACTCAGAACCAACTCTAGTTTAAGAATCTCTTGTTTTCTCCTTTAATTTAATAAATGGAACAAACATGTATTACCAAAAAGTTAAGTAATAGTTTTTTTTTTTTTAATATATAAGAAAAAAAAATTTCCACACCAGTCTGGATGGTGACCTTGCTGTGTTCCTAACCACAATGCCAAGTCCTTTCCAGATGCAGAATGGAGGCGAGTTCAGGAAGTTCTATCACATTACAAACTGGAGCCACAGAAATGTAGCAGAATTCTAAGTGGGGATGACAGAGATATAAGTCAACACCACCCCCCAAAAAAATTAATGAAAAAATTTTAAAGGAGGAAGCCATATGGTCAGTGCTCTCTATTTTAGATATTGCTTTAAAAATAAGAATATAGTCACTAAGATCTTATACTGGGTACAGCCTCCAGAGGCTTCAAAGATTATTAACCCCAGAACACTTTTCATAAAATTGTGTGAATTTATTATGTACACATATATGAATTTTTCTGGAGAGAGAATTCTTAGAATTTTCCAAATTTTGAGTGTATCTGTGTCCCCCAAATAGTCAAGCACCACTGACTCCACCCCAAAACTTAGATGTTCCCTTGTCAATTGGAAGAGAAAGTCGGGTTTTAGTGTTTTGATTAGGAATAAGGAAATGGACCTCACTTCATGAGACCACCATCTGTGTAGATGTGGCCTCCTCAAGCTTCTGCTCATTATGGTCGCCAGTGACTCAAGCAGCGTTAGCCTTAATAGGAACCACTGCATAACTGATCTTATGCCCGGGCTTGATGTGGGACAGTCATGGCTAAAGTGACCGCGAGGCTTACCAGAAACTTCTAGTTTCCTTTCATGTTACCAAAACATTGTCAGTCACACTAAAGAAACAGGGCCTTCCTCCTCTATGATGTTGCAAAGTGGCCAGCCTGGAACTAGCTTCTGCTTTAGCTTTGTGGCATCTCACACCTCCACTGTCCCTGTAGAAGTTACCAGGGAAAATAACTTTTTAGGTAGACTTTGAAGCCTTCCTCAATCTTTTTAAAAATGTTTTTGACTTTTAACTCCAGATCTAAATGCTTGTTACGCAGTTTAGCCACTGAGATTTACAATGTGTGCCATCACTGGCCTGTCCTGCATTTAATTCTTTTTTTTTTTTAAAGATTTATTTTTATTATTTTTTTATTAGAAAAGCAGATATACAGAGAGGAGAGACAGAGAGGAAGATTTTCCGTCCGATGATTCACTCCCCAAGTGAGCGCAACGGCCGATGCTATGCCGATCCGAAGCCAGGAGCCTCTTCCGGGTCTCCCACGTGGGTGCAGGGTCCCAAAGCTTTGGGCCGTCCTCGACTGCTTTCCCAGGCCACAGGCAGGGAGCTGGAAGGGAAGCGGGGCTGCCGGGATTAGAACCGGTGCCCATATGGTATCCCGGGCGTGCAAGGCAAGGACCTTAATCACTTGCCCACTGCGCCGGGGCCCCCTGCGTTTAATTCTTAAGTCCTGGAGAGTAGTGATTCCACAATCTTTCGTGTAATAGTTGTACCATGTCCCTTGTCCTGCAGTGATTGTTGGAGGGAAACCGGGTGTGTACTTGAGTCTCTAGGGGAGAAGGCAAGAGAGAAACCAGCTTTGTATCATCAGTCTGGATGTGAGGTGCACTAGAACTAAGCTCTGCCCGGTTCTCAAGGACAGCCACCGTGTGAGAGACAGCTGAGTCCCAGGCCTCAAGTCCAACATCAGACAGCTTTGGTGTCCTCACGGGATCTGTCAGAAAGACTGCTGCTGATGCCCATAAGGGAGGCCAGACTCCTCAGCAGAGCTTGCAGCTCTGCAGACCTTGGGAGATTTATACAAAGCCGGCCCAACCCTCAGTGCCTGAACAGGCAACCGGTGGGGCCTCTTGGGCACAGTGGCTCATTGAAGGCCTTGGGTCCTTGGCCAAGGTTGGAGGTGTGGCTGGAACAGCTGCTGGCTGCGAAGGGGGAGTTCCTAGAATAAATAAATACCCAATAATGAAGTCAGCCTACATCCAGAGGAAGCCCAGGCCGAAGCCAAACAGCTTGCTGACCTTTTCCTGAGTAAATCCTGAGTGTAGTAATAGAGGAGGAGATTATGAACATTAAAAAACAATTGCATTAGCTGTTCCAGAAAAAAAAAAATTCACTGGCTGGATGGAATGCAAAGCTGACCAGTTGACTTTTTTTTTTTTTAATACATCTAGAAAATGGAGTGGAATAACCCTAATAATTTGATTATTTTGCTGAACAAGAAAGTACACAATACCTGTCTGTGTTCTGACCCTACCAATGCCAGGGCAAGCTGAGGGCTCTTGTCAGCTCAGCGGGTTGGGAGTCAGAGCAGCTGTGCACAGTGGCATGTCCTCAAGGCAGGGGGCTCTGGGGATCGAGTCCAGATGGGGTGAGGATAGAGTGGGAAGGAAGACTTGAACAAGAAGCTGGCCGGAGAACTAGAGCCCGAGCTGCAGGCAGGTCCCTCCACCTTGATCTCACTTGGCTCTTGAATGACCGCCTCGGTAGTTGTTTTCTCCTTCCCAGCTGATTTTCTCAGCGCCTCTGATGCCCAGAAAGGCAGGTGGCAATTTGTGGCCCTTCTGCCTTTGCCCTTGGCAGTGCCTCCTGTGATTGTGTTTTCAAGGCATTCATGCGAGAACTTTCCAGCTTGCCCCTTTCCCTTCTCCTGCAGTTTATCACAGTTCAGTGAAGAGAACATGATGGACCCCTACAACCTCGCCATATGCTTCGGACCCTCGCTGATGTCAGTGCCAGAGGGCCATGACCAGGTGTCCTGCCAAGCCCACGTGAATGAGCTGATCAAAACCATCATCATCCAGCATGAGAACATTTTCCCAAACCCCAGGGAGCTGGAGGGCCCTGTCTACAGCAGAGGAGGAAGCCTGGAAGATTACTGGTAGGAGGGCTCGGGGCTGGAAGTGGGGAGGTGTCACCAACACACATGGGCACAGGGGCCAGATGGTCCTGCAAACACCAAAGGGAAACACTTATGTCCCATAGCTTCCCACTGCTAGGCTCATGGCTGGTCAGGGTCTAGGGCTGGCGTGGACAATCATTTCTCTTACCCCCTCATCCTCCCACCCCCACTACGGATAAGGACCTATTCATGCACCTCCCTTCCTCCTGTGTTCTAAGTGGAGAGGGGCCACCCTGAATGGTAACAAGAACAGCAGCAGTAACACGAACACCCCCCCACACACACCCTCCAGGAGGAAGCTTATAAAGCTATAGATAGAACTGCTATTCACGAGGCAGCAGCACTTCCACTCTGGGCTGTGAGCTGTGAGAAAACCATCACAGGGAATTCCATTCTCACTGGGAAGAGTTTAGATGTGAGGCAAAATTTGCTGGCTGAGTTTGAGAGGTGACACTTTAGAATGAATTCAGCAGTTTGTCAAGAGAAAGAATGGTAAGCTCCATGTTCAGCAGGTTAGTACCATCCACCTCCCGCCTGGAAGCAGACTTAAATTCTATAGGGGCTGGGTTTCTCATGACATGCCTGGGGACTGAGATTTAAAAAGAATCAATCAGTAATTGTTTCCCAGCATTGGAATCGTATATCCATCATGCATTTTAAGTTGCCAAGACCCAGAGATCCCAGTGACAATTTTTCAGGCCACTCTCCCATGATGGTGGTTCAACCCAGCTCTCTGTCTCTTAGTGCAGAACACTGTCCATGACCCCAGAGAGCCCTCCACAATACCACTTCACAGTGTCATTTTCCCACTAAACACGAGGCCAAGTGCCTCTCTTCTTTAATCCCCAGCATCCTTATGTCCCTTCTACCACTCCTCCTCTCTTCCCCTAAACAATGTTTCTGCCTGAGCTAAAAGCACAAACCAACCCAAATAGGATTCCATCTGAATTCAACATCTGGAACCAATTCGGTCAGCCAGCCCCATTACTATCGACTGAGGTAGGGGAGGCCAGAGGAGGCTGTTGGCTTAATGAGAAGCCAGCTGGTCCCTACTTCTCCCTAACACCCACAGAAGAGTCTCCTGGCCAGGGAATGACAAAAGTGTCATTTGTGCCTCTGGGCGTCATCATACCAGTGACACTCTTAGGCTTGCTTCTGTGCTGAGCTGTGGATCCCAGGATGTGGGTCCAAGCTGCAGGAACCTAAGCTGGCCAGTTGGAGAGAAAGCTTTTGTCCCTAAAAGACAGTTTGTGGTAACAAGAGAGATTGGTGCATTCAGGTGTCACCTGCTGGCTGGTACGCTCCAGGGAGCTGTGTTATATGTATGCCTGGGGATGCTAGTTTCTCCCTTGTAAGATTCCTGTGATGTTCCTGTTCTGGTTCTGCCTCCCTCCTAAAGTCAGGCAGGATGCCTGTCCTCGTCAAAACTTGAACCACTGCAGGCTCTGGACCAGTGCTCAAGCAAGCACCAAGCCCCCAGCAGCCCCAGGGGCCCAGACCCTTCCCCAGTGTTCTCCCCAGCCATCTCTAGGTGCTGTGCATCTGACACTTATTAGCAGCCTGGGACAAACCACAAGCTTAGTCAGGGTACATTACTACCACAGCCAAGTGGGAGGCCCTTGACCTCAGGCCTCAAGTCCCTAAGAAGCAGGAGTCAGTGACCTTGGCTTGAGAGGGACTTTTCCAATGACTAGATTGACATCCACTCGGAAGTTCCTGGCTTCTGTCCTCCCCTCATTGAGAAAAGGGAGATATGCTGGTGAGGTGATCTAAGATGAGGGAGGAGGCAAGGCCTGGAGCACTGGAGGACTGCTAGGGAGGCAGAAGCATGGGGGAGGAGAGGCCACCACATTTCAGCACTGCCTGACCAGCCCTGCAGCCGGATCCCTATATTTAGGTCTACCTGCAGGAGGGCTGCATGTGGGACCTCCAGGAGTGGCAGGCTTGGGGACTTTTTGCTGGAGAATGGAGGTGGAATGAAAGAAGCATAGAACCTTAGGACTAGAAGAGATCTAAAAAAGCTTCATTTTGCCTTGACCACAGAGTGGTGGTTTTCAACGTGTGGTCCCTCCACAGACCAACAGTATCTGTGTCACATGGGGCTGCTTAGAAATACAGCTCCTCCAGCTCCACCCAGATCCAGTGACTCAGACACTCTGGGACTGAGGCAATCTGTTTTTTAGCAAGCCCTCTGGGGCTCCCAGCAGCTTCAGAACTATGGTTTTAGTGTGTAGCTGCCATAGATGAACCTGAAGCCCTGAGGAGGAGTTTGCTTTTGTCCTATGCATCCCGGGGCTCTTGAAAGTTTCCAGAATGTCACCAAACTCATCACAAAGAGTTGGGGCTCGGAAGATTGAGGGATTATGCCGACGTTATTGGACAAAGTGGAATCCCTAAGGATATCTTCCCAGAAACTCCTTTGGAACTGACTTGGTCCACACAGGGCTAGGCCTGAACTGGTCACCAACCAGTGTTGGAAGTGGATCATCCTAAAAGAGTAAGGACCATTTAATGAGGAAGGAGAGCCCCAGCGGTATACTGTGCAGCCAGACTCTAAGGCTGCTTCCATAGAAGCACCTGCAAAGCCTCACTTGTCACTACCTATTGCCATAGGAAGGCATTTTATTTAAAAATGAGCAGTTTCCTCTATACTTTTTCCAAAGGATTTCATTGAAATCCAGGAGATCAGAAATAGAAATGGCTTTTCCTAGTAACACTGCCCCTCCCTGCAATCATTCTCCAGTCCACCCGAGATGATTTCAGCCTCCATGAGTTTTTGTAAGAACTTGACCTTGCTTCCATGCCCTGCCTTTTTGCAATGTCTAGTCCACAGCAGATTCTGCTGCCCTTGCTCTCATTCTCTACCCACTCTGGTGTGACTCACTCCCCCACTTTCTCACCAGCACACAGACTAAACCACAAAACAAGTTAGAGACCTCAAGCAGAAGGTGGCAGAAGGAGGAAAGGAAGTAGCGCCATGAAGCCTCTGCTCTATGCCAGACTCTTCACTAAATTGTTTCCTTGAATCCTCATCCAGATCTAGAAAAGTATACAGATAATTCTGCCTTTCCAGCTGAGGTAGTTGAAGCTCAAGGGGTTTCAAATAACTCACCCACTGCCAAGTGTCAGAGCTGGGTTTCAGATCAGTTGTATCTGACACTAACACCAGTGTCTTCCGTCCCAGATGTTCCCTCCTTAAGAATGAGGAACAATTCCAAAATGCACTGCTTGCCTTCAAAAGGCCTTCCCTTTGTCTTGAGATGTTCAATGACCCAAATAGTCTCAAGTAGTCTCTGTAGCAGATGATACACTGGAGAGAGCGCCTGAAGATGTATTTCAGTCTTTGTACATGCAGGGCACCAAGAGTGTAAGGTTGACTGGTGTCCTTACTTCAAACAGCCTAAAGAGGTATAGAAGGGGGAGGCAAGATCTGTGAGCCAATACTAATGTCCCTATCCCTTGTTGGTTTGGTTGCAGTGACAGCCCTCATGGAGAGACTACCTCTGCTGAAGATTCCACCCAGGATGTGACCACAGAGCATCACACAAGCGATGATGGTAGGAGGCCCTGCTTCCTGGTGAAGAACTAGATCTTTAAAAGTCCCTCCACTTTTTGCACCACCTGCCAGCTCCTTTATCCCATGCCTGTCCCTTATCCCAGCTGAGAGCTCCTGCCAGGTAGCTAGAGACCAAAGCGAAGGAAAATTCATTTGGAAAACAGTGAGCCTGAGAAATCCAGAAGCTGCGTGCCAAGAACCCAACAAAAGCAAGCCAGAGGGGAGTGGTAATGGCGAGGCAAAAACCCCTGCCATTTGCGCCTGCTGACTGGAAAAGTTGACCCTTTCCAAAGCACAGACCAGCGAGCTCTGAGCAGCCTGGCCGTTGTGCATCAAGGAGTGGAATGCTCAGCTGTCACGCTCGGGCCCCTCTGCAGTGCCCATGATTGATGAGGGCTGTCTGGCCAGCACATTTCTCCTCCTTCCTACAGCTCCACACCTCCATTTCTGGATCATTTCGGCTTCTGGAAGCTCAGCAGCTGACAAGGAGCCTCAGAGTTTCCTGGGCACACAAATGAAATTGCAGTCTGTAGAGCTTCTCTGTTGCCTGCCTTGCTGTGAATTCTGCATTTGTGCACAGGCTCTCAAAGGAGAAAAGAAAATTAGAATTACTTATTTCGATCCTGATGTCAAAGGGATCAGAATGACCATTTACCTGCCGCATTATTAGGGGGAAAAAATAAACCAAGGGGATGAGTATAGAGATAGAAACTGCCCTGTGCTTGCCCTGTTAGAGGTTTTATAGGATATCTCTCAATCCCTAGTGAAATAGATTTGGTGGTTATTTCATAGCTGAGAAAACGGAGGTCAGGGAGGTCATACCCAAGGCTGTAGAGAGCTGCAACCGGGATCTTTGGACAAGCCTCCTCGGTCTGCTCTGCGTCCTGGAGTAAGCCCTTGGGTCCCTGGCCGTTCGTGAGCAAACCCACCAATCAGGGCTTTCCAGGCAGGGTGGTGTTTGCTCTCTACTTGCCAGAATATTTGACTTTCATCTCAGGTTCCAAGTTTCTAGGAGCCTTTTTCTTCTGCCCGCCATTCTAACAGCAGCCTGCTCCAGATAAATAAAATGAGACGATGACTGAGACGCAGAACATTGCTATGTTCTGGGCTTTGTCCTAAGAACTTTCACTCCTAGTGAATTTATTGATTCCTCATAACAACTTTGTGGAAAAGACATTTTTATTTATTTTTTTTATTATTGAATTTGAGAGACAAAGAGCTGTCATCTCCTGATTCACTCCTGCAGTGTCTTCAGCAACTAGGGAGCTGAAGTCAAGCCAGGAGCCAGGAACTCAATCCAGGTCTCCCTCATGAGTTTTAGAAACCCAATTACAGGGCCCAGCACAGTAGCCTAGTGGTTAAAGTTCTCATCTTGCACGCACCGGGATCCCATATGGATGCTGATTCTAATCCCAGCTGCTCTGCACTTCCCATCCAGCTCCCTGCTTGTGGCCTGGGAAAGCAGTCAAGGACAGCCCAAAGCCTTGGGACCTTGAACCTTTGTGGGAGACCCAGAAGAGGTTCCAGTCTACTGGCTTTGGATTGGCTCAGCTTCAGTCATTATGGCCACTTGGGGAGTGAATCAGTGGACAGAAGGTCTTCCTCTCTGTCTCTCCTCCTCCCTGTATATCTAACTTTCCAATAAAAATAAATTAAAATCTTACAAAAAATATTACTTGAACAATTACCATTGTCCACTAGTGTCTGCCTTAGCAGGAAGTTGAGTCAGGAACCAGAGATGGGATTCAAACTTAAATCTGCTGACCTGGAATGCAGGTATCTTAATGGCTAGCCTAAATGCCCAGCCCTAAAAGGCACTGATATCCCCATTGGGAAGATGGAAATTCACCCAAAAGCAAAATACATTGCATTTGTAAGCCCTTTTAATTTTTTTAAATTACTTTTAGTTTTTAAAAATTACTTTCCTGTGCATTTTTTCATATATTGCTCACAAAATATGCCCATATTTTGCTCCCTGGAAAATTGATTGGGAAATTTATTTTATCTTTATAGAAACTAAAAATGCCTTCTCTTTGAGAAAACAGAAAACAATAATTTATGTAAAATATAGTATGGTAACTTTTTCATCAGAAAAACAAGTGATGCTTAATGATGCAATATAGCAAGCTTAATGATAAGAGCTGTGAAAACACCAGAGACATTAATGTACAAGCAGATGATGGAGGGTAGGGGGCTATATTTGTGGTATATTAGGTTAAGCCACTGCCTGTGACACCATCCCATATGGGCTCTGCTTTGTCCTGGCCACTCCACTTCTGATCCAGCTCCATCTTCCCACCAGGGCAGGTTCAGCTTTTTCACCCAGTTTCCTGAGTTCATAAGGCCCCACAATGTGTGTTTCCTTCTGTTCCACACCCTCAGAGTGTGAGCCCATTGAGGCCATTGCCAAGTTCGACTATGTGGGCCGGACAGCACGAGAACTGTCCTTCAAGAAAGGAGCGTCCCTGCTGCTTTACCAGCGGGCATCCGACGACTGGTGGGAAGGCCGCCACAATGGCATCGACGGACTCATCCCCCATCAGTACATCGTGGTCCAAGACACGTACGTTGGGCCCCTGGCACCTTGGGGTGGCCCCTGGCTGTACTGTGGGCATGAGACTTCCTTTGTGGAGCCCTGGAAGTAGCGGGGAGGCCAACCCCAGGGAACACCACAGCCTTCCTGAGGACCGCTTAGCTCCTCAGATGCCCTCTCCTCGCTCTGTGGATTTTTTTTTAATCCCTCAGTTCTCTCTTGTCCCTGCAGGTCATCCCCTGATTGGGGTCTCTGAGAGGCCTCCCCATCCGTGCTCATCCACCTTTCTACCTGATGAATGATACCGCGGGGGTTTTATTTGACATTTCTTTGTTGGGAAAATTGGATTAGGAAAACGTTTTCTCTCCTCTATCCTTTTTGTAAGCAGTTATGCTCAACCTAACCTGGTGGGCCACTGCTGCTGACATTTTCCACTTACAACTGCAAATGGTAGAAAGTTTTTCTAGGAGGGTTCTGGCCTAAGCAGTCGTGTGGAAGTAACCCACTATGTTTGACCCAGATAAGGTTGATTTGGGAAAGTTTGAAAAGAGAAGGGAAAAGGATGTCAGAGGACAAAGGGATTCAGAGGTTCCCCTGGATGAGCTGCTGTTTGCTTCCCATGTATTAAATAGGTCCTCCAGACAGGAGACTGCCCTGTGCCCCATTTCATCAAGCCTGCCTCCCTGCCCCTTTACCTTGCCTCTGCCCCCAGCTCCCTTCCCTCGGATCCAGTACTGTCAGTGTTTTTAGCCCTTCCCTTACTTTTTGAAGATTGATATCTTGAGTCAGCACCCTCTCAGCCCCCAGCCTCCCCCAAGCTCATTCTTCAGGGAAATCCTCTCTGTTGATAACATCGCAAACCTCGTGGCCATCTGTGCGTGGACAGGACCCTCCCAAACTTAGCATTATTACTTCACCACAGGATGGAGAGAAGATGAATTGTTGGGCTAGGGGAAGGGGGCTTGCTTTGTCATCAGAGAGGCCCAGAAGAGCAAGTACTGGAGAGGCTACGTCAGTATAGCCTGGATGCTGGCACCTCCTGAGCCACTGCAGAGCTGACTGTCCCTGCCTGACAGATAAACCACAACTTGGACTTGCTACTTCCCCCTCCAGGAAGTGGCCCCAGCACAACAGGCTCAGGAAAGCCCTGTGGGTTAGAAGACAGAGGCCTCAAACTTAGGGGTCCCCTACCCCAGCTTTCCAGAGGAGCTAAGGATCCCTAGGACTCAGCAGATTATTTATTCGTATTTAAATCACCCTCAGGGAGGCCCTTGGGTTCCCTTGCCTCTGCTCACAGAACCAGCCCAGCCAGGTGTCACTGCTGCCGCAGTCATGTGGGGTCGCGTGTGTCGTCCGGGGGGGCCATCGTGCCGCTCTAACGCTACGTTTTGTGTTGTTGTGTTTTCCCTCCCCCCTGCCTGCCTGCCCCTTCTCCCCCAGCGAGGACGGTGTCGTGGAGAGGTGCAGCCCCAAGTCTGAGATTGAGGTCATTTCTGAGCCACCTGAAGAAAAGGTGACAGCCAGAGCGGGGGCCAGCGGTCCCAGTGGGGGTCATGTAGCCGATATTTATCTTGCAAACATCAACAAGTAAGCTCCGCTTTTCATTTTCTGCTCCCCTCCATGACTTGCCATGCCCAGCTCACAGCCTCTGGCCTGTCGCCCTCCATTCTGTGCTGTCCACGGGGCTCCCAGCTCCCTCAGCCTAACAGTCCGCATGTGTCCGTGGCTGCTATGAGGCCCACAGGGCTGAGGAAGCTTCTGCCAGCTTCTGGGGCAGGAACAGGGCCCCACCATGCTGTCCTGCTGGGGATGGGCACGCCGCTCTGTGTTCCCACGGTGTCTGTCGGCCCAGGCCTTCCTTCCCGGCTGTCTTGGGGCTACCACTTTGGCCAAGGCTTCAGTCACTTGACGCAACATGGTTTTGCACTGTTTCTCAGAGGTGCCTTCTCTTTTCCAATTCTGACTCAAATGTCAGTCTTTGACATCTTCCTTGCCCCGTGTCTGTCCCAAGATGCAGAGTCTTGTGTGTCTTCTGCCAGGCTGATGTGTGCCCGGTGGGTTCGTGCAGATAGCCTCTGTCTGTCTCTCTCTGCTGTCCTGCATCACTCCTGTGGGGGAAGGGGAGCACTGTGGCCCCTCCCTGCCAGGAAAGCTTTGTCCTCAGCGCTGTATCCATCGCCTAACCCCCAGCGCCCTTTTCTTCTGCCCTTTCACACCAGGAGAAATCATCTTCCATTTGTTTCCTGTTGCTTTAGCTCTTTGTTTATCCTCCCCTATTAGTCCCTTTACAGATTCCCAGTCCTGTCCAGCGGGCTCTTACCTCTGACCCCCAGCTTTCACTGTGGCCGTTAGGAACCTCCTGGGGTTTTAACTCCAACCACACCGAGCTGGCTGTCCAGAGGGACTCCACGCCTGCGTGATGCCGCCTCCCCAGAGGCATTCAGGTTATTGGAGAACTAATCTCATCTCACGGGGCCAGACACCAAGTCCCAAAGCCTCCAGACCTCTTTCCGCCAGACCCTGAGACCTGGCCCAGTGCCAGCAGGATGACAAGCCCCAGGGCGCTCCTGATGAATATGGATTGGAGATGATGTACCGTTTTTATTCCCCTCTGGCTTGGGAGGAATGAAATGATTTGCACTTTGAAAACCTGTTAACCATAGCCTCTGGACACTGAGACTGGAAGGAGAATAAAAGATGCTTGTTGTTTTTAAACTACACCAGGTTGCCCAGATCGCGTGGCTTTTTTCCAACCACACGGTAGCAGGGGGAGTGGTTGGGACATGTGGCTCTTTCCCTTCTTGTTCACCTTCAAGTTCGTAAAGAAGCTTCTTCAGCTCACTGCATGTAGTTGTAATTTAATTCAGGCCAACAACAACAACAACAAAATTTGTGTTTTCCTCCAGCACATTGCCCTGCTGGGAAAGCAAGCTAGTAAAAAGTAATTGTGTGCTAATCACATTTTTTCCTTATTCGCAAGTCTATGTTAATTGTAAGTCTACAGTCATAAGGTCCTTACACCTATAATTAACTCAGAAACCAAGGCTGGGTTGGTAGAGGGAAAGTTAGCTAATTCATTAGGCTACATATTTTAAGCCACCAGCTGTTTGATGCCATTTGGACAAAGGGGCTGAAAGATTAATAGCTAAAATGGTGGGAAGATGTTCACGTGCTGGGTGGTATCGGGGTTCTCGGAGGACAAGCCCTGTGGCCTGAGCAGAAGCTGACTGGTCTGTGGGGCACAGCAGCCTCGGGCTTGTCATCCCCTAGGACTGAGTGCACCTCCTCCCCAAATCCTTCAGTTTCCTGAGTGCCCTGGTGCCCTCCTGGTCCCTTCACATCTGTTGTCTTCTTCCTTACCTGGTCATTTTCTCCTCTCCTCTGAGACCCAGTCCAAAGATTGACCTCTTTGGGGAAGTCATCCTGACGCCTTTGAGTAGGGGGCTGTCCAATTCCATTATCTCTGCGTTCCCAAGGCAGCCTGAGTGTGTCTCAGTATACTCACTGCACCTGATTCCTCACAAGCCGATGCACCCTCAAAGCAGCAACACCGTCAGATGTCCAGGGCCTGGTCCCAGGACGTGGCATCCTGCAGCCACTCCATAAATCTGCCTTCTCTGTGGTCAGCTGTCCTTGAGGGGGAAAAAGGAAGTCGGCAAAGGCTGTGACATTTCCACTTCATCCCGCACATCTATTTAGCATTTACTCTTGTGCTGAGCAGAAATGAATCAGACACGGTCCCTCGGTGCTCACAGTCTGGCAAGGAAAAGATCATGAGGACAGGTGACTAAAAGCAGCACCTTGGACACTCAGAAGGAAGAGGGCGGGAGGGCTCCATTCCTCCTTTGATTAGAATGAGTGATACCAGCAAACTGTTTGCAAACAGAGGTCATTTCGGCAGGACCTGGTGCCACTCTGAAAACTTTGATTTTCTTTTTGGGAATGGCTGACTCACAAAGCCAGAAGTGCCCAGTGGGCAGATTCCTAGAGTGGCCGGGTTCTGGGCCGGGCCCTGAGGAAGACCACAACAGTGACCAGAACCGGAACTGGCTTGGAGCACTGGCTCTGCCCCCTCCTTGTTGTAGAGCGCCACCCCCTCCCCTTCTCCCCATCTCTTTCCACCCCAACCCCAGTTTCCCTTCTGAGACTCAAGATCACAACCACCCCACTGCTACTTGAACTTTGAACTGACAGCTTCATTGCTTCTTGGAGTAGGCCTTTGAAAATCTCATTCCAAGAGAAAATGAAATTTCCCAGCAGCAGGCAACACCCATACAACTAGAACTCCGCCAAGGCATTTGACATTAAGTAGTCTGAAACAGGTCGGCCTAGAGCCAGGGCAGGCTCAGTGCAGGATGATGTAGGAGTCATGTAGCTGTATTTTCACCTTGAGAAAATGCACAACCTGGGCCCTCGAGCCACAGTGTGGCAACTCCTCGAAAACTCTTCTGTTCTGTGTCTACAAAATAAGCAACAAGCCTCTTGTCACAACCCCAAAATGATCCCCGTCTTGCTGGAGTTGTACTAAAAGACACACTAGACGTTGGAAAATTCAACTGTCCTCTTGCCAGCCTTGCCTGCCTCCTTGGTGATGGGGAGATTTCCACCTGGGGCCTTAGGTTTCTGTTCAAAGCAGGTGACGGAGGGGCTTTCCATGACCCTGCCTTCCACTAGGAACTTTCCCCTAAGCAGGCTTTTTTCTGGCAGCACCTTAACATCTTAAGAACTCAAAGCCCACCTCCAGCAAGTAAGTATCCATTTCTCCTTTACCCAGCCCCCTGGGTGGGAGGGGAGCAGCTGTGTGGAGAGAGCAAGAGGCTGAGGGGAGAAGGTGCCTCATGGCCCTCTTCCTTCTAGAACTCCCCAGCTGCTGAATTCTGTCCCTCCCTCACACTTCTTAGCTTCCTCAGGGTCAAGGCTCCCTGGTCACACTGCCCTCTCTTGTTTGTGATTGAAGGCAAAGGAAGCGTCCAGAATCTGGGAGCATCCGGAAAACGTTTCGTAGCGACAGCCATGGGCTGAGCAGTCCCCTGACTGACTCCTCCCCGGGGGTGGGGGCTAGCTGCCGCCCGTCCTCCCAGCCCATCATGAGCCAGAGTCTCCCCAAGGAAGGTCCAGATAAATGTTCCATCAGCGGGCATGGGAGCCTCAACTCCATCAGCCGCCACTCCTCCCTCAAGAATCGGCTGGACAGTCCACAGATCCGGAAGACTGCCACAGCGGGAAGGTCAAAGAGCTTCAATAGCCATCGGCCCATGGACCCTGAAGTCATTGCACAGGTAACTGGGGGCTCTGAAGCAACAACATGAACCTGCACCCCCACACACACTTCAACTTAGCACACCCCTGCTTGTCAGCACAGAGACTAGGCTCATGCCCAGGCTCTGCGCTGAGTCCAGCAAGCACTGTACACATAGATTGGTAAAATGGCTTCACCAGCAGTCTGCCTTTCTCTGGCCCCAAGAAGAATCAGCAAAGTAGTATTTTGATCAAGTCCATTCAGCCCAAGTGGTGGGTCTTAATGATCCTACTTGACTTAAGGGAAGCTGCCTGAATGCTGAGGTTCAGATGGGTTCTGGCCCTTTTTTGTGTCATTCTGCCCACGCCCAGCATCCCATTCCCAAGGAAAAAATCCCTGCACACTTGGGTAGATGATCAGGCAGCAGGTGTACCATGCGCTGGCTGCTGGGAGCTAGGTGCCAGCCAGTGCTTGGGGACAGTGGAGAGGCCTGATGCTAGCTTTCCCTGCTGTACCTGTACCACACTGACAACTTTTTGTTTTCCCTGAACTATTAGAGATTCAACCCCACCTCTAACAGTCTGACTACCGGGGCCACTCCAAGCAGCTCCCTCAGACGTCTCTCCCAACTCTATCATTTCCATTAGACCAGGTAGGAACCCAGAGCTCACGGTTGCCCTCTTAGGTCTCAACTGAGTTGAGAGCCTCCTCGCCCCATCATCCTGGGCCAATAGAGGCTGGTGTGGTCGCTATTGGCAGAGCTGGGGTCTGCTGGAGGTCTCCCTGGCAAGCCCAGGGCTGAGTGATGGGCCTGAGAAGTCTTGCTTTGCTAGCCTTCCCTTCTGGCTGTGGCTCTGTTGAAGCTCCTGGGTCCTGGCTGTGATCTGCCTTGACCAGGGGATCCTCCCAGCTCCCTCCTTGGCCGGGTGTGAATAGGAATGTCAGCAAAGGTAGACAGCTGGGACAGACTAGCTGCAAAGTAGGACGAGGGATTGGGGGGAGTGACAAATGGGACCACAGCAGAAACCTAGGTCACTCTGCAGAGACCTCAGCTAGGAACAATCTTTCACTGGAAGCCTAGTCCCAAGGAAGTTTTGCAGTGGGGTGAGGGAGCTGGGCACAGCTGGGGTCGGGGTGAGAGAGCTGGGTGGTCTACCTGGGAGGCAGGCAGCTCGCATGCCACTCTTCTCTGGTGCTGCCCTGAGCTCCTAGGCTCCTGCTGCTGTTGCTAAGAGCTGGAGGGCTCCCCTGACTTAGCCAAGGCGATTCACCTCTGTGAACTTTGGCTCCCCCTCCTGGTTGCTCCCTTGGTGGTGGGTAGAAGGAAATGGTCTCCAGTTGCACAAGGCCCTGAGAGCCAGGTGGGCAGGGAGATGGGACCTGCCAAAGCCTCAGGGCCTGGCTCTAGAACTCTTCCTCAGCTCCCCGTTGTTGTGGGGGAGAACCAACCCTCTTAACTTTTGACCTGGAAGAACAAGAAAGTAAAACTTATACTTCACCTTGACCACTCTTTTTCAAGTGTCTCACACACATTAGGAACCTCTACAAAAGCAGAAAGGATTGGATAATAAAGCTGTGCATATTCAAGACCAAATTCCTAATCAACCTAGTTTATCCACCTGCCGCCCCCCACCAGATTAGTGGTCCTTTCATCCATAAAGATTTCAGTCCCTAGTCTAAAACTCAAGAACTGTAGTTCCAAAATGTCCCAACCACTCAAAATAATAATAATGATGATTTTTTTAAATCTCAAGACAATGAACATTCTCGTGTCCCCTTTCCCTACATTCTGAGCATCTATCTGTTCAAGGATTCTGTCCAGGTGGCGTGGTCTGGGCATCTCACAGGTGCTTTCTACCATGACCTGGAAAGCGCTGCTGAGCCAGAAGCCACAGGGACTTCTCCTTTGCTTGGTTTATCTCCTCCTTTCCCTTGTTTTTCAGGATATTGAGGCAACCATGAACTCGGCCCTGAACGAGCTGCGGGAGCTCGAGCGGCAGAGCAATGTCAAGCACACCCCCGACGTGGTTCTGGACACCTTGGAGCCCCTCAAAACTTCCCCAGTGGTTGCCCCCACATCGGAGCCCTCCAGCCCTCTGCACACCCAGCTCCTCAAGGACCCCGAGCCCGCTTTCCAGCGCAGCGCCAGTACCGCCGGGGACATCGCCTGCGCCTTCCGACCCGTCAAGTCCGTTAAGATGGCCGCCCCCATCAAACCACCAGCCACACGGCCCAAGCCCACCGTCTTCCCCAAAACAAATGCCACCAGCCCTGGTGTCAACTCCTCAGCTTCCCCACAGTCCACTGATAAGTCTTGTACTGTCTGAGGGGTGTAATTTAATTTGTCCTAGACAAAGGGACTCTAGGGACTGACTGTTATTAAAATATTCCTATTTAACTAGTTTGGGGACTTGAGTTGACGATTAGATTCTAAGTTGTTCTTGCAGGAATTAGCCTCCCCATCACCCAAAACCTTGAGAATGAAGCCCTTGTTCCTTGGCCTTCCCTCCTACCGCCCCATGCATCCCCCAGTGGTCGTAATCCAGCCAGTTGCAGTAATACCGTTCTTAGGTTAGCCAGAGGCAGCGCGTTTCCCATCAAGTCACTGTGAAATCTGACAAGGCAAACCAAGAGGACACAGGCCTAAGCCTCAGTCCCCTCAGACCCCTCCATGCCTTGACCAGACAGTTGGCTCCTGCCACCCAGCTTTCAGTGGCATCTTGTTTTGGGTACTAATTGTAGAGACTCATAGATATTCTATTCCATTCCTCATTTTACACACACACACTTCTCATCTCGCATGTGTAGCCTCTTCTGCTCCCTGGACAGTCTCTAAGTTATTATTGTGGCGGTTCACATAGGAGCCACCAGGGGCCTCCGTTTCCATTACAAACTTTGTCCTAACTGGATCAGAGAACCTCGCCGTTGAAATCCCTCAATGGCATGACAGGAACAGCACAGGGACAGTCCTGGGGTCTGTGTGGGCTCGGGGGCTTTCTCTGCCGTCTCTCCGTTGCTGTGATTTGCTCATTGCTGTTGGCTTTGCTCTCCTTCCTGCTCTAGAAGTACAGCCCCATCTTACCACAGAGCGTTTACAGTTTCTCGGAATGTATAGAGCCATCTCACCTGGAAACTTTGTCTCTGACGGACCATTTTCCATTTAAGACATTTTCCTGTGTAAGAAAGTTTTATAGTTGATTCCCTTTAGGCTAAAGACTCTTAAGAATGTTAATGCATATATGGCAGGTTTGAAAAAGGTAAGATATGGGTTCTTCTGCTGCCCCCATTATTTTGGCACTTAGAAACATAAAAATGCATTATCCTATCCAAAAATTAAATTCAGTTTTGCTAATCCCAAAGTTGCTCCCGATGAACAGCCTTAGTTTTGCTGTTGGACAGGGTTCTCTTGCTCTCCTTGCTCTCTCTGTCTCTTCAGGGACCAACGGGGGCTTCGAGAATTCTGGTCATATTCAAGCGAGACTCTATCCGTTCAAGCCTGTTTTCACTTATCAGAACAAGGACAGTTAAGAGAACTCTGACCCCACAGGCTCTAAAGTCTTCCAAAGTTAAAATCTAAAGCAAAGAAAAAAATGGATGATGATTTTTTTTTCTGATTTCCCTCTAAACTGCAAAAAAATGCTACCTTAAGGCTTACTGTAATTCAGTCTCCAGCCCTAGTGCTCTCCGTCCCAGCCACCTCAGAACCACACCAGCCCAGCAGTACCTGTTTCCTGGGCCTCAGATAGCAACTCGCATCCAGTCCTTCCAACACGCAAGCTGTGCCTTGATTTCAGCTCACTAGACTTGGTAGTTCAGAGGAGATGGAGGGCGTCTCTTCCTGCAGGGACCAGCTGTGAGGATGGTTGTTGGTGCTCCGGGAAGTGGTAGGATTGTTCCTGCCAGGTCTGAAGGAAGACAAGGAGCTTTGTGGGAAATGACTTGTGAGAAGGAGCACCATCAGGACAGCCAAGACCCAGGAGAAGCCTCCCTTAGCAGGAAGGGCTGCCCTGCAAGAGGCGACCCACCAGCTTTAGAATCTCGGTTTTTGTTGCTTTCTTCAGTGGCCTGTCCTTGTCTGTCAGCTGGACTTACACAGGTCCTGAGCCAAGAGGGGCTCTCATTCCCAAGGATCTGTTAAATTGCTGAAAATGAAGCCCACCCTTCACTTGACATTCCCATTCATCCGGTTGATCTGCGCTGATCCCAACCCTGCCCTTTTCCCAGACTCCAGCACTCTCTCTGCTAAGAAAGGAAGAGCAAAGCTTGCTGAATGCAGTGCATTAGGCCTGTGCCATGGCTCCTGCCTTATTTCTCTCCCAACTCTGCAACATGGCTTGTGTTTGCTGTCCCTCGGTCAGCGTCCACCTGCTGATGTGCATCAGGAACTCAACAATGTCACTGACGAAAACCAGCTCCCTTTCCCCCAAGCCACCACCACTCTTGGAGCCGAGCTGTCTTCCCCATCGCTGGTGCTCCAGGTATCTGATAGACAGGCCCGGCCGGAGGACTAGGCGCCCACAGGAGGAGAATCCTCAGTAGAGCTCACTATAGTCAACTGGAACTGAACTTGCACACTGTGATTTTCACACCAAGAAGCCAAGAGGAGCTGGCCGCCCAGACCTCGGGAAACCAGTCCTCCTTAGATGTGCTTGCCAGAATCAGCATGATGCTTCCAAGAGCCCCCGCTGTGCCCCTGGAGGCTTGGATCCTTTTCCTGGTGTGGACTCTGAAGGCTCAGTTGGGGGAGGGGGGAGAGCAGTGGGGGAGGGCTACCAGCATCCCAACATGGACAACAGAGGACTTAGCAGCCAGCAGCCTAGAAACTGGAAACACTGGTCCCAGCCAACCTCCTCAGGGCGCCCGGGTTTCTCCCTAAGAAGATGAGGGGCGATGACACCAGCGCCGGGATGAGCTGACCACTGGAAGGGCTGGTGTCCGTGTAACTTCCTGCGTGCAGAAGAGCAGTTAGATCCTCCAGGGAATTGCAATGTTGTGGCGTCTGACTTGTATGTCACGTTTGTGTACAATGGTATATTCTTTACAATAGTGTTGATAACTGGAATATTGTATGTATGCTTGGAGATGCTTCGTGTGAACCTAAGACTGTCACTTGACAGATGTTGGATTGGGGAAAATCCAAAGCACAACTTCAAAATAAAATACATTTTTAGGTTTCCATCACTGCCGCTCCTGTATCCCTTTACCTCTTGATGCAGGAGGAAGGCTGCCAAAAGAGCTTCCTGGTTCGTCTGTGATAACCGAGCCCTTCCTGGCAGCAGAGGGAAAAAGGAGATATGGCTATGGTGTCAGCCACCTTCTCCCTTCCCCACCAAGAGTTGCAGTTCTAATGTGGATTGCTTCCCCAGCATTTCCCTTTAGCCTGTGTGCCACCTCAGAGGTTTGATAGAAAGTCTTTCTGCTCACCATTGGCCAGTCTGTTGCCATGAGAACCACTTCCCTCAAGAATTCACCTTCTCTGTTTGCAATGAGGACCATCATTTCCGTCTCAGATCTGCCTGCTCTGAGGCATGTAGCCTAAGAAGTTGTTTGAAACCTTTTTCTTCTGCAACCAGGGCTGACCAGGAGGTCTGTTTCTTCCATAACCAAAGTCCTGAGTCATTATGCCCTTGTCAACCCCTGCCTCAGGAGAGGAGCCGATGGCTTGGCCAGAGAAGGGGACACAGACTGTGCCTTCTGTCCTTTAGATTTTGACTTAAGCAGAGCAGCACTTCAAGGGTGATGTTATTCAAAGATAACAACTTAAAATGCATCTTAGAGCCCCTAGGGCCTCTGCTTGTTTTTAGTGGGATTATTCTAATAGCCAGATGCCCCAGAAGGCTGATTAGATCTCTCACATGCAAAGGGTGGCTTGTGTTCAGTGGCAGTGGCAGTACAAAGAATCCTGCCCCCAGCCCTGGCTTCAGACACTTCACCTGCTTCTTTTAGATCTGTCATCTCTAGCCATCATTTGTGCATCTTCTGTTCAGCTCTGCCGTGCCCTTCCAATCTGCTGTCTCTTCCCCCTCCCATTTGAACGAACAGCCACGTCTTGAGCTACTCATGCCAAAACTGAGGATGATGTGCCACCCTGTGGTGTGAATGGGTTTTTGCTCCCAAGAATGGAGATAGAGTGGGTTGGAGCCAGCTCTTTGAAAGAATCCCTTCTTCATCCACCTGCTGCAGTCTGATGGGAGCTTGATGAAAACTAACATCAATGAACACAACGGAAACACAAAGCCCTTCTATTCCAGATAGAAACCAGCAGAGACAATGGGGATGGACTAGGCAGCAGTCTTTAAAATCAACTTAGTAGTAGTATCCATTTAGAAATAGGAGGTTTCATTTTTACTGAGAGTCAACAACCTCAGCTGGGGACATTTGGCAAAGACCAGTCCCTCAAACAGCAAACTCCAAGCCTCTGTGTGCAAACACTGAAAAGAAGAAATGGGCAATAGAACTTTCTAGTCAAAGGAGACAAATAAATAATCAAAAAACCCTGAAAATGAAACCGAATGAAATGAGGGCTTGGTTGGTTGAGAAAGCCTCCCCTGGAGAGTGGGAGGAGCATAGGAAATGGAGTTGGGCTTGGGCAGGAGGTGAACCTGAAATGACTGACAGACGGACGTGCGTGCAGAAATACCAGACGCTTGGCTGCGTTGCATCCGCAGTTTCAGGGAGAGATCACGCTTGATTAACAAATGTAGACGCTGTGAGATGACAGATTGATTCAAATTGCAAGATTCCCAGCAAAAACAGGCAGATGGGGAAAAAGAAAAGGCCCAAATTATTGGAAACCTGGCAGAGCAAAGAGCACAGGAGTGAAGGACACAGTAAGACAGTCAGTGGTTGAGAGGAAAGTGAAACAGAAACTAAGAAGGAAACGCAGCAGGGAGGGAGGGAGACGTTGGTGGGGGCAGAAAGGTAACATGGGTTGTGACCAGGACAGGGGGGAAAGAATGAGGATCACCTGGGTGGCTGGTGGGGCGGGATAAAGGGTGGGTGGGGACAGCTCATTGAATGGGGAGCATCCAGAGGGGCCAAGGGACCAGGCGTCTTAAGATGGGCAATGGGGAGACAGAAGCCTGTAGAATGGGAAGTCAGTGACACCCAATGGGTCAGCAGCTATGCAGAAAAATTGCACTTCTCCCTGCCTCTGGAGGGAAGTGGGCAGTGAGTTAAGGGATAAAGGAGCTCCCCGTGCAGTGCTCGGTTTGGTCCAGGGCAGGGCAAAGTATAGCCTTGAGTGGAGCGGATGGGGAAGAAAGGTGCACAGGGTGTTTCAGAGAAATGCTCCCTTTTCTGTGCTGGGGACCAGGACAAGAACCTGCACAGGAGCCGTTCCCTTAAGCAGCCTCAGTGCTGCCCCCCTTCTCTACCTCCTCCCATCTCCCAAGGGATCAGCACCTCCTACACCCAAAGCTCCTGTCCAGGGCTCCCTCATGGTGGCTCCAGGACTTTGTCATTCAATCCTTTCTACTTATCCCGCTGCTGTGCTCAGCTGTGCATTCCCACCCTGCCTTGCTCCTTGCTCCTCCCTTTTAAGCACCTGTCTCTGCACAGGAGAAATCTAGGAAAACCAGCTTGAGGCCAGCAGGGTTAGAAAGCAAAAACATGCCAGGTACCAGGCACATAATCTCATTCTGTTTTTGCACCAACCCTAGAAGGGTTGGGTGATGCCCTGGGCCACCTGGCGTCAGGACACAGGCCCCTGGCAAGTGATGGATGACAGTGGAGCTGCTCCTGCCCTTCCCCCTCCACCACAGCCTCGGTGACAAAAGGCAGATGTGGAGTGGTTCCCCACCACCCTCTCCCGCTCCGCGAGCTACCATCGGGACCCTCATTCCCACATCTGCTCCTTGCAATGATACCTTCAATTACCACGTGTGTCTCTAGGACTCCTTAGCCACTGGAGAGTGGCTCTTACACACTTCCTTCCCTCCTGGGGCCCACAACGCCCCAGACTAGACCTTTGCCATGCTGTCCACATAGGAAACTGGCCTTGTGGACCACACCAGGGAAACAAGGTGGCAGGAAATGTGGCTGCAGCCCCCACCTCTGGCCCCACCTTGCCCTGAACCAGCCCCACTCTGTTCTTGCCTTCTGTGTCTGCGATTCCTCTCCTCTCTTCTGCCTCACCCCCCTCTTTCCAAAGTCTCCTAGTGGAGCCCTTCCTCTGGCCAGTGTGCCCTGCTGCACCTGCTGTCCCCCTAGAGAATAAAGCAAGGTTGCTGATAAAGACTCTCCAGGTTCATCCTGGAAATGGGTAAAGGTAGTTATCTGCTGGGTCATGTTACAAAGCTGAGTAGCCTAAGTCAACAGTATCCTAGGAGTGACAAACCTGGTGGCCACTCTGGGATTTGGACTGATAGAACGACCACCTGTCTCAGAGGCAGGAGCTGCGGGGAGGGAGGAGGACAGGAGAAGTAGGTCCTGCCAAGGCAACTAAATGCTTGAGCAGACAAGTCGCATGCTGCCACCCTCCCCTGCCCCTATCTGAAGCACCAAGGAAGTGCACCAATGCACCAGGGAAGTTCAGTTCTTATACCAGAGCTGAATGGTGGGTGGAGCAGGGAAATCCTGGCAGGACCTTCTTCCTGGCCCTGCTGGGAATGTCTGCAGCAAGGCATGTGGCCCCACGCTGTCAACAGGTGCATCCCTGAGCAGGAGGGCAGGGTTCACTGTGACAGGGTGGGGCTGACAGAGGAAACCTCCAGGTGTGGTCTTGGGAAAGTCCCTCCAACATTCTACAGGAACAAGGAGTTTCCTGGTTTTAACCATGTCTTGTCCAGAGGATGACACACACACACACACATGCACATAAAAGCACACACCGTCACACAAATGTGTGTATACTCCTCTTCAGCACCTTCCCAGGACATTTCACTCGGGATGTGGAATCCCAGTTGGGAGGCTGGCCTATCTAGGAGTTGGCTCCAACATCTCTGAGGATCGTGGGCAAATCCCTGAAGCCGTGTGACTCTAAGTGTGCCAGTAAAATGCCTTACAGGCTCCCACATTCTCCCTGCCAAGCATCCAACCACAGAGGAGGCCCGCCACTGCATGGTCCCACAGGGCTGCGTGCTATATTTGGGCCTCAGGAGGAGTATTGATGTGGGTTCAGTGTTTGTCCACTGAGACAGTGAGTCCCATTGAGCCGCCAGCACTGGGACCCTGGACACAGGTCCTGGTCCTCCCTGCACCTCCCAGGTATGGGCCCTGGCTTCCTTGCTGCGGCACCCAGCCACATGCCACAGCTCCCCAGGCCTCAGTGCCTGGCCTTTTTGTAACTCAGACTCGGGTCCCACAACCTCCACTGGGGCTTTCTCAGCATCCTTTTTCTCCTTCCTGTAAGGGTGATTGGCAGCAGCCCAGCTGCCTGTCTCTTTAAGAAAGAGGGAGGGAGGGAGGGAGCCAGAGGGAGTAAGAGAACGAAATCAGGAAGTGTAAGAGCTGGGAGCCTCAAATACAGCCAAGCTGGTGTCTGGCTGGCTGTGGGAGGCTTGGAGTGCTGACTTCTGAGGTGGTACCAGGCTCCTTCAACCCGCTCTGCCTGAGGGTCCCAGGGCTCCGTAACCACCAGGAAGCTAAAGGATTTGCCAGTGAAGGACGGAGAACCTGAAAGGCTCCCGGTGCCACAAGCCCACAACTCCTGCTGGGAGATGGGGTGAGTGTGCGGCACCTGCAGGGGATGGGCATCAGGCTGGGGGGAGGTGCCAGGCAGCTTCAGGGCAGGGGGGCATGTGTCCTGTGCACGAGGCGCCAGTCTGAGGCTGGGAGGCTCACAGCTGCACAGCACCATGGGGGCCTGCGTGCAGCTTCTGGGACCTGCCTTCACCCCTTCCTGAGGTCCTTCTCCCTGGAGTCGAAGTGACCCCAAAGTCTCCAGGAACAGTTCAGGGAAAGGCCTGAAAATCCCGTCCTTAACCTACTCCACCTTTACCCTCCAACCCCATTTGTTGGGGGAGGCAACAAACAGGAAAGGGTTAAAGGGCTGGTGGCTTTTGATAGAGGCTCAAACAACTCAGCGCTGGCTGCCTCTCATCCGCCCTCCTGCCGTCCTCTTTCCTGTGTAGCTCAGTTCCCAAACTAGCCACAGACGGGAAGCCTAGCACACGCTCACTGGGGACAGTCGGTGCCTGACTCAGCTGCTTGGAGCACCCACGCACAGGGTGAGTGTGCTTGGCCTTGGTGGAGCCCCAGATGGTGGCTCCAGGCTCATTCACCTGCTGTACCATGCCAGGTACTCCACGGAGGATACAGCCCCCAGGACATGCCATCCTTGCTCAGCCTCCCCTGTGCCTGCTCTGCCCATAACCACAGGTCTTCAGCTACACTTGGACCGACACCAGGTTCCAGGTACAGGGACAGCCTGAGCAGGATGATGTAGGTGGTAAAGTCGGCCGCCCACCACCTCCCATGGAACCCTCCTGACCTGGGTCCCAGGATGCTCTGCCCCGGCCTCACAGCAGCAGGCTGGCCTACTGATTCCCATCAGCCCCAAAGACAAGCTGGCCAGCTTAGCCCGCAGGCAGCCACTGTGTAAGGTACAGGAAGCTGCCCTGTGCCTCAGTGACATCTGTGCAGTGCAGACACAAACATGGGACACAAAGTCTTAGCCAAAGGCCCAGCATAGCCTTTCCTCAAAGTATTTAAGGGAAAAGTGGCAGGCGCCAGGCCTGGCTGGTGACATGCTCACATCTAAAGCAGAGCGTCTCTTTTCTCTGGGCCCTGACTCCAGGCTGCAGTTCTTGTCTTTGAGGCACACACTGAGAGGCAGCAGGTGACAGTTCAAGTGACCGAGGCCCTGCCACCTGGGTGGGAAGACCTGTATGGAATCCTGGCACCCAGCCTGTCCTTGCACTGCTCTGGCCATCATGGGCCTTTGAGGCAAGAACCAGCAAGTGGAGGTCTCTCTCTGTGTTTCTCTAAGTGACGCTGCCTCTCTTGGCCTCTCAAACAAACAACTTTTTTTAAAAGAAGTATGTAAGGGGCGGTAGCCCTTCCTATGCTCCTACCCCTGGCATCTAAGAAAGGCCAGTATAGTGCCATTGAACTTAACTTGTCAGACCTTGCCTAGTACGACAGTGCTTTTGTGGGGACAGGATAGAAAAAAGGCACTATAGGGGCTTCTGGTCTCCCTGGGGGCTCCTGCGCCCCAGGGCTTGAAGGTCTCTGGACTCTCTCTCCCTATCTCTTGCTTTCTCTGACCTGGCTCTGCTGGTTGCCTGCCTGCCTGCTCCCCACAGCAGGAAGCACATGGCCAACAGGCAGGCTGGGTGGGTGGGGCAGGAGCTCTGGACAGATGTTGCAATCCTGGAGATTTGCGATGGTGTGGCCACCGCTGGCTGCCTGACCCCAGGACTGGCCTCCTGCACCATTACTGCTTCCTGGGACCATCCCAAGACTGGATGTGCAAACCCCAGAATCCTGAGTCCTCTGGCAAGAATTGACAGAGGCAAGAAGTCGGTCTGTGAAGAATGGCCTGTCCAGGGCAGAGGCCTGGGGAGCCAGGGCAGGCAGAAGTCCTATGGCAAGGAGAGGCACAGGGCCCTCCTGCAGCGCTGTGCTGTGCTGTGCTGCTTTTTGGAGAAGTTACTCAACCTTCCTGTGTTTCCCAATTCCCTTCCCCCTTGCCTGTGCCTAGGCTTGCTGTAGGCCTGGCTGCAGGCCAGGGTCACCAGCCTCCTAGGCCCCCAGCAGGCTGCTTTTCCGAACAGAAAATGCAGAGCACAGCCAACTACCTGTGGCACACAGAAGACTTGCTGGGCCAGGGCGCCACAGCCAGCGTGTACAAGGCCCGCAACAAGGTAAGGAGCGGCCTGGAGGTCCTGCCTAGCCCAGCACAGCCCTGGGCCACCTCGTACCCATGTGGCAGGTGCAGCTACTCTCAAGGGTGGCAGGCTGGGGTGGCCCCTGTATTCTGTGCTGTAGGCTGTTTTGGGGGAGGACACAGATGTGGGTAAGAAGGGGCTCCTTGGGAGGGTGCCCTTGCCTGCCAGGATGTGTTGGCAACCACTGGAACCAACACAACAGGAATCACCATGGCTGCATGCCCCCACCTGTGCATAGCAAGGGTGGGGGCAAATCTTTGTCACTTACCAGTGCCTCACCATGCACCCCCTGAGCTGGGAGAGGAATGAGGGTGGGCTTGGGCTGGGGGACAGCCAGAAGGAAACCCTGGAGATAGTGGCTACAGCAACCACCCTGTCCCATGTCCCCGGCAGAAATCTGGGGAGTTGGTGGCTGTGAAGGTCTTCAACACAGCCAGCTACCTGCGGCCCCGGGAGGTGCAAGAGAGGGAGTTTGAAGTCCTGAGAAAACTGAACCACCAAAACATCGTCAGGCTCTTTGCGGTGGAGGAGACGGTGGGTCTATGGAGGACCGGCTTACCCTCGAGCCCTCAGCATGAGGGGAGGAGGGTGGGACAGGCTTACCCAGTCACAGAGACCTGAGCAGACAGAACAGGCAGAGGGGTAGGGCGACCAGCGGGAAAGCAGTGACGGAATCAGTGCCCAATCAGAAAGGGCCTCCTGGATTCTAGCCTGGGGGATCTGTATGAGGTCAGGCTGGAAGTTGGGAGCTGCAGATGGGTGAGGGGGAACCTCGGGCTCTGGGGCTGAGCCGTAGGCTCTGTCTTGCCTGTAGGGGGGCAGCCGGCAGAAGGTGCTGGTGATGGAGCACTGTTCGGGAGGCAGTCTACTGAATGTGCTTGAGAGTCCCGAGAACGCCTTTGGGCTGCCGGAGGACGAGTTCCTGGTGGTCCTGCGCTGCGTGGGTATGTCCTCCCTGTTCTCCCTTCTCCCCTGCCCGCTCCTCCATTGCCAAGCCAGCAGCAGGCCTGGGCCCTGGGTGTAAGTCCTGGAGGGACACCACATTTCGCGATCCAGCATCCAAGCCAGAGAACAAAGGGATGCTGAGCAGCCCTAATTCCCAGGCAGGGGACAGGAGGAACAGACTGTGGTGGGCGGGGCCCTGGAGCCAAGAGCTGCCCATCCATCTACTTCACAAAGAACCAAAAAGCCACCAGCATTTGCAGTGGCAATTAGAATTTACACGCTTCTGGCCATGTTCCTTACCACAATGCAATAGACAGATGATTAAATATCCAGAACCGGAAGGCTGCAGCCTCCAGGGGCAGCGGGGAGGGAGCCACCATCCCTCCAGGTTCCAGGAATCCAGGTGAAGCCTCCATAGCCTTCTCTCTGGGGCTACCCTTGCCTGGCTGGACCCCTGGCCAGGCCTGTGTGCCGCTGGAGCTGGCTTGCAGCAGTGCCTCTGTGTGTACATGCACAGTGGCTGGCATGAACCACCTGCGGGAGAATGGTGTGGTGCACCGCGACATCAAGCCCGGGAACATCATGCGCCTGGTGGGCCGCGAGGGCCAGAGCATCTATAAGCTCACGGACTTCGGCGCCGCCCGCCGGCTGGATGACGACGAGAAGTTCGTCTCTGTCTATGGGACGGAGGAGTACCTGGTGAGGCGGGCCAGGGCAGCACCCGGTGAGGGGACCACCCTGTCTGCCCCTGCCCTTCCAAGTGCTCTGACTGGCACCTGCTGCACCAATGGCTCGCTCTGTTTCTCCTCTCTCCACAGCACCCTGACATGTATGAGCGGGCAGTGCTACGCAAGCCCCCACAGAAGGCATTCGGGGTCACGGTGGACCTCTGGAGCATTGGGGTGACCCTGTACCATGCAGCCACTGGCAGCTTGCCCTTCATACCCTTTGGGGGGCCTCGGCGCAACAAGGAGATCATGTATGGGAGCAAGGGGGCTGGGGAGTGGAGGTGACAGGTGGGGATGTGACAGGCAGGGCAGCAGGCACTCACCCTTGCCCCCAGCCCTGCTGTGTCTCCCCCCTCCCCTCTGGCTCTGGGGTCCTCCCTCGGCTCTCCCCAACCCCAACCTTTTATTAATCAACCTAGGGAGCCCTGCCATGGAGTGATACACAATCATGTTTAAAATATGCATTGAGTTGGCCTGGTACAATGGCTTAATCGGCTAATCCTCCCATTACAAGCTCCGAGATCCCATATGGATGACAGTTTCTGTCTTAGCTGCTCTACTTCTTATCCAGCTCCCCACATAAGACCTGGGAAAGCAGCAGAGGATGGCCCAGGTGCTTGGCGCCCTGCACCTGCATCAGAGACCTGGAAGAAGCTCCTGGCTACTGGCTACAGACAGGCTCAGCTCTGGCTGTTGAGGCCACTTGGGGATTGAACCAGCAGAGGAAACTTTTTCTCTCCACCGCTTCTACTCTGTGTAAATCTGCCTTTCCAGTAAAAGCAAATAAATCATATATATACATGCACACGAACATTTATCCATTTAAAAGGCACAGTGACAGTGGAAAATTTCTGCCCACTAGATTTACTCCCCAAATGCCCAGAACAGCCAGGACTGGCTCAGCCAGGAGACTGGAGCTCCATCCGGTTCTTTGTGTGGGTGGCAGGAGGCCTTGAAGCTTGAGCTGCCTGCCAGGAGGCATTAGCAGGGAGCTGGATGCGCCTGAAGCAGCCGGGAATGGAATGGACGCCATCCCGCAGGACGTGGCTGTACTGAGCCCGTGCCTGAGCCAGAGCGTCCTGTGGGTTGCAGGGAGGCCAACACTCCGGCCCGCAGCAGGGCTAAGGCTTGGGCAGCCGGGATGGGCCAGGCCGGGGTGGTCAGAGAAGGCTAGTCTTGCAAGGGACTGAAGGTTGGGAAAGCAGAGGAGCAGAGAGAGATGCTGGGGACCAAGCTCCACTTGAGTGCAGGTGCGACCAGCGGCTGGGTGGCCGTGCATGTGGAGAGCCGGGTTAGGGTAGGCGAGGGTGGGAGGCTCTCACCCGGAGCAGAGTGTCCAGGCGGGGCGGCCTGCCCAGGCGGGGCGGCCTGCGTGACACTCCATTTCTTGCTTCTCAGCTGCCTCTGAGCGCTGGGTGACAGAACCGACGCTCTGTACCCTGCAGGGCAGAGCCATGGGCTGGGGCTCCGCTAAAGCTGCTCTTGCTACACTGCAGGTACCGGATCACCACCGAGAAACCATCCGGGGCCATCGCAGGGACACAGCGGAGGGAGAACGGCCCCCTGGAGTGGAGCTACACCCTGCCGGTCACCTGCCGGCTATCCATGTGAGTGGGGCCCAGGCCTGCTGCAAACCCTTCTCTGCTGAGCAGGGCACGCTGTGCCCTGTGGTCTCAGCTTTCCCACCTGGAGCCTGACACAGTGCTCCCAGCAGTTCCTGCCCCACCACCTAGGGAAGGCAGGTCCGCAGCCCAGCCTCTGATGGTGCCATGTGCTGTTGGGGGAATGGTGCTGCAGGGGGCTGCAGGGCCGGCTGGTGCCCATCCTGGCCAACATCCTGGAAGTGGAGCAGGCCAAGTGCTGGGGCTTCGACCAGTTCTTTGCGGAGACCAGCGACATCCTGCAGCGTGACGTCGTCCACGTCTTCTCCCTGCCGCAGGCGGAGCTGCACCACGTCTATGTCCACGCCCACAACACGTACGTGGGCACCGGGGGGCGGGGCCGGGAGTGCGCCCTCAGTGCGCCCTGCGGGGGTGTTTCCCCAGGAAGGCACGTGCTCCCCTCCGAGGCTTGTAAGTGTGTGTGTGTGTGTGTACACGTGCGTGTGTGTGGGCATGTGGTGCACTTGCTGAGGTTGTGAGTTCACTAAAGCCCCCTGAGATGCTAGGAGTGCTCCTGGGTTCCAGTCCCTTCAACTCTGCCCACTGGAGAACACCCTAGCGCGCACACACAGCCTGCTAAGAGCTCAGCCCTCTCCGCAGGAGGGGTCTTAACTGTGTCTGGGCCCAGCACCCACCCCCAGGCTGCTGCCCCATGCCTGACCCCTATCCCTGCCACACACTCTGTGCGTCCAGGGTCGCCATCTTCCTGGAGGCTGTGTCTGAGCAGACCCACGTGGCCTCCCAGCACCAGGAGTACCTCTTCGAGGGCCACCTCTGTGTCCTGGAGCCCGGCCTCTCGGCTCAGCACCTTATGCACACGACAGCCAGCAGCCCCCTCACCCTGTTTGGTGTGACCAGTGAGACCCCGAAGGGGCTGGCCTTCAGGGACCGTGAGTAAGGTCACCGGGCTGGGTCTGTTCTTACCTTGGACTTGATCCCTTTTCTCAGTGGATGCAGGTCTGGGTTCTAATTCCGCATTCATCTCCCAGACGCCTTGGGGCTTGGGCTGGTGTCAACCTCTTATCTGTAAGGGCAAGGCTAGCTGAAATAGGCAGATTCGGGTCCTGGGCTCACCCACCACAGTGTTTGTGATGGATAGGGGAGTTGCATTCATGTTGGAGGAGGCTGGAGCCCAAGGGAGGGAAGGGGACTAGGCCAGGGGGACAGAACGTTGTCTTTCCTCCAAGTCCTAGGAAAAAAACAAAACAAAACAAAAAAGCAAAAAACAAAAAAACAGCATCCTTCTCAGTTGCATAATGCCGACTGCCTACTCCCGGAAACTCGGACGAGGAACTGGGCAATTTCCGAACCTATGGGCGAGGGTGTAGTTCCACAAAATGTCCAGGAGGTGGCGGAGGGAGACCACATCTGTTAAGATGCTCCGAACTTGGAAGCTGGGGGTTCAGTGAGAGTGGGGAGCTTGCCCTGGGACGGGGTGTGAGCTGAGACTAAGGATGGCTCCTCAGACATGGTCTTTGTCTACAGCTGCCCTGGATATCCCCAAGTTTGTCCCCAAAGTGGACCTGCAGGCAGATTACAGTGCAGCCAAGGTGAGGGATGGCCCTCTGGGGTGGAGGCAGGGGCAGGGGGTGGGAGACATACCCACCTGTGTGTTGCAGGGAATGCTGGGTACTGGCTACCAGGCCCTGCGGCTGGCACGGGCCATGCTGCACGCGCAGGAGCTGATGCTTCGGGGCCTGCACTGGGTCGTGTGAGTTCCCAAGAGGACCAGGCCTGGGGATGGGCAGAGGGTGGACCTTGGGATCACTTTTGCTTTGCCCAGCACAGCACCCTGAGTGCCCTGGCTTGGGCAGCCCTGACCTGGGCTCTCTTGGACAGGGAAGTGCTGCAGGTCTCATGCAGGCAGACGCTGGAGGTCACGCGGACAGCCCTGCTCTTCCTCAGCAGCAGCCTGGGCGCGGAGAGGTGAGTGCACAGCCTGGAGCTCTCAGACTGTCCCTCACCTCTGTCATTCCGCCACACCTCTTATCTCCAGTACCCCGCTGTGCAGAAGGGATAGTGAGGGAGGAGAGATGCCCCTATCTTGACCTGCCTCCATCCACTACATGCATGACCAGCACCAGTGCTTTGCACCTCCCTTGTCTGAGCATCCTCTGTCCCTAGACCCCCTCCTCTAGGCGGCCAAGACTGACCGCAGCAGTCTCAGGGCAAGCCAGCCCAATCGCCCTCACGCAGTCACCCCGCTTTGTACCTCTCAGGACTCTGCCTGCCTCCCCTGCCCCCAGCTGAGCCTGAGTACAGCTGGCCTCTCCCTTCCCTCCAGGTTGGACAGTGCAGCTGAGATGCGCAAGGGGCAGGAGCCAGAGGAGGCTGCAGAGCTGAGGTCCAAGCTGCGTACTGTGAGTGGGGCTGGAGGGGGGAAGATGCTGGGTGCTGGGGAACAGAGCAGGGGGCCAGCAGCCAGGCTGAGCTCTTAGCATACCCCCTCCCCTCCTTGGGCCCCCGCAGCAGGCCAGGCTCCTCTCCAGCTGTTCTCAAAGCGTCATGGAGAACCAGGCATGCCTGAACAGTCTGCGCAGGGAGCTGGTGAAGGCGAGGGATCAGGTACATGCCGACAGAAGGTCTGTGGGATTTTCCTTCTTTGGGGGTTGGCAGTGGGTCATGGGAAGCCAGAAGGCCCTGTAGGAGTCAACCCGCAATCTCTGGGTGAATCAAGGGGTGCTAGGAGCAAGAGTACCCCCAAACACCCCAAACCAGTCATGGGGAGAAAAGACTCCGGGCTCCTGCACCCATGTGGGAGGAGGGAGGGCATAGTGGGCCCCTGAGCAATGATTCTGCATGAAAGAAGAGTTCTGCTCCCTTGCTGGTGGCAGATCCTTGGCTGGTTCTGCTCCATCTAGCATCTCTTGGGCTCCTGGGAATAATAATAATAGTAGTAACAATAATAAACACTGTAACACAGTGAGGGTAGCTTGCCCTGAGAAACCACCAGGACATGCCAAGTTCAGAGGCAGCATCTGTCTTGGTTGCCATCAGGCGGGGCTTTGCAGCATCTAACACTATTTCAATAGATGAAAAAGTGCCCCCCTCCCATGCCACAGGCTGTCACTGCCCCCGCCTACTTGGCAGCCCTCAAATGGGATGGGGGGAGCACAGGTGAAACTCCAGGGGGAGTCTCCCCTTCTCTTTGGGATCCACTGCGGGCAGGACCAGGTCAGATGTCACTTTGTGGCCTCTGCTGTAAGCTTGAAAAGCCTTGAAAACTGCAGGGTTTTCTTTCGGGGTTCATTTTCTGTAAGGTTTATTTTTTTAGTTGAGAGAAAGGAGTAACAGAGCAAGCTTCCATCCACTGGCTCACTCCCCAGTTGGTGGCAGCCACCCAGGGCCAGCCAGGCCAAAACTAAGAGCCAGAAGCACCTCCTGAGTTTCCTGTGCGGAGGGACGAGGCCTAAGCACCTGGGCCATCCTCTGCTGCTTTCCCAGGCACATTAGCCGGGAGCAGGATCACAAGTGGGGCACTCAGACTCAAACCAGCAACCGTATGGGGTACCCAACCCACTGCACCACAGCTTGCTTTTAACTCTTCCAGCAGCAGTGAGGCCCTTGAGAGCCTGTCCTGACCCCAGGTAGGGCAAATATTCCCAAAGTTCTCTGAAGACAGTGCTTGGTTAGGATGTACTGGGCATTGCCCCAGACCCTGCTGGGTGAGAGGGACAGGGGGCACCAGGCTATATGTGCACCACATGGCTTTGCTGAAGCCACGAGTCAGTGATACATTCCGAACAACATGGCCCTGAGCCTTGTGGCTGCCAGCTCCCTTCCAGGGACCACCTGGGTCTCCACCCATCACGTGGTAAGCTCTGCTAGACAAGGGGTAGGCCCTGCCTGGGGTCCAACCTCAAAACCACCAAGCTGGGGTCAGCTGGAAGAATTCCCTAGGTCTCCACACCTCTCTGTATGTCCCTCCTGAGGAGGGGGCATGTGGAAGGCCCGGAACTGGCACCCCTCCTGCAGGTGCCTGGGCCCCACCCTTACCTGCTCACCATGCCCCGCTTTGTCCCCTGGGCTTTGAATCTGCTTGCCTCTACCCACAGCCTCCAGCAAATCCAGTGCTGTCTGGACAAGATGAACCTCATCTACAAGCAGTTCAAGAAGTCCAGGCTGAGCCCGGGTAAGCCCTCTCCCCAGCCCAAAGACCCATACAGGAGCAACCAGGGCCACTGTAGGTTGACACCTGTGTGGTTTTCTAGCCCTCACAAGACCCTGGGGTCAGCTCGGGGGTGGGACAAGCCCGGCTCAGGCCGTGTCATCAAGGGGCAGGGCAAGAGACCCTGGGAACCCACCCCCACCATACCCCATGCATGTCCTTGGCTGCAGTCCAGTTCAATCCCCAAATGATTGCAACAGCCAGAGCTGAGCCCATCCAAATTCAGGAGCCAGGAGATTCTTCTGGGTCACTCCCATGGGTGGAGGGACCCAAGCACTGGGCCGTCCTCCACTGCTTTCCTGGGGCCATAAGCAGGGAGCTGGATGAGGAATAGAGCAGCCAGGATAGGAACTGGCGCCCATGTGGGATGCCAGCGCTTGCAGGTAAAAGATTAACCAGTTGAGCTGCTGTGCCAACTCCAGCCCTGAGCTCCTGAGCCAGGCCTTGGTGCTGGGCTTTATCCTGAGGGCCCTGACATTCTTGAGCTACTTCCAGCTGCCCACATGTTCCCCTTTTCATACCTGAAGCACTGCCCAGCCTCCCAGGACACCTCCATCATGATCGGCCTCTTGGCCACGCTGACAATGTCACAACAAGTTGTGCGATGGACACGATGCTACCACCAGCCCAGCTAGGCCATCTGTGTGCACCCTGGCACCATCCCCAGCCCCAGGGGCCACTCTGTTTGCTGGGCTCTTTGACTAGGTGACTTCTTGGCCATCTGTCTCCCTCTAGGGCTTGGCTACAATGAGGAACAGATCCACAAGCTGGACAAGTGAGTGGCCTGTTTGCTGCAGGTGTGGGTGCAGCCCAGGGGTGGAGCCAGTCTCTGGGCCAGACCGGATGCAGAACCAGGGTAGCTGTGTCGTATCCGGGTGGGTTATCGGAAGCATCTGCTTAGGCCTGGACTTGCTGCCCCTGCAGCCCTCACTGGTCCTCTACCCCCTTTCCTACCTCTGACCTCTGCCCCGTGAGCTGTGCTATTTAAAGACTGCCTCCCACACTTCCGCACCCACCCCAGCTCCCTACCCACCCGCCCCCATACACACACCCTTGCCATGACCGTCTCCTCCATGCTCTGGGGATGAAGCCAGAGGAAGTGGGTGTCCCCTGAGGACCCTGGCGTGCTTGCACCGTTCCCTGTTGGTGCGCATGCTCTGTGCCACCTCTGGTCTTCAAGATCCGAGCATGTAACAATGGCTGCCTCCCACCTCAGAGACGTTTCCCCGCCGTGAGCCCCTGGGGCTGAGCACAGGCAGGGAGACTGTGGCCGTGAAGGGGCCCTGGGTGGACGCACAGGGGCTGAGCTGCTCAGGGGACCCAGGGCTGTGGTTCCCTACAGGGTGAATTTCAGTCACCTGGCCAAGAGGCTGCTGCAGGTGTTCCAGGAGGACTGTGTGCACAAGTACCAGGCTGCCCTCGCTGCCCACGGCAAGCGGATGAGGTATCCACAGGGACCCCAGGACCATCCCACCTGACCCTGCCAGCTTTCCAGGCATCTAATGGTGCTGGGGGGATGGGGGTTGGGCTGTTAGGGCTCATGGGTGGTCTGGGTATCTGGATGGGCCAGGCAGCCTGCAGGGTGGCTTCCATGCAGTAACCTATGTCCTATATTGGGGAGGCACCATCACCCCATTTCACAGGTGAGCAAACTAAGGTTCAGGCAGCAGGTGGGAGAATTTGTGAGAGCCTTGACCTCAATTTGTTCTGGGTAAGGGAGTGTGGGTCAGTTCCCGGTGTGGTGATAATTCCCCGCCTGGAGCCTTCCCTGGCTCTGTGCTCGACCACCGACAGCTGCACTGTGACCCAGCCCCACCTCGGGGATCCGAGGGGACTCTTGCCTCCTCAGTCAGAGCGGGGAGACTGGAGGCTACCCCTAGAAGGACAGAAGCAGTGAGGGAGGCGCCTGCATGGGACCCTCGGTTCACGCCTGTGTGATGACCCCGCAGGCCCTGGCAGGAGTAAGCCGAGCCCCATGCTAACTCTGCTCTCTCTCTCTGCTGCTGTCTGCAGGGAGGTGCACACGACCAGGAACAACCTGCGGCTGGTTGACTGTTCTGTGGCCGCCTGTAACACGCGAGCCCAGGGTGCCCAGGAGGGCCTCAGCAAGGTGCACCTGGGGCTGGGTGGGCAGTGCTCGGGGCCCAGGGGCAGGCACTGCAACCATGCCCCACTTCTGGACAGAGTGCTGGTCAGAGCCCAAGCACCTGGGTGTGGGGTGGAGGTTCCCAATCCTCCGATGAGCCCTGAGACATGGACTGAGGAAGATCGCCAGCCCTCCCTGGCAGTCTCAGACTGAAGGTCACTGTGAAAGCAGAGGCTGCAGGATGCTCACACCTGCTCCTTGCTGTCCTGCAGCTTCCAGGCACCCAGCAGAGTGACTCGTTCCTGCCTCCCAGTAGGCATCGCATGCAGCAGCTCCCTGCTTCCAGAGGCGGGCAGGGATGTGGGCTAGGTCTCTCACCCCTTTCCTGGCTCCCATTATGTCCCAGGAGAGCTAGGTTAGACCCACGGGAAAGCTGGCCAATGAAATCACTGATTGCAAGCTCAGAGCAGCAATGGCACTGTACCACTGCATAGCCTGGAAGGAAGGAAGGGCTAGGGGACCAAGGCTGGAGGGTAACCCCCAATCAGTGTAACCCCCAACCAGCCATATGGGAGCTGGCTCAGCCCTCTGACCAACACTGGACTTCCCTTCAGATGCTGGACCAGCTCCTGCAGGCTCAGGCCTTGCCATCCTCCTCGGCTTCTAACCCCAGCCCCGCATCCCAGGACTTAGCTCTCAAGTAAGTGCAGGAAAGGGGATGTGCCAGGGCAGAGGCCAGGGTTGGGGAGCCCTGCCAAGGCCTGAGGGGAGGAGTGCCTGAGGGCCAGGAGCCTCCTGGGATTCAGCCGCCTGTGTGGACAGCATGCAGGAGCTGTGCCGTGAGATGAAGATGGTGGCCTTTGACCTCCAAGACAACAACTGCATCATCGAACGGTGAGAAGCCCCAGCCAGGGGGGAGACTGCAGGGTGCCTCAATGGCATGGGTGCCCCCTCCACATGGCACCAAGGGTGCATGGCCTTGGCAGCAATGGGACTATGTCTCTGCATAAAGCCCATCTTTAAAAGGAAGACAGAGAGAGAGAGATTGAGAAAGAGAGTGAGCTCGCATGTGACATTCCCAATGCCCACAACAGATGAGCAGGGCCAGGCTGAAGCCAGGAGCTGGGAACACATGAGTGGCAGGACCCCCAGCCCTGCAACACCTGCTTCCTCCCAGGCTGCGCATGAGCAGGCAGCTGAAGTCAGATGCAGAGCCGGGACTCATACCCAGCATCCTGAATCTGGATGTGTGATGTCCCACGCAGTGTCTTATCTCCCTGGCCGAGCCCCTGCTCCCCATCTCAGCAGAAAGCATGTTTGCTCTGGAGGTCCATGGGCCTACTTGCATAGAGATGTCCACGGGCACCCGCCACTCACACCCTTTCTCCCAGCGACCCATCTGAGAAGCAATGGCCGGGTTGAATTTGTGGCAAGTCCTGTAGATTTGAAGCCTGATGCTGCTGTTCGCAATGACTGCTGGGAGATGTGTCCATCCTTGGGCTTCAGTGTCCACCCCGTCAACACAAATAGGTCCTCCCTTGTCTTGTTAATGTAGACACAGAAGCACCATGTCAGGTGCTGTCATGGGCATGAGTGGGGGCAGGGCTGGAGGATAGGAATCCCAACAAGCTCACAGTCCCCCCTCCCCCCCCGGGAAGACCAGAGGCCAGAGTTGGTGGTTTACCCTGAGTTCCAGGACGTCTTCAGGGAGGGTGCTGTCTTCCTCATGTCGCCTTGCAGTGAGGGGCGAGTCCAGCCTCCCCCAGCCCCATGGAGATAGCTTCTTGGCACAGCTTCCCAAACAGCTCTTGCAGGGACAGGAAGTTCTAACTTTGGTGCCCACATGGCTCTCTTGCTGTGATGTGTAGTCTATTTACAAACAGCTTGAGACTTGATTGACAGGCATTTTCACTTCCTTCTGCAGGCCAGTAAGCAGAGAGCCAAGGTAACCGGTTGGAACCTCTTTTCCCACCTCCCGACCAACCCTGCACGTCAGGGTCAGTTGGGAAGTGGGAAAAGTCAGAGACCCTGGCAGTGGCCTGGGGGTGGGGTGAAGTGATTCCTAAGTTCCCATGAAATTCTGCTGAGCAGTCAGGGATTCCTGGGGAGACAAACAGCTGATCCAAGCTTTCAAATGGCTGAAGGTCCTGGTCTGGGTTGGGTTAGGGTGGGTGCCAAGGTGAAGGGTACAGGCTTCTGCAGTAGGTGGGCAAAGCTGACCTGGGCCCTCCGTTCCAGGTTGGGGAAGGTCGTATCAACCCAGGACACCTGAGCTCTGCGGGGAGCCAGCAGCGCCACTGGCAGCCAGTTCCTCGGCACTACAGGACCCAGCCCAGGGCGGGATTGGGCCTGTCACAGCAGCCTACCTCCCTCCTGGCCACTGGCCAGGAGACATCTCCCCAGCATTACCGTACGCTGCCTGTCCCCTGAGAAGCAGCACAGGCCTGACTGCCGCACAAGGCTAGAGAGTCTGGCTGACCTGGATGTCTCTTCCCGCACTTCTCCATCGCCAGGACTAGAGGACCGAGCCCAACGGGACCACCAAGAGAAGAGGCTGTCCCAGGCCCTCCCACCCCTCTGGCTGACAAAGCTCTGCTCTTCAAGGAAGCAGAGAGGGCGACGGGTCACATGACCTGACCTGCTCCATGTTGAGGCCAGTGCCAGTGCCCAGGCTCCTGTCCCTTGTGCCCTACCCCAGGCATCTTCTGATTGAGGGGTGTGGCCAGCCAGCATCATCAGGCGGCCATGCCACCCAGTGCAGGCCTGAAGGGATGTGAAATAAATGTGGCCTGCTCAGTTTTCTGGGTTTCTGTCTGGGCTGGCTCTGCAAGGCTGGGAGGCCTCTCAGCCTGCTGTGCCGGGCTACCAAAGCGAGCTGAGGCACGTGCTGAGCCTGCTCTTCCCCGAGAGGGGCCCAGGGCGCAGGGCCTCCTCCCCTCCAGCCTCTGCCTCCTGCCACCTGGGGAACTGTCAGGGGCCAAGGACCTGGGGAGAATGAAGCACTGGTTGAGTCTCAAATTTTTTTTTTGAAGATTTATTTATTTTTATTGGAAAGGCAGATATACAGAGAAGAGGAGAGACAGAGAGGAAGATCTTCCATCCAATGGTTCATTCCCCAAGCAGCTGCAGTGGCTGGAGCTGAGCCAATCCGAAGCCAGGAGCCAGGAGCTTCTTCTGGGTCTCCCATGTGGGTGCAGGGTCCCAAGCCTTTGGGCCATCCTTGACTGCTTTCCCAGGCCACAGGCAGGGAGCTGGATGGGAAGCAGGGCTGCCCAGATTAGAAACAGAGCCCATATGGGATTCTGGTACATTCAAGGCGAGGACTTTAACCGCTATGCTACTGCGATGGGCCCATTCTTTCCTTTCTTTTTTTTTTTTAAAGATGTATTTATTTTTATTGGAAAGGCAGATATACAGAGAAAAGGAAAAACAGAAAGGAAGATCTTTTGTCCAATGGTTCACTCCCCAAGTGGCTGCAACGGCTGGAGCTAAGCCAGTCCAAAGCCAGGATCCCGGAGCTTCTTCTGGGTCTCCCATGTGGGTGCAGGGTCCCAAGGCTTTGGGCCATCCTTGACTGCGTTCCCAGGCCACAGGCAGGGAGCTGGATGGGAAGTGGGGCTGCCATGATTAGAACCAGCAGCCATATGGGATCCTGGCGCGTGTAAGGCGAGGACTTTAACCACTACACTATCGCATCGGGCCCTGGACCCATTCTTTTTTAAATTTTAAATCCATCCCTGAACTACTTGCTATTTTCCCCCATCAAAACCAGAACCACATCCCATGGGCTTCTTTAAGCATATCTTCCTGGTTTTCCTGTGTTGGCTGGGAAGGATTTGAGTTAGGTCCTGACCAGTATAGCCTTTTCCCAGCAATCTCCCCCTACCAGCCTCCCCTTAAACCAGAGCCGTGCTGTCCCCCACCTACCTGCATTGGAAGAGCAGTCGTTTGGAAAGGAGAAGCTGCTTTGGTGTGCGGAGTGTGGGAGAGAATACACCGGACACAGTGTGGCATGTTAGGAGGAGTCTTTATTGGCCAAGCTTGGTGACAGCACCTTCCACTACACTCCAGGAGCCACTGCACCAACTGGCTGAAGTCAGAGGTTTTTAAATTCTCATTCTCCAATCAGCTTGAGAGCTGTGCAGTAGGATGTTTCAACACATTTAACTAAGTGGCAAGAAGGGGGCTGCCAGAGCCCAAAGTTTCCATGTAGTCAATTAATCTAAAACAGCACAGTATGAGGCAGGAGGGGCCAGGTATACAGGGCTTCCAGAGCCATCTCTTCACTGTCAATTTACTTGAATGATGCAGGAGGAATGTGGGGCACGGAACCTCTGTGTCTGTGCTGTCTGTGGTACCTGGCAAGTGGGTACTCGTTCATCCAGCAACTGTACCCCATCACAGAAACAGCAGCCATGCCGGGCACAGACAGCAGTGAGCCTGACCCTATCCTTCCTGCCCATCCTTGGGAATTTTCCTGGTGACCTGCAAGCCCAGAGAGAGGAAGGCAGAGTCCTGCAGACTGACACCTGACCGCCGTGCTGCTGTCCCCAGCTCAGTGTCCCACGTGCTTGAAAGCTGCCAGGTGGCACCAAGCCAGCTGATGTCAAGGTTGTTATTCAGAGCTCAAGCATATGGGCTCAAGTCTTAGGGCTCTGGGGATAGCTCCCACTGCAATGTCCTTGGGTCATGGCTGGTCAGTGGGGTGGGAGGCTTAGGCTGAGGATGTGGCACAGCAGGGGGTCCCTGCCAGGGAAGTCCCACAATGGGCCCAGGAACAGAGCCAGGTGATCCTTGAGAGCCAAATGCAGATCTTGGGGCAACGGTATATAAGCCAGACTCTATGATTTCAGGCGTCATGGGTATCGCGGTCTCAGTGCCCTCCGATCCTGATGCTAGGCAGGACTGCTGCCATGGGGCTTTCCCTGGCCTTCAGAGCCCATTGGCAGGGCAGGAAGAACCAGATGGTGGCCCAGGACAGCCTTAGAATCCCCAGGTCTTCAAGCCCAGTTGCTGTCCCTCTTGGTTCCCTAGTGACTCCTGACATGGGCCTTTGAATGAAGAGAGCCGGTCAGCTGCTCAGGTTGGAGCTGAGCACCCATGGAGGGACAGGGTGCTGTCAGGTGCTGGGGCTGCAGCATGACCGAGCTATCCAGGGAGCCTCCATGTCCTGCCACCTGCAGCCACGGGATAAGCAGGTGTGCCAGCAGCTGTTTCCACCTCATGCTGCAGGTGTCCTGGTGGCAATACAGAGCTCAAAATGTAGGACAAAGTCACTGTCATCACAGGAGAGGGTGTTGGGGATCCACAATGGGGCAGGGGACCTCCTTGGCTGAAAGTGAGAGAAGTGAGCACATGCAGGCAGGTGCCGAGCATCCCTGTGCTGCGCGGGAGGATACTGGGGACCAGGGAGCTATGAAAAGGGAGTGGGGAGGAAAGTGTGATGGGGAGTGCAGTGGAAAGGGAGGAGGCAGCCCCAAAGGGGCTCCCAAGCCACATTAAAATGCTGGGAACCATAGACAGGCTTCAGTCACGTCAAACTGGCATTTGAAAAGTGCCTGTGTGGTTGGTGGCAGGCAGGAAGTGATGGGGTAAATCCATAAAGTGCCTGTTTACACCCTCCTCTGTCCCTACACTTGGCCATGAGCCTCCTTTGCTGGATGGGTTAGAGAGACGGAAAGTTCTTATCTCAGGTGGGTCCAGGCAGGCTTAGATCAGTGGTAGATATCCAGAAAGTGTCCCTGTGGCTTTCAGAGTCACAGTGACACAGGCTAGGCTGGGTAGGTGGTGGCGGCAGCGATAGAGGGCATCCCAGATCCCCATCTGGGGATGGGAGTGCAGTCAGCTCTGGCCAGCCCACATGCCATGGGCCCACTGTCTGTTTCACACTCAGGATTCCCAATTTCCATTCTTTCTTGTCCTAATTTAGAGCAGACTCCAGGACTCCACCCAGCTCTCCCAGATCGCAAATCTCATCAAATAAGGGTGTGGCCCCCATCTGTATTGTTTATCCGTTTCCCAGACAACTCCTACCAAAGCTGAAGTTTGGGGACACTGAGTCAGAGGCTGCACACGTCCTTCAAAGGATATGTGGATGGCTTAACATTAGGCAACACACGACAAGGGGGACCAGGCACTCCCTCTGCAGTGCCTCTGGAGCAGCTGGTGGGAGGGAGGGAGAAGCTCAGGAAAGGACAGGCTGGTTCCTCATGAAGGCCTAGACCTCTCCTCGCCTTGCCTTGAAGAGTTGCTCAGCTGGCCACTGGGAGTCATGTTTTACAGGGTGGAGTTCTGGGCTTCATTCCCTACCTCCCCCCAGGCTCACAAAAGATCCTTAATCAGGCAACCCAGTGGGAGGTATTGAGGAAAGGGCCAGGATGACCCGAAGTAGCTTCAGTTTATTTTCCTTGGAAGTTCAGAATTATCCCTCTGGGGAGCGTGGGTCTTCCCTCCCTGGTCCCCAAACCCTGGCGGGGGGGGGGATGTGATCAGAGATGGGAGAGAGGAAGGAAAGAGGAAGGGAGGGAGTGGGAGAGATGGAGAGGAAAGGGGGAGAAGGGGGATGAGGGTGGGGGACAGGAATGACAGCCACAGCCAGACTGCAGCAGGAGCAGCTCGGGTAGAGTGGGCCATGAGGGCAGGGCTAACCCATGAGGTCATCCCAGCCAATGTGCCTGCGCCCCTCTGTCGTACCCTATCCCTGGCACCCTGCCACCACGCTGGGCACAGAGCTGGCTCTGTGCTGAAATTTCAGTGGCTATGGCTTGGAGCCTCCCCTCCAGCTGAGAGCAAAAGCTGCTGACAATTCTGCCTGGAATATCTGAGTTTTCCCAATGCGGAAAGAAGGAACACACACACAAGTCAGCCTTATCATAAAATTGGCACAGTGGCTGGGGAGGGAAAAATTCCATAACGGAGATGCAGAGGGAGGTGGCGCCACCAAACTGGTGTAAAAGGAACCTGACTCCCCCTCCCCACCCATCCCTGCTCACATCATTCATCCCCCTCCCCCAGGTCTGTCCTTGTTTATCTCCATGTCCTGTCAAGGGCGCTGGGAGCCCTGGAGCCCTGGCGCCCACTCTAGCAGCCCTCACCCCAGCCAGTTAGAAGCATGCAGAGGGGGGACATGCACCAGGGTGAGCAACATCTTCAGGAATGATCGGGGTTTTGCCAGCACTACCCCACTTCTACACACTCTGGGTACCTTCTGGTTTCCTTAACCCCAGTCATTCCTCCAGTTCCCCTGTCCTGGGCGCATTAGTCCTGGCTTAAACAAAACCTGGGAGATAAGCCCTAGTGAGGCACCACTGGGGGCAATGGCTGCATCCTTTCCTTAGAGGGCACCTCCTAACAGCCCTCCAAGGAGGGATCAGAAAGACCACCAAAACCCAAGTGAGGGAGGGGAGACCCAGAAGTTTCACTGTGACTCACGCTAGGGTGACACGGGTGTTAAGTAGGGACACAAACCACTTGCTGGGGGAGCCCAGAAGAAGGAGCCATGCAGTGGGTGAGGGACCTTGGGAAGACTCTGTGGAGGACCTAGCCTTGAACTAGACCTTGAAAGTAGAACAGTGTTTTGATGGAAAGAAAAGGCTGAGGCAAAAGTTTGCCAAATATACAACTGTGTAACTGTACCTGGAAATGAGA